TGCTTTTGTCTTGGCATTTGCGGGCGTCGCGCAGGTGTACGCAGCGCGTGCGAATAAATTATGATCGATAGGCAGTCGCGATAAAGGTCAAAAATTAGCTCTAATCAATGCCGCTAATGAATAAACGAACGAGAATTTCATTGTGCCGGCGTCGCTTGTAAAATCACGACTTGGAGCCGTTTATCGCAGCTGCCGCTGCCGATATCGAACTTGCTGCACAGCCGATTAGACCTGCACACTTTATCTCGCTATAATGTATAAGCTGTATGTGCGCAGTTCCGTCGACTATTTATAAACATACAAAGTTATGCTACAAGCAAACAATCGAGTCATTCGCGCCGCGATCGTTAATTTAAATGTATAATTATTATCGCGCCTACGTCGACGCTCGTGTGCTTGGAAAATGAGCCAGAGTTCAAAAAAGATCGTCTGTGTACGTATAAAAACGTCTATAACGTGGCAATTCACATCGCTTTAGGTGGCCATTTTTACCATTGCTTATGCGTGTGCTATCGTTCAAGTTTATGGCATAGTTGAACAAAAAAAGTCCAGCGCAGAAGTGATCACCGTGGCGCAAAATGCGCTCCGAGCTGCATTTTCCTCGCCCGTGCGTATGAACCGTACACGATAAAGCCTTACGTCTGAGAGGAGCAATCGTTTACCCAGATACAAGGTCGTTGGCCCCAATGGCCCGGAAAATTGCTTCTGAGCCGACGGTTTCAGAGAACGTGCGGCCGGCCTGCGCCTGCATTTTTTTGCTCTAAAAAAAGCATAGCTATGACGGCAAAAATGTTTCCACTATTTCAAAAATACCGTGTCATTTTTAACAGAGAAGATCAACAAACTTTAACCCCGATATCGCTCGTCACAACACTATACCCATAAACATTTGAAAAAATTAAATCACTTGTTAATGTCGACCAGATTTTTATACTTACAATAGTTTTCATTGTGTTCGGTACTACTCGAAGAAACCTGTATAGTAAAAGGTTTTATATTTCTCAATGAAAGACATTTTTAAAGTTAGAGTAAAATTGACTATAAATTTTTTCTGTACAACTTTTTTTTGAAATTATTAGAAACATAATAAAAATTTCGATAACACATAGTAAATTTTCCACTGACCTCAAGTAATTAATACTTTTATTAAAAAATGTATTACTTTTTACCATGTATATTCTAAAGATTTTTTTAAACAGTACATCTGTATTATAGTATTAAAAATCTCGAAACGCAGTCCATTTTCCCTCTGAGTTTATCACGCAAATTCTCAAAGTGAATAATAATGTAATGAACATCGAGTAAAGAAATAAAAACAATCGATTAGTACATTTGTTTTACCTCAATTGTGATATCAAAAAATTTATTGGAGCTTTTCAAATTGGCATATATTGTGTAAATAGTGATACCCTTTTGACGCAATGCAACGGGCAAGCTTTCCGGGGGTAACTAAGAATATTAAAAAATTTGCAAATTTCCATTCAGATTATTCGTACATTTTTTCGCTGTCGAGTGAGTTTTTTCTCGCTTTTCTGGGCACAGTGCACCGACGCATATCAGGAATGCGGTATACACGCGGTGTATTAGCGTGGTGCACCTCCGACATGCAACATCCTCCTTCGATTTTAGTATTTAAATTGCAAACAACAGAAATGAGCGAATGCATACATATGTATACTTCCACTATCTGTATATATATAGGTGAAGCAAGGGAGTTGGAAAGAAAGAGGCACGAAAGCCTATGGTAATGAGACTGACTGTATACTCGAATGAGAGCCTCTTCGCGTTTATGTATGCGTATGCATGTACGTGCTCACACATACACAACGTTCGTAACTCACTTGTATGCGTCGTAGAACTGCGTTTTTTTTCCTTCGAAGAAACGACTTATACTTTCCAAGTGCACCGGCACGCATACCCAAGTCGGTGTTATACGCTTGTGTGAGAAAAAATGTTGTCGCAATTTTTGTGCGTGTCGCTGTCAAGGTATGCAGCGTTGATTGTCAAGGTTTGCATTCGCGCGACTCGCCGCGAGGACTCTGCCAAAGCAGCCCGCGCGCAAACGCAAAAAAGACCAACGAATTGTCCAACTGGAACGACGGCTGATCGTTATCCTCGATCCTTCGCTCAGATATGTATGTATCAGTAAAAAAAAAAACTGTTGCGTTGTATGTGCGTAGGTGTGGGAGTCGTTCGAGCAAAGTAAAAGAAACGCAATGAGCGGTACAAAGACGCGTGCGCACCGCACGTAATCTAATGGGAGCAATGAGCGCTGCTCTAATATCATAACCGCTGGCGCGTGCTTTTGCGGTTGCACGAGAGGTTTAGCTACCATCGCAACAACACCGACCTTTTATTTCCATCGTAAATCTTGAACTGTATACGTACGATTTCTCGGACTTTTAATGTTGATCGATCGCGGTTAGCGTTGATGGTTAACGTCTTTTTCTCTTTATTATTCTCTCCTTTCTTCTCCTCGCTTCAATCAATAAAAATTAAGAATGTGTATGGCTTATTATATCGACTTATCCAAAAACATTTGACGCTTATAATGCATCATCAGTGTGTTGTGAGCGTGTGCAATGCAATTGAAATGATTTAAAAGACAAAGACGAGCAAATCTACTGAATAAAGGAAAAAAAGAAAGAAAAGAGAGAGAGAAAGAGAAACAAAGAGACGTTTAAAATAATACCTTGACAAAACTACCTTAGAAAAAATAACTAAATGTTTATAGTAATTGTTGCTTGCATTAAAAAATTTTTTATGATAAATAACATGTTTACTTATTATGTTACGTAGTAAAAAATGAATTTTCAATTCAGTAACATTTTTTGGTCGTAGTAATAGTAGTAGTAGTAGTATTAGTAGTAATAGTAGTAGTAGTAGTAGTAGTAGTATTAGTAGTAGTATTAGTAGTAGTATTAGTAGTATCGTCAACACGTGGTTCTTTCCCACGGAAACAGCAATCGTCTAAGAAGATCCTATAGATGGCCATCTCGTGTGCATGCACGTGCGTGCATGTGATGCGAGTGTATTGGTGCATTAAACAGGTATCGCAAAGGCAGAGGCACAGTACGCATTTTCCGCGTGTACGTGTAAACGCAACTAAGCGAGGAAGAAGTAAGTGCTTTCCACTTTTTGATACTTGATGTATTGAAAAGATTTTCCTCTCTGATCGCTACTGTCCTTTTTCTCCACGATCGGCTTGATATTTTTCTAATTAACGAAGAATTTCAATGTTAGCTTCTTATGCTATAGAGATCAATATCTTCCAATCAATTATTTACTTGGAAATCGGTCGATGAGCGCGATAAGGTCTGCCATCAGAAATTCTGACACTCGGGCGCATCACGAACGTTTACGATGTGACGGTATATTATAGTATTGATGCAGAAAGCACGGCAGATATATATTATATATGTACATGCAGTCTTGTGCGCCATGCTCTCGCGAGTGAAAAGCTGAGCGTACATCCGCAGCGGAGCGCGCACAAGTGCGAGTAAGGCATTGACCTTGAGAGAAGGGCTCTATACGGCGCGCCGAGAACGACGTACACAGCAGAAGCGCAGGAGCTCAGCGGCGCAGCGAGGAAAGAAGAAAAGTGCATGGCAAGAAGTACGAGGCGGCGGCGGCGGGTGCACATATATATACATGCCGACGCTTCAGCTGCTACACTCATGTAGGATCGCTGCACTTACTTAGGCATAGGCTCGCGCGCAATATGTTGGCTATGTACGCCTATAGACTCGAGCTACGAAGATAGAAAAAGACGCAAAAGACGTAATAGTACGAAGAAGAAGAAAAAGAGGAAGATGCGCAAGTGCATGTTTACCGCTAGACGAGGCGCCGCGATTACTAGCGCATACATACCTTCTGTTACCATCGTGCATAGTATAGTGAGTATGCGGCGTATACAAGGGACGCATAGGAAGGCAGAGCGCATCTAGCGGCCTGCCGTCTACACAAATTCGCTCGGCTACGATGAAAATTATCCGTGTTTGTTTTCGTGTCTCTCTGTCGGCGATGTGGCTATGAGCGCATGTTATCTTACGCACGCATGCTTCCCAATGAGTACGACCAAGGGCTGCACTATGACGTTATGTTCGTAGTCGCAGCTGCAAATATATGACTTTTCTCCATTTGTCGCTACTAGATACCAGTAAAGTCGCATTTCTACTCGTCAAATCTCCAATGAACAACAGCTGCGCACGATGCTGTGCATATAGAACAGTGGCCGAGAGACGCGGGCAAGAGCAAATTTCCATCCGCTGGCAGCTCGCTTCGCCTATACCGAGTGCTCGCGTACATCGCAGGTAAATTAGAATGGTAGCATCGCGCTCGTCTTGGAAAATACAGCTCACGGCTGAGCCGTGCACACACGAGCAGATGCTTGGCCATTGCTACTAGATAATCGAACCTAAGTATACGCAGATACAGTGGTATAAATTGCAACTGGCGTATGTACATCATAGAAGCGTATGCTGCACATGGACAGACTATCTTATGTCTCGACCGATAAGCGATAGCTATTCGTGCCTTCGTCAGCATAGCTAATATGTCTGCAGTTCATATATATACAAATCGGCGCACACACATGCATCTCGACTCGCTTCTTTCTCCATTTGATCGCTGAGCTCGTTGGATTCGAGCTCGACCATTGGCCAGTTGAAATTTTGTCCCTTTTGCCGGTCTATGCACGTCACAGTATGTACATTATAATAGAAGCTTGTCTGACTGTGAATGGCTGCGCGATGAACGATGACACGCCACGACCTCCCTCGATCGCTGCTTTTTTTACTCTTTTGTGCATTCCTGTAAGAATTTTTCCAAGCTCTTTTTGTAATGTCTCACAGGTGCAAGTGTTGCTGGCTGTGAGTCGAGAAATGCTCATTTTTTACACAAGAAATAATTTACAATTTACTATTTCTATATAACAAACCTAATTCCAAAATGTAATTGTCAAGGTTTTCTCATTATAGCGACTCGCTTTTTTGTTTCAGCGAATCCGACATGGCACCGAATGCCGAGGAGGATCTTCTGGTGGCGATGCAGCCACGCGGTCCACATTCAGGCAAAGTAAGTTCAACGTCTTAATTCGCCTTTTTTTTCATTCCTGCTGTCCTCTTGCATCTACTAGTTTTAAATATACCACTTGAAATAGCTGGCGTGCGCGTATACATTATTTAAACGCACGCGACAATGAAGCCCTCGCGTGCTGCTTCTGCGACGCGATACTGCACACAGCAAAATAGCTCAAGATTCGAATCTTGGCGCTCGCTAGATCATTATTTTGAGAAGATCAAATCCATCTTCGTCGTGCCGAATGACGAATTGAGTTATTATCCGTTGGGGTGACGACTCGACGAACTTGCCATTGTTTTTAGTGCGTCGCTATCCAGTAAGCGACACGTGACCATCTCCGACGAGCGTAGTTATAAACGTCATTACACACATATATATATATAATAGCTGTGAACGCGTGTACTCACCTATTAGGACTGGCATTTTCTCGTTTCCTCCCCAACTTGCGGAAGAGACGAGCTCGACGAGTACAAGATAACTCTGCTATTCCGTTGCATATGCTGGCAGCTACTGCGTGATCCTCTACTCGCCGAGCCTCGGTGCAGCAAGAGGGTATCAGTGAACGAGTTTGAAAAAACGCATACTCGCGCGTATAATGAGTGCATCATTCGTATTAAGTGGAAAAGCAGTATTCGAGCGCATCGCAGCTTGGGAAACACGCCGCGTGTTTCCATTCTACGTATGCATTCGAGCGCACCGAGTTTTCAATTGTTTTTTACCTGCTCGCCGCGCAGCTGTCCAACGTGCACCAACGAGTATTTAACAATTTTACTTTTTTCCCCCTTGTTTTTCTTAACGCGACGCTTTCACAAATCGATCAACTTGTATCGTATGCATTTTCGTCGTTTTACTTTCGCCTTGTCTAATATAACGGTTAATTTAAGCTCGCTGCAAGTTGATCATTAACCTATTAAAATGAATACGAAAATAATGTCTATGCACGGGTGCGCGTCGTAAATCAAAACATTCCAACGTTACACTGAGGGGAGAGAAAAATTAGCACGTGTACACGCACTCGCTATATGGGTATGAGTAAACGTTTACTCTCTTCCTGTTAATGACTGATTACTTTGTATCTCCGCAACTAGTTCGGTTTGCAAAAGGGTAAAAAGAAAAATTGATAGTCCCAGAAAAAGTTGCCTTCGCATATGTGCGGGTATGCAAGTGCGTATGAGATATTTTAACGGTCGATTTCACTTGGTGTGTACACGAAAGTTATCCTCGTTAAATATTCAATCCCATAACGTAGATTATATATTTTCATTCGATTAAAAATATTTTCTTTGAGTTTAACATTTATTTTCATGAGATAGGTATCTCGTGCATCATAAGAAATTTAAAGAATGATCGAGGTTCAATAACATGCCAGCAATAAAGTTTCATAACCCTCAATGAATGAAAACTCTTTTTAAATTCGACAATATTTTAAATATAACTTGAGTAAAGCAAATATTAAGGAGATCCGTATACTGCAGCCCAAAATTCAAATTTAACATTTAAAGGTTTCATCCGCTTACTTTCGACCAACTGCCAAGTTCGTCTGCAATGTTTGGGTTAAACTGGAAAAATACGAAAACTTACTAATTTGCAAACGTGCGAGATTTTCACTATGCACAACTGTGCCCTGACGAAAGTAATTCTTATTAACTATTAACAGTTTGGAACTTTAAAACATCTTTTCATTTTTGTAGGTACACATGATATTCGATTCGTTCACTCGTCGTAATACTTGTCTTTATCACCCTATTTCTCTTACGTATCATGAAATTCGTCATATTTTTTTACTTTTCCGCTCAAAGGGTTTGAATTTAATACGCTTTATGAAACTTATACGACATCGAACGAACGAGCCGTTATTATTTATTAGTATAAATCACCTCGTATGTACGTACCACTGCTTATCTGGCTTTATTATTATTTATTCGCACGTATATAAAGTCATTCGATTTCATCGACAATTTCGTTAAGAAAATTTAATTAGATGATCCAAACTTTCTTCGCGCTACGAATCATACATAAGATTTTACGCTTACGACTTAATTATTCGTTGGACAGAAAAGAAAAAAATACTCGAGAGTCTGAACGACATAACGGAACAAAAAAAGTTTAATTCATTAATTAACGAAAGCCATACGTATGATGGAAAAACGTAAAGGGCTTATTAAACGCTTCACGCCCAAAGATAAATAATAATAAGAGTAACGGCAGCGGCAACAGGTTACAGTCAACTTGTCCGAGTCTGTTCGTAATATGGTACTACGTAGTATACGCGATCCATACGTGTGTAACAAATTAAAACGTAAATGAAAATCTCGATGTCGATGGTCGGTCAGGCGCCGCACTTACGATAATCTTCTCTCTCGTGTAGTCTAGTGCATGCTCGCATATGTCGGTGTGCGAATATACTTTGGGTCGCTGATGCAGCAAGGCTTGAGCTGCTGCAATTTTCTGCCTAATTGGATGCTAATTAGTTTGTACGTAGCGTGTATCGCGCGATAAATTACTTTATTGAGAGAAATATTAATTTTTTCTTTTTTTCAACAATAACAACAATAGCAACAACTGTATTACACGGCACTGCGTGTAACTTTCATATGGAACAATGTAATTTTTGCAGAAACACATGCTCACATATAGCTGGAAATAATGCCGTAGTGGAGCTTAACAGAGATAAATAAGATGTTGAACACGATTGTTTGAAATTAATATTGTTATTCTTTGTTTTGTTCGTTAAGGAACGCCTTCGACCACCGACGTACAATGCCGAGGACTACACTCAAGCTCTGCGACGCTGGGGGCGCCGAGCTTTAGCTAATCAACAGCAACAGCATCATCAACACGAGTCCGGCAATCATCATCCACATCATCACCACAATACTCTGCCGTCGACGTGTACGAGCACATCGAGCTCCGGCTACGCCTCGGCCGGTAACAACGGCGAGATGACCTTGAGGCAGTTCACTTCAGTCAGCGAATTGCTCAACAAGCTTAAAGCCGATCTCAAGCTTGCTTTTCCAAGGTGAGGAATACTTTTTTCCCCTCCTGAATTTTCGATGATCTACATTCGTAAAGGAGAGCGCGCGCCTTTTCACTGATATTTATGTGAGGGGCATTCTTTGAGAGAAATTTTGCAAGAGATGCGCTTAGCTGCGCGAGTTGATTTATTACGTCATATTCACTTCTGCGAGTCTATTTTTTTTTCTTGCTCGATATAATTATGCGCAGAGTTGAACGACCCGGGTTAAATTTTAGTCTCAGATCTTTTTATAACTTAAAGTGAATGCAACAATAGGTGTGTGCAGCTTCAAAGCCAACTTTATAATTTGTGTTCAATCGCGTGTCACGTATGAGTAAGCAGATTAGCAAACTCGATCCTACGCGTGTTGCTGATAAATCTAGGCAAGTCTTGTTTGCCAGAATCGTTGAGTTTTCATCGTGTTTAACATAGCTGTCACGCTTGACTTAACTATCCTGCAATACACAGTTTTCCCGGCGTCAAATAAACTTGAAAAAAAAAGAAAGAGTAAGAAAAAACGAGCGAACGCGTTAATAAGTGGCACACGCATCAAGCTGTATCGGTACTGGCAAAGCCTCGACACGCTCAAGTAAATGTATACGCGCAGACCGTTAATTCGGTATTTTCAGCTTTATTGCACGCCTTGCCACTTACCAGAAGATCGAGGAACTTTGTTGAGATTCTATACGTAGCCGTGCATTATAATGACAAATGTTTTCTGCCTTCTTCTATTTATAATAGCTCTGTATCGAGAATAACTGCCTCATAGCCGTAAAAAATTGACCGATAATTGTCACAAAATTTGTATAAATCTATTGTAATAATCATAGTCATAATTGATAATATGAAATGCATTAGTTTCGTGCAAGAATTCGTATCGGCACCGGGGGATGGCATATCGCTGTTGCTGGAAACTCTACGAGGCGTACAGCTGTCTCAATCCACACCACCTTCGGCAACCGGCCCGAGGAGACCCCGAGCTCGTCGAGCCGCCATGGACGAGTTGGGCTGCGTCGAGTGTCTAGCCGCTTGCGCCGATCGCTGTCCCGACGCCGGTCGCCTCCTAGCTCAAGCTCAGCCCGGACTTTTGGCTCTGGCCTGCTGCCTCACGAGCAGTCTCAACAGATCTCGCGTTATTGCTTTGCAGGTCAGTTTTTATTTTTCTCTTCTTTGTTGTTTATGGACACTCACGGACGATTACGATTGGCCGAGAGTGTGTAATACAAAACTTATTATCAAAAGTACAGTAAACTCAAGGCATCGAACCGTTAATCTAATTAGATGACGCCGTTGAATTTTGTTTTAAACTTATGTCTTAAATGTGCATACGTAAATATGTGAAATAATTCGAACAATAATCCGGTAAGGATAAAAATCACAACGCTCGTTTACGTTGTTCGCACATATATCCATATGAAACAGAGACCTCCATCACTTGGAAATTCCTTATTACTGCGCTCGCTGCTACAATTGATTTTCCGCCTAATCGCGCTTATTCATTGTAACACTGTACTTCCACGCGCGCACGCTCAACTTTGATAAACCTCTTTTACACAAGCCTGCGTACAACTTTTCACTCGACGAGTCAGACTGTTTAATGACTCGAGAAACAAGCAACAGGTGTTCCATACTGTATATTGTAACACAACTTGCAAAAAAAAAAGAAATTCCGCTCAAGCGGCAAAAGTATGAAGATGGCATTTCTGCATGTGACAGTACCTAAGTAGTGTGCAATGAGGAAGCAGACACAGACTGATTCGTTTCTTGCTTTTTTTTAAATCTATTTCGAGATGAAATTTCCCTAATTCAACCCTGATTGTGAGAGCACTTAACTCATATGGCATTCTTAATTTTTGTTGTCCATAAATCAAAAAATGATGCTGTGCCGACGCGAGAATTTGCGTGACTACTTTTTAATACCTATCTGAAAAAAATCTAAACCCGTGTATTATGCAACTCTCTCTCTTTTGAATACGCACTCGCGACACGGTTTCCCCACTTTATGTGTCGCCTGCGTAATGAATAATCATCATCTTGGACGCACAGCATTTTTTTTCTTTTATTTTAACAGTCCACATGAAACACACATTGATGAAATGTTGGCGCTAGCGTCGTTCGCATACTATACACTATTTTAAAGATACAAGAGCCGCACAGAAACTTTACACTTGCGTACGGTACATACCGACCTCGAATAAATTTTTTGTATTTATATTATTTTTGGCGGTGATACTCTGATCTGTACCTCTCGTTGATCAGCCAATCCGCAACAGCTGTTTTGACCATACTTTTTTCTTTTTTATGATGTGTTGACTCATCGATCAGGGGTCATAGAATATTATTAATCTATTGTTCGTTTGTATTTGTTTTTTTGTCGTCATAATGAAATTGACGCGAATGAACTCTTTGTTAATCCTGCTTGTTGTGACAGTTGTGAGTTGCTGCTATTGTACAGGTAAGTGTGCAATTGTTATGGATTTGTTTAATTTTTTATCGATAAAAATCGGTAGCAAACGAATAAGTCATTTCTTGTAGTTCAACAATTGTCGATTATGTATAACTTGAATTGATGATCTCGATAGCAAATAAAAAAATTATGAATATTTATTGTATCATAGAAGAAACAACAGCTAAAACTGTATCAGCTACGACAACTACAACATTATCACCAATTTCAACAACTGCAACAAATACACTAACTACACCAACTACACCAACTACACCAACTACACCAACTACATCAACTACATCAACTACGTCAACTACACCATCTGCACCATCTGCACCAACTGCACCAACTACATCAACTACATCAATTCTATCAACTACGCCAGATGCAACAACTATAACGCCAAAAACAGTCTTGACAAAGATATGTGGCAAATTTTTGAGTTTCAAACATTTTTATGGCAATAGAACTGAATTTGGCGATTATCCATGGCTCGCTCTCTTGGAATATGAGATTTGTAAGTAACAGCTTCTATTCTCTCATTATATATTTAGTTAATAATGATCATTATTAACCGAATTGATTTTGTTCAGCTGGAGGATTGAGAACTGCGACGTGCAGTGGAGTCCTTATCTCGGATCGTTACGTCCTCACAGCTAGTCTATGCGTCAAAGCTCTGCCTCCGAACTGGAGTTTGCGTAGCGTCCGTCTAGGTGAATACAATTTGAATACTTCGCCAGATTGCGTCGATGATGGCACGGGTGAATTGGCTTGCCAGCCCGCAGAGATATCCATCAAAGTTAAAAGTATTCACAGTCAAGTTCAGCCAGGAATGTCAGATAGTTTATTGGCCGCGAGCATCGCCTATATCGAACTGGCACATGGGGTCGAATTCACACCTTTCATCTATCCAATTTGCTTGCCGGGGCGACCGTTGGTGGGAAAAAAGTACGAAGTCGCCGGGTGGAGCCAATATCCCAACAGAGTCGGCAGCACGACGAAATTAAGATCGTCGCTAACCGCTATCCAGGATCGGAAAACTAAGTGTGAGCTCAAGTACAGCAAAGAAGGACTGTTATTGGCCGAAAATCAATTCTGCGCCGGCGGACCATGGGGAGAAGAACCCTGTATAGCTGGTCTAGGTGGGCCTCTAATGGGACTCGAGATAGCGGAGGATGGATCACATCGTCTGGTCGTTTTGGGTATTATGACCCAAAATTCCAAGTACTGCAAGACCGGATATCCAGGAGTGTTTACGAACGTATCAATGCACTTGGATTGGATCAAGGAGAATCATTTATTAGAATAATACGGTTCAAAATAACACTTTACCGCAGCAGCATCTCAATGAATTAATTATATATGACTAATTTTCCATACTTTTAAAATAAGAGTTCTAAACAAAAATTGTCACAAGAATACTGTTACATGCTGTTGGGAATGAATTTTTCTTACTATTTATGAATAAAATCAACCAAAAAACTGCCATTACTCTTTTCATGCATAGTCTTTTTTGGAATTTCATTATTCTAATTTTTAATGTGTCAGCGAATAAATTTTTATTGCAATTTGCTAAGTGAAATATGGCACTATCTATACATACAAATGTTAAATTATCATCGGGTTCTTTTTTTCCGTTATTTTAGGTACTTTTTTCGCATTTCAACGACTTATAAAACAATGAATCGTTTTCTATAAGATATATGTAAAATGCGCGAGAAAATTTGTTAACAAATATTAAATTCGTATTGAAGATATTTTAAAAGGTTTCCAACAACAAGTCGTCGCCTTGGAGCAGAAAATTAATATACCAAAATAAAGAAGATTTTTTGAAAATTTAAAGTCGAACAGGGTTGGTCTTTTTTTAACAGCTAATAATTTTTCGGTTTTGGTCGCAAAAGTAAAATCGATTTTCAATTGCACTATAATCAAATCGTAGCTTAAAATGTGTTGATAAAAAAGTACATGCATTGTAAAAAAATTCTGGCAAATTTTCAAGGGTATCCGACGTGAATAAGTTGAACTATATAGCAAGTTTTTCTAAAAATGATATACTCGCCTTCAATTTGAAACTGTTTATGTCAAACTTAACTGATGTTTAACTTTTATCTAGGCTCATTGCATAAATGTGTATTTTTTTGTACAATATTTTTAATTCTTTTACATCCAAAAATAAAAAATTTAATTTTGAAAGAAAAACATGCCTCGTTAAATGTTTTTTTATCCCACACACGTCCCCATTGCAAAAATATTGTAAGGATTTCTTACAGGCGCTCTTTTTCCTTTATTTAAACAATTAATAATTGAATTTAAATAAATGACATTGTATTATTTTTTTCTTGTAGTTACTCACAAGAGTGTGCCAATCACAAGGTGGCCACAACGCCGTATCCGAAGCTGTCTCAACTCTGCGTTTGCGTTTCGGCGAGGGAGGACGATTTCGTTTTCTCGCAGGGGCACTTTTGGCCCCGAAAGCTGCTCCGGCCCTTCGTCTCGCCGGGATCTCGTTTCTCAACGCTTTTCTGGCATCATCGCCACGAGCACAAACTAAACTCTACATACAGGTAAAAAATTCGTGATTAATCTTTCGAAATTCACCCATTAATGTTCAGTAAAAAGAAATTACGCTTTGTTAACAAACGTCATCTTGTTTACTTTTCAAGTTTGGCAAAACTTCGTAAATTCATAATCTAACGTAGAATTTATATTAATGTCCTTCTAGAATCCGGTATCAGATTTAAGATTTGATGCTCATTTGAAAAGTTATGGTTGTTTGAGTAAATAAAAAATTAAAAATTTATGAAAAACATTGACTTTTTCAATATTTTTCGAAGCCTTACGATGAAAAACTCTATATTGATATGTAATGATAACGAGTGTAGAAGTATCTTGAGGAATTTTTAAAGATTTTTCAAAACACTTTTTTTAACAAAATGGCTGCTATGAAGTAAAAATGTTTATGAAAATTGAACTCATTTTTTATTTTAGAAACCATTGTTTTTTTGAAAAAAGTTAATTGGACAAAAAAGTCTTAGAATTGATCCAAAAACAGTCTAATTTTCGCTGAATTTTTTGAGACGATTTTTTCATTTTCCGAAAATTCTAGAAAAAATATGACGATGTTCCCTGATGAATTTTAAGACTTATTTGTTCGATAAATTTTTCCTTTCCGCTCAGTAGTTTTCTGAATAAAACATTTTTGGTTTTCATTACAGAAGTAATAAGTATTTTTACTTTTTTATTTAATTATACAACTACAACTTTTTAACTTCGCATTGAGTCATAAATTTGTATTTCTTGGAAAGTTCAGAACATGGAAAAAACGCAATTGCAAACAGAACAAAAATTCAGTCTTAGCGTCAATAGGTTAAGAAAAAAATAATGCGATCACTTGCTTACTAAGAATTTATTACAGGCTGAGGCGTGCGAAGCTGGCTTAGAACCACGAGCTCTTCAAGATTGGTTGAAGTACCTCGACGACGATGATCCGGTGAGCGAGTCGTTACGATCTGAGGTGCGAAAATGGTCCCGCCACTGTATCGACGTGGATGCCCTACAAGGTCGAGCGCGACGAGCCGAGGAGACCTGCCGGGCGCTCAGTAAGAAGGTCAGCGCACTGCAGAGACAACTGCAGCAATTGCAGCTTGACAAGTTGAATGAGTACAACAGCCATCAGCTAAAGCAGCATCAGCAGCAGAGTACTGATTTCGAGAAAAGGCAGCAGCAGCCGCTTCAGCAACAACTACAGCAACATCCACGAAAGGAAACGGAGAAGAAAGTTTTGTCAAGCGCCGAAGACGAGGGTATCAGCTTTTCCGAACGCTCCAGTAGTCCTGAAGATCCAGTCACTACTACGACAGTTACGCCAAACAATCAAATCCTAGATAACGATCAAGAAACGACCATTGACGACGTGATCGAGGAGTTACGAATAATCGTTAAGGATGCCGAGGAGGAGTTGCACGATTGGAATCAGCTGCAGTGCAGAGATTCAACCCCAGCTAAGAACGAGTTCGGTAGGAACAGTATAGTCGCAGTCAATAGCAAAGGTCCAGCTCCACAGCCAAGCAAAGCTCGACAAAGTCTGAGAATTTCCGAGGAGAGCGCAAGATTGGACAGAGTAATAAAGAACACTTCGGCCAACGCGGCGGGAAGTCTGAAAATTATCGTGCCGGGGCCGCAACTTGGTAGAGACACGACTGACGACGAAGACAAGGAATCGGCAATAGTACCGGCTATTATTCACCCACAACCACCTCGTCGAGCTCCCCCGGTCGCTGGGATATTGAGTAACTCGCTTTATCTATCTCATCACTTAGATGCGTCGCCGATTCTGCTAGCTACCAACGATTTGGCCAACAATTCCGATCTCATGTTGTTACACGACGAAGACGAGTATGGTAGTGATTCGCTGCTCAGTGCCTCGAGATTCAATAAGTCACCCACGCATCAGATGCATCGAAATGGTCGCCGACCGAGCTCAAGCAGTCAAGATCAAAAAGTCGAGAATCTCGCCGACTTTGAGATCTCGGAGACAATTTTGGACGAAAGAGTTCCATCGTTAAGAGAGAGAGAAGATATAATCGGCAACAGTAATTCGCTTGGCTCCAAATTACAATACTCAAAGTGCAGTAGCAATACGGTTCAACGAAAAACTGAGCGCAGAAAATATTTGCGAAGATGTCAGAGTCAAGATCACATAGAAGCTTCATCCTCGTTGCATCGTAATGAGGCTAAATTGCGTACTGGCGTGCACGACCATATACGCAAATTCGAGAGTATGAACAGTTTCGATGAGCGCAGAAGTCTACCAAATTACGAGGATAATAATCGATTGCGTCGTAGCGAGTCGTTTCATCAGACTTACGCAAAAAATTACACCGACGATAATGAGATTGCTACGTTTATGTACAAAGATGGTGACGATGTCGAATCTAGAGATCATGGCCAACGCTATAATTATAAACGCAGATCCATCACCAAAAGTCTTGACAGAATAGATGAAGGATTGGATTCTATAGTCGATGTCGTGGTAATGCGCGAACGCCAAGATCACCATCAGCGCAGACGATCGTCCGAGTTCGAGGAAAGAGCCAAGGGTGAAGATAAGTACACCTCGTTCTTCGATAAGAAACGAGAACGCAGAGACTCGGGTGGTAAGCTACAGAAACAACATCACGACAACGACTCGCGGCTTTTCGCTGGTAGGCATCACGATGTGTTAGGCTTCGGCAAAGCTCGATTCAATGCTGGTATGTACTCGGGTAATGCCCATCAGCAACAGCAACAGTTGCCCTTGCAACAGTTCATGGCAAAAAATATTCACCCTCGAGGTCAGACAAACACACCGAATCATCACAATCGAGGAAAAGTTACCGATGTCATCTCAGGGCTTTACTGATAATTAATTTTTTGACAAAAAATTGCTTGTAAAAAGACAAATGTTGTTTATATGATCAATATCTAATATCACGTTAAGGGGATATAGAAGCTAGCCAAAATATCAAATTTTCAATTTAGTTTTTTGAAATTTCTGAACTGAATAATTTGCCAAAACACTCTATGGTGACCTTAAGAAAATCAAAATGAAAGTCGCCATAGAGCCTTTCCGAGAAATATTCAGTAGAAGTTTTAGAAAACTGGATTGAAATTTTGATATTTTGGCTGGCTCTATGTCTCCTTAATTGTAATCTGTATAGTAAATATTTATAGTTTTCATTTATTTTTATTTTATATATGTTGAATTAGCGTTCGACTTTGTTTAATATAAAAAGCTCAATTTGAATTATTTAATTGAAAAATCGAACGATGTTAATATCATGAATCAAGTATTGTTTAGAATTTTTTTAATTTAAATATCCTTGTTTCGAAAAATTGTATAATAGTTCTAAGAGAGTTTATTTGATCTAGTTTTTGTTGGGTGAAGGACATAACAACCTATCTTAGAATATCAAACTTTGTAAGAACATTTTTGGATTTTTATACATTTGAATAAATAAAAAAAACGATGTGAAATAACTCGTCACAACAATCTTCTAAAATTTAAATTTAATTTAAATTTAATAAATATTAAAATAAAATATATTTTTTCGTGAACTTTCTGCTAACCAAAACTGTTTTTGTCCATACATTACCCTTGTAAGATTATCTTATTGTTTTATTCTCAACTGTAATTCTTGTTTGCTTATCAAATTGTATGTGTTGATTCATAAATATTATTTTATACATATTATTTTATGATTGATGAATTTGTATAAGAAATTTGTGACCAAATAAATTGTTATAATAACGACTAAAAAGTAAGAATTACCCACGCCCGCTCATTTCAAGTCTGTACGTTGCGCAACACCGTATAGAAGGTGTATATATTCCCGGATATCTAAACATTTAAAGAACAAAATCGAAACTCAAAGTAACAGAATTTGTAAAGAGTTGCAGAAGTTTTAAAAATAAGTTTTAACTTACTCTGTTCAAGCTTTCAAACGACATGGAATAAATACCACCGGCCTTTACCTCGACTGGCTTTTGAGCTCTCATTATCATCATCCGAATGCAATATCTGGAATTTGCGCTTGCATCCAGTTTTAGTGCCGAGTATGACGCATCGGCTATTAAATAACTCTGTTTTGCACGTTGACAGATGAAAAATAGTTTGAATTTTTTTCTCGTGATTTTTAGTCTACCAACCTCTTGCCTTATACACTCTGCTGACCATTGAATGTTGAACAATTGTACCATTAATGTTATCAAAATCGGTAAGAGCCTTGGTCTATTTGAAGTTGGCTGTAAGGAGCAACGGGAGTAATGTATTAATGAATTATTATAATTTAATAATAGATGTCTAACAAGTGAAACATTACATCAATAAACTCGAGAGCAATAATAGCTATATTATAAGTCACCGACGTCAAGTTGATAAGCAATAAATTTTGAGCCAATGATACACTCCTTTTGCTCAAACTGCATTCGAACATTTTTATTTACCTTTTCGTCTATTTGTATGAGTTTATTAAGGATAAAATCTTTGAAAAATGTATACCTTAAAATATCTTGATGAAGATTCACAAGCTCGATCAATGATGTGTAGTAACTAGTATCGGTTGACCAATCGATTTTTGCGAGATCATTTAGTCTTTTTCTCAGAATTCTGAAAAATCCAGAACACACGAGAAAAAGAAAAGAAGGAAAAACGTTACAAGCTGAAATAGAGACGACTATGCAAACATAAGTTATGCAGTGTATGGTGTAGACGATCTCGTAATTTGGCGAGTCGTAGACCTTGGTGTACCAGCTAAAAACAAAAGAAATCATCGTCAAGTCTTAGCGGCAGTAACGGTCGTAAAGTTAAAGTACTCTTTCCCTCACAAGAAAGGTAATATACGCCTCGACGTGCCGTTTGGCTGCAAGGGCGGCAGTCGACGATAAAACGTCGGCAGAAACGCACCCAAGCCAAACAAAAAAAAATTAGCCAAATAAAAAATGTACAATAGTCGTATTTTGTAATTGAAGCGCAGCAGTAGCAGAAGATTCTCGTGGCCAGTGTCCGCGCAGCGCGACCAAAGCTGGCGAAACTCGTGCAGAGTCCTGTTGCAGTAGTGGCGCTTCGAGTAGAGTATAACAAGCCGAGCCCACAGCGACATCAAGGGCAGTGTCCTCGACAAAAATCGAGCTGTTAGGGTGCCTTTGATGGCTTTAGCCACGGTACCAAAGATAAACACGAATACGTAATTGAACAGGGCTGCTATGATGAGCATCGAGATGACTTTGGCTGGTATGAAGTTGAAGCGACGATTCTTGTACGGAACTATGCCAATTATTCGAAATAACCAGTAATACGAAGAAGTGGAGCGCTCGTAGCTATCCATGATTTTGTTGGCTCCCCTTTATGCTATGTATCAAAGAAAGAAAGCCAAAGATCGTTTTCCGTTAGAAAATATTAGTAAATATTTACGACGAGTCGACGAATGCCAAGTCCCGCAGTTTTAGCTATTATGTGTGCGCTCTATAAGACGAAAATCGTTTAATAATTAATAATGCAAAGAAGCCTAGATTATTCCTCAAATTATACCATTGCGAGCATCAATATACATCGGAAGAAATTATTTGAAACCTTTATTTGTTCTCCAGAATGTTTTTTTTTTCTTATAAAAGCATTGGGAATTGTAATTTTATTTGATTTGAAAATATTATCGGGTTATTGCAAGATTTCATTGAAATTTCATTTCAATTTTTAAAAATTTTTTTAAGATGTTGTTTATTAAATGACATTAAAATAAAATGAAAAAATTTTTTTCAGACTTTAATTTGAGTTAGCATTTCAAAGAATTTCATTAAACTGAAAAGTGGGCTCTATTTTTCTAAATAAAACCTGAGAAATGTATTTGAAATTTAAGTATAGATTTAGTATAAAATTTGTAATGGACCGATTATTTAACGGAACCCGGTACTTAAGAATAAACGACGAAGAGTGAAAACGCAGCTTGGACGAAGGCTACAGTTGAAGTTATTGATCACGAAATTATAGGTGATCGTTATTGGATATTCCATTTTCTTCTAAAATAATTGTTTCTAGAAATTCAAAATTTTTCCCGGGTAACAGTTTATGTCATTAGAAAGGTTTTTTGTTATTTATGTTTTTTGTTATTTTTAGGGCTGTGCGAGTACCCGAGTTTTCGAGTTTTACTCAACTCGAACTCGACCCGAACTCGGCGAGTCGAGAAAATTTGAGTACTCGATTTTTTTCGGATACTCGAATTTTTTCGAGTACTCGCAATATATTTAAGTTTTAAGTAAATAAATGATGAAGTAACAGTCTCTAGACCACCTCCCTTTGTGTGTACGTGCTTATAAGTGTGATTAATTGTGGTGCTATTAAATTATTTTCTACTTTCAATTCAATCCACAGCGAATATCACACTTATAAGCACGTACACACAATTAAGGGAGGTAGTCTAGAGACTGTTAATTAATTATTTATTTACTTAAAACTTAAGTATATTACGAGTACTCGCACAGCCCTAATATTTATATGTGCTGAATAATTTATTATATTATACATTGTACTGAATGGATTGCTTGATCTCAATACCCAGAAGCGGAGGACTATTCGGGTACGTGTTGAAAAGTGAAAGTATTTACCAATCGACAGTTAGTATTTTGAACTAATTCCTGATTGATTGTATTATTACAATTTTACAATATAAATTAATTATTATTTTCCATTTATGGGTGAGTGTCACCAAAACCTTGGTATCAAAATCTTTTTGAATCTGATGCAAATCTGACGCAAAGTACTAGAATGTAAGAAAATTTCAGAAGAAATGAACCCGTTAATTTCTGCAGACAATGCAATTACTGCTTGATATTGAAACAGTAACAATCGTGCAGCAGAATTGTATCAACTTTATTGCGATAATTTTACCAAGTACTTTCTGAATGTTTTGGTAATTCTCTTTGGACAATAATTGATCTGAACAAATAAATGAAGGTATCATTTCGATAGGAAATTTTCTCAACTTTCTCATGCTGCAGTCAAAAATCAAAAATAAACCATAAAGTTCACTTTTTTCGTACTGAGTTTTTCGATATATTTAGCTCTCCGTATTTCATGGCAATTTTCTAGGTGAATGTGCGACGTATTGGAAAAGCTGATACCACCATCAGAAAGCTGAGAAAATTTCCCATCATAGTAGTCAGTTATTTTTTTGAAATAAGTTTTGAAACTTTTTGAGCCACTCAAAAATTGAGTAATTAGCTGTATTTACGGGAAAACATGATTTTTCGTCCTCTAAATCACAAAAGTAGCTATAAAAATGAGCACTAATGAAATGTCAATGGTTCCTACGTTGTAAGATGTTCCCAGGACCCTCAAAAACACTTCCCAGGGTTCCGTATCCACGTAGGTTGAAAAAAAAATTTGCCGTGATTCCACCTCAAAAAATGCGTTTTTCTTAAAGAATTGCTCATATAACGTATACAAATAATACGTTTCACTATATAACGTGCGTGAGCGGTGAGCACAACCAGAATTTGCATGCACTCGTCCGCACGCAGAACCATGTGTATGGCGGCGCACTATGTGGTCAGTAGTTTAAGACTACTTTTATTTTGGCTAGATAACAGAGTTTTTAAGCAAGATTTTTTTAATTCTAAAAAAAACTTTTTAAATTCACTTTGATCAGAAATTGAATTGAATGCTGAAACAGTTAACTAGTGATCTGCGCAATTATTTTTTCACATGTTTGTGCTACCAGGGAAGCTTGTTTTTTCACTGCGTTTTTGGATTGCACGTTGCTTCAAAATTTACCCCATGTACAATACCTCATTTTATGCGTATTTGTACCTAGAATTTGATTATTAATGAGGGACTACACCAAGTTATATCATGCACACCAAGAGGGCAGAAATCATAAAAAATACACTCCGTAACAAAATTATCGCATCAATCATTTTTCAAATGCTTCTAACTTGGTCTATTTTCATTGTATCTTGATGAATTTCTTTTTTGATTTCTTGGAAACGTTGTCCTCTTTGAATCCATATATATTATGTATGGGTTCAAGTTAAAATATCGAGTTACCAGTGGTGTTTGAAAAAAAAAAAATCATCAGAAAACCCTAGCTTCTCGTAAGCCGAGTTAAAAAATAACTCCTGGGTAAGTCAACTGCTTCGCGCACTTGTTACAAAATATACTATTATCAAAGTGTAACATACACTATTCGCGATTAAGCGATACCGCCACGCTCCCTAGTGGTCAATTTGAGTACTAGAGGAAAGGGAGAACATTGGAAAAATAGCGTGCATTTTCATGTAAATGTGAAAAATAAATATTGCTACAAGCCCAATTTTATTTGTTTGTTATTTTTAAATGAAAGTTTATACCTTAATATTATTTAAGGGATTTAGATTGCATTCAAAAGTTCTCTGACCTCTGAGAAAAACAAATTAGAAATCCCGAGGGCGGCCTTCTTTCTGCTACGCGCTCTCCTACGTGAATACAAAAGTTTCTGCTTCTTCTTCTTTTTCTTAATGGCCTTGGAATCTTCGTGTAAGAGATCACCGGTCTGCCACATTACATGCTTGGTTTCACATATATTATTATTACTACTTTACTTTAATTTTACTTTATATTATTTGACTAAAAGTTTCTGCTGTGGTGCTATGCAAGTGTTGTTGTTTAAATATAACTAGACGTTTAAGACGCGCTCTGCGCGTATCAATTTTTTTATTTGTGTTTTGAGGTTAGCAACTTTCAGACGCGCTTCGCGCGCGTACATCTTTCAGTCAGTTTCGAAAAATTTGCTATTATGACCGTAGATGTCACTTTATTACGTTTCGACTCGAGTCAAAAGTCAGTCGACCAATCAGAGGCCGAGTAGATTGGCTTCACTTTTAGGTCCATCTCTTTTTTATAAGTTAGATTCAATTCAATCACATAAGCTAATAAATTAATGTTTTTGTCGTCGCGAAATTTAAAACCGCACAACAAGATATGCTCTGCGAGCAAAACCGTTTCTCCTTCAATAATCGGTCTCTTTGAATCACCTAATATTGTTAAAATATCTTCTATATTTATTTCCAGAGTTGATGTGTCCTTTTTTTTATTATAAAAGAGTACGTGTGGGCACTTGGCAAAGTCGAGCAACAAACAAAATTTGTGCTAATGCACATAACAAATAATGATCAATGCAGACCGCGAAGTTCGGCATTTTGTTTTGATTATTTTAGGATAAAGAAATGATCTTTTGAATGACGTTAAAATTCCTAAAATAATATTAAGGTATAAACTTTCAATTAAGTTTTCAAATAAATAACAAACAAATAAAATTGGGAGTGTAGCAATATTTATTTTTCATATTTACATGAAAATGCATGCTATTTTTCAAATGTTTTCCCTTTCCTCTTGTAAACAAATTGACCATTAGGAAGCGTGGCGGTATCGTTTAATCTCCAATTGCAAAGTGCTCTTGTAAGCGAGTAATTGAAAAAAAATAGAGCTCTCTACAATCATTTTTGCATCCTGTAGATCGTTTTGAAGGTATCATTTAAAGTACGCAAAATGCCCAAAAATCGAGTCGATTTCAACTAAACGAGGGATTTTACGGCTCGGATTGACGGAATCGAAATCGACGGAAAAACTTTAAACTAGATTTTCCCGAGTAAAGCGGAAAATTTCAGAAAATCTGAGCTCACCAGCGGAATTGCAACTTCCCATCGAAATGATGCGTTACTTCTTTCTTCTTGATGCATTTTAGTAGATTACGCAACGAGTTGGAACACCTACTCCGCACGAGTTGAGTATACTATTTTTTGATACAGCTGCGGAAAGCTCGTTTTTGCGGAAAGCTACTCCGCACGCTGTAGCCTCAGTACCGGGATCTGTTACTTTCAAAGCATCTTACTGACTGTAAAAAACGAACTTTCCGCACCCTGTATCAAAAAGGTACTTTTACAGCGAGTTACAAATTTAACGATTCGACTAAATAATGCCGCGCTGTGCGGCACTCGGATATTTGACATTAAATGTTGTTTATCAACACTTGTTTATCAACTTTTTAATAGGATTAAAATTTCTAAATTCATATTTTGGTATGTACTTTCAATTAAAAGTGATAAATGTACAAAACTCATTGTGCAACATTTATTATTTTATACATTTATCGAATTTCCCATGTTATTTCGTCAAAAGTGCCCTAATACGCTAGTACAGAATTTCATCGTTCAGTCCCGAATATATGACTTATGAGTAGCGGCGTGTTGTCACTCAGTTCCTGTCATACTTACCAGGTGGAGCGCGACCCACACTCCTCGATACAATACAAACAGTCTAAACTAGCGTCCTGCGTCATTTGATTTCTTTCACGAGTTACGGTTACAGACAACTACAAGTCACTCACAGCTACTTGCATGTCATCGCGATTTCGCGACACACGAACGCACGCAAAATACGAGTTAGAACGTGTTACTTCTAGATACGTCTTGTGTGGGAATCTCTCGACCAATAAGAATCGCCTGAGTAAAGACTTTTATTCGAGATATAACAGTGACTGTGTGTGCGTGCAGTGTGACGGATCTTGGAACTGCGCGATTTTATTACTCGGGAATCCCTGAGAGAGCAAGAAGCCTTTCATTTGTTAGAGAATATTGTCATTCATTAACGTCACTGCAATTAGGACATTCGTCACTGCTGATGAGTACTGATTTTGGTATCCGAATTCGGTTAAACGATGGATAAACAACGTAAGTAAAATTCATGTTAGAAATTGCCGTGATACTTAGCTAACCATTGTTTCGAAATTATTACTATATACATATTGTTATTATTCAATTGGAGAATCGTACGTAAAATATATGAAAAATATATGAAAGATACACGTGATTTCTGATTCTCCTGATTAATCTGTGCCATTTTCTCATGTATTTTGTACATACATATATATCTCTATGTGTTTGTAAACATGATTTCTCAATAGTAACTTTGACTTTGTTGAGTTTTCATGTTGCCCAAGGAGACTTATTCTCTTATAAATTTAATCTACATTGTTAAAATTTTATAGGTGGTAATTCTAGAAAACACCGTGGAGGAAGCGCAGGTGGTGATCCAGGGAGAAGAGAAAATCAAGGAAATGGAAGAGGACGTGGAAGAGGACGAGATGGTGGAGGAGATAATCGCGTACAAGGACAAGAAAGAAATGATTCAAAGCCTGCTAAACCTCAGGAACAAGTGAGTAATTACACTTGAATTGTATCAAAAATCATCAACTTTGAACTACCTTGCGATTGATATACTATAATTATTCATCGAACTCTTTCAATCATTAATCTAATTTCAATCTAATGATTTTAATTATTAGAGTGGTCAGCCCTCGCAAGTTTTTCAGGGACATTCACAACCACCATCTCAATCGCAAGCTGTGAGATACATTTTTAATCATTTTTTAAAACAATACCACCAGCTCAAATTGTATTCTAATAAGCTATCTCTATTACCAGAGTGGTCAACCATTGCAAGGAGCATGGGGACGTGGACCATCACAATCTCAACCACAGGCTGTAAGATGATTTCTAAAAAATATTTTTTTTAAAAATGCTGTGCACTCTGAATTTTACTTTGATGATTTATTTATATTTCTAGAGAGGTCAACCCTCGCAAGTTTCTCAGAAACCTGCACAACCACCATCTCAATCGCAAGCTGTGAGATACATTTTTAATCATTTTTTAAAACAATACCACCAGCTCAAATTGTATTCTAATAAACTATCTATATTACCAGAGTGGTCAACCATTGCAAGGAGCATGGGGACGTGGACCATCACAATCTCAACCACAGGCTGTAAGATGATTTCTAAAAAATATTTTTTTTAAAAATGCTGTGCACTCTGAATTTTACTTTGATGATTTATTTATATTTTTAGAGTGGTCAGCCCTCGCAAGTTTCTCAGAAACATGCACAATCACCATCTCAATCGCAAGCTGTAAGATCAATTTTGCATATCTGAAAACAATGCTTAGACTCCAAATTTTATTTCAATGAATCATTTCTATTACTAGAGTGGTCAACCTTTGCAAGGAGCATGGGGACGTGGAACATCACTATCTCAACCACAGGCTGTAAGATACATTTCTAATAATAATGAGCTCTAATAATTTAAAAATAATGCTCTAAGCTTCAAAGTTATTTAAACGAATTATTTCTATCAAAAGACAAGTCAAACATCGCAACCAGCATGGGGACGTGGTCAATCGCAACCACAACAGGCTGTAAGTTTAACTCAAGAATCAATCATTTTTCTATACTTAGATGTTCAATAATGCAATCCATTGACAAATACTTTTCTTTTTTCATAATTTAGATTATTGAGACTGCAAAAACACCTGATCTTTCCTGCGTTCAGCTTGAACAACAAATGGTATCAATGCTTGTACATTTTTTTTTTCTTAATTCTCTTATGTTGAAAATAATTTTTTTTATTAGTTCATTTAGTGCTCGCGAGTTATTTCAAACTGGTTTTACTAATACATTCAGTAAATATTAACTATAAAATTTCTGTAAAGGGTTGATAAGACTCATAGAAATATGCCTCTCTTATTAGTTTTGAATGTATAATTCAATAAAGTCACTTGACTTTTTTTCAAATAGTAAGCAGTTCATCTTAAACTAATGTAAAAATGAACACCTGTATTAGTTATACAATTGATCTTGAAAAATTTTATGGTCAAAAACTTCATTAGTAAACTAAAGAAAATGGCTAAATAATAATTTCGATACTGCAGTACACTGCAAGCAATGTAGATGATTTTAAATTGAAAAAGAAAAGATACATATACATATATCGATAAATCTTAAAACAGTAGAACAATGAGAAATTTAATAATTAATTAGTACGTCAACTTTTTAACTAATTTTTTCTAGGAAAAAACAAATATTTCTAAATCTACATCTTCGGGACGTCCAGGAAGAGAAAAGCCTAACATGAATTTAGAAGTAAGCGTTCACACTACTAAATTAATAAGTCTCTTATGTGACATAAAACTACATTTCATGAATTGTTTAGGGTTTAATGATACCTCATAGGAGGAACTTGAATTGTGCTGGTTCAGCAGGTGACAAGTTTACTGTTAGAACTAATATGTATGAAATAAAATTTGGTGAACGATTTCCTACTATCATTTATCAATACGATGTAGAGATAATACCTGAAAAAAAGAAATATCTCTACAGAGCTGCTTTTTTGGAAGCAATTAAACAAATGTATGCGTCTGAAAAACCTCTTGTCGTTCCATTTGACGGCAAAAAAAATGCATATGCTTCTGAAAAATTGAAACTTGAAAATGTACGTTTTTCCCTTTACTTATATGAAAAGCATTTTTTTAAAAAACCAATAATTAATCAATTATGTTTCACAGAAGGAATATGAAGTCACTGTACATGATGCAGATAACCAGCCTACTTCATACAAACTCAAATTCAAGTTGACTAATGAAATAAATGTGTCATGGTTGAAACAAGTCCGTGTTGGCTGTGAAATAACAGATGATAAACTTACTGGCATACAGGCCTTGAATATAATAATGAACGACGCGCCAATTCGAAGAGGAGTGCAAGTATGAAAATCAAATGATAATCAATTATTTACCGCTAGTGATAATATTAATCAGAAATGTTGTATGGTAACTTGCAGAAAGGTCGAGCTTTTTATACTCATGATAAAAAAGCGAGCTATCTTGGTGCTGGATTAGAGTTATGGCTGGGATTGTTTCAGTCAGCGATTATAGGATGGAAACCATATTTAAATATTGACAGTAAGAATTATAAGAATTGTTTTTTTTTCTTTTTATATATTTTTGGGCTTCTTCACGAGTTAATTTTTTTTTAGTTGCTCACAAAGGCTTTTTTAAGCAGCAAAATCTATTGGATCTAGTTACGATAATATGTCGCGAATATTATAATCGCAATGACGATCGTTATCGTCCAAGTCGAGATGATATAGATCGTTGTACAGATCTTGCAATGGGATTAAGACATGTGCGTGTGACTTTGCAGATAGGAGATGCAAAGCGTTCGAAACAATGTATACAAACAATAGCGAAAGAGACAGCTTATGAATATTTTTTTGACCACGCAGGACATCAAATTTCCGTTTATGACTATTTTCTAAACTTTAAAAATTATAGAATCAAGAATCCTGATCTTCCTCTTGTCATGCTGGGAAAAACATCAGCTGTACCTTTAGAGGTATTTTTCATTACAAAATTTAAACTATTGTAAATCTGAAAGCTTGAATAATCATTCTTTTTGAAGGTTTGTCATATTGAATTTGGACAAACAACTGATAGCACCAAATTATTAGAAAAAACTACTTCTAACATGATTAAAGCAGCTGCAACGGGTACAGTCCATCGTAAGGCAAAGATAGAAACCGCTGTAAGTTAATTGAAAATATATTATCACAAATTATTGACTATATTTTTTATTCTTGATTTTTATCACTACAGATGAATATAATTTACAACAGTAATGATGACGCTATGAAACAATTTGGCATACAATTAGATAAAGAATTTGCGAAAGTTGATGCTCGACTTCTCAAAGCCCCGATTCTTTTGTATGGAAATAATAGAAAAGCTTACCCGTCAAGAGGAGTGTGGAAGCCTGAAAAGTTTCGTGTTCCTGGTTCACTCCAGGCTGCCAAAACAAAACACTGGTCCATTATAAATGCCGATAAATGGGTAAAATCAAACGATTTGTTTGATCTAGCTAAAGCAATCAAAACAGAAGGTATGATTGAAAAATTTTCTGTAATGTTTTTCAAATTTGAAACAACATTCACTTTACAGCTGGAAACCGAGGGATAACTCTGAGTGATCCTTTGCAGCCATTCCCCCAAGTTGAAAAAATGCCCGATCTCCAGAAGTGGCTTATACAATTAAAACGTCATGACTGTAAATTTGTTATTATCATACTTCCAGACAAGGGTCAGATAACATATGGTAAGTTTATGGGCGCTCGTATTCGTATTTGATGAAATATTTTTAACTTGTGATACTTTTAGCTCATACAAAAACATCTGCGGAAATTGATATAGGAATGTTGACTCAGTGCCTTAGAAGTAACACACTAAGAAATAAAATAATCTCAAGAAGAGACGCTGCAACGATGACCAATCTTTTACAGAAAATTAATGCCAAAATAAATGGTACAAATCACACGATAAGCAAAACAAGAGCTTTAGAAGGAGGAGTATGCATGCTTGTGGGAGCTGATGTTACTCATCCAAGTCCACAGAATCCTAATCAACCTTCTATAGCAGCTGTAATTTTTAATATTTATGTTATTTACTAAAAAAAATCACTTGAAAAATGATTAAAATATTGTTTTCATAACTAGGTTGTATCGAGTCAAGATCATGTGAATCATTTTGTATACAACACTGAGATCAGATTACAGGATGGAAATCAAGAACTGATTTCTGATTTAAATGCAATTATGCAAAAGCAATTGTTGGCATTTAGAAAGAATAGCGGCCGCTGGCCGGAAAAAATTTTTTTCTTCAGGTGAGTTCATTTCAATAAGTTAATCACCAGTTATTATAACAAATTCTTATATTTTAGGGATGGTGTTAGTGAAGGATTTTTCCGCGAAGTAATACAAAAAGAAATTCCTTGTATTGAACAAGCTTGCAAGCATTTGCAAAAGATGACAAATAACTTAGATAATGCAAAAAAACTATGTTCTCCTAAACTTACTTTTATCGTCGTTCAAAAGAGACATCATACTAGATTTTTCCCTTCAAAACCTGAGGAATCCGATGATGCGTCTAGGAACTGCAATGTAAGAGCGGGAACTGTTGTTGACACTATGATAACTCACCCGTCTCATGTTGATTTTTATTTATTATCTCATGCCAGTATTCAGGTATTAAGTAACCATTCATTTAATTAAATTATTAATGACTTGGCTAATAATTATTTTCTGTCAGGGCACATCAAGACCAACCAAATACAGATTGTTACGTGATGACAATAATATGTCTGAAGATGATTTAGAAGAACTTACTTATCATTTGTGTCACATGTTTACTCGCTGCACTAGATCTGTGAGCTATCCAGCTCCAACTTATTATGCACATTTAGCAGCTTTCCGTGCGAAACATTTTCATGATGCGTATGTATTTATAACTTTGATGTCTAAATCACCTCTAATTCAAATAAAAATAAATATTGCATTTTTTTATTTTAGTCAATCTAATAAACTGAATGGTAAACAAATAAATGATTGGAGTAAAGTACAAGCATTGGTAACGCTTCATCCAGAAATACAGAGTACTCCTATGTTTTTTGTTTAAATTTTCACATATTAAAACTTAATCATAATATTTTAATATAATTATTTTGGCTCTATACTTATATACCTGTTTTTTCAATAAACTTGTAAAATGGTGTCGCAAAGACTTTCATTGCAATTGTCATTATCTCCTTTATCAAATAACTCAGTACTATTAATATTTGCTGTTTTATTGACTATTGTTTGTTTATTCATTAATGTATTGTTACACCATTTGCTGAGAGCAACTCAATGAATGAATTTTATTGAGCTAAATTATAGTACAACGCTAATTCAAGTAAAGTAAAGCAATTAAATAATTTGAGTCAAAATTTAATTTTTATTATTATTTTGGCCAATGTTATTAACAAATAAAAAACAGGTAAAATGTTGCACTGAAATTTTTTTGTTTTTACAATTGTCGAGAGATAAATTAATTCCAGAAATTTCATTAGATTTTGGTTTTTACAAAGAAATAGAATTTGAAAATGTCTCATCAATAATAAATTATTAAAATTATTTACACATGTAAAAATCAAAAATTGTTTATATAGTATTTTTATTACATCTTATTTAAGTTTGTTTATACATCTTTGCACAGACAATGATTAAAATTATAAGTGAACATTTGGTAATCATTTACTTCAACTTCTTCTTAGGGCGCAAGTTAGATGTATGTCCACACTTCTTTTTGCGACAATTGGTTGCGCGAGGGTGGAGCCTTGCATAGCATTTTCTGCAAATCATTTTTTCACAATTGTATTTCTGTGCTAGCAGTCGAAGGGTTGGTTCTATGACACCGCCTCTCAGACGAAGAACCAAATGAAGGGTAGATTCTATAAATTACAAAATTTCCCAGTGAAGTATATCGAAGCTGTCAAAAGTTCCAAAGAAATTATAATTACCTTTTTGGATGTTGTAATCTTGGAGAGTACGACCATCTTCTAATTGTTTTCCAGCAAAGATCAATCTTTGCTGATCCGGAGGAATTCCTTCCTTATCTTGGATTTTGGCCTTGACATTTTCAATAGTATCAGAGGCTTCGACCTCCAAGGTAATAGTTTTACCAGTCAAAGTTTTGACAAAGATCTGCATTTTGTTATAACCTACGATCAAAAAAAAGTCACTAGTTATGTGTAAATGACCAAAATCATGATCAAATGTAATGAATGCAAGGAAGGAAATAAAAACAATGTTTTCGTGACGTGCTATGGATTCATTGAAAAACGGCTTCAACTACTGGCAAAGAAGAGGTTATAAATATTATGAACGTCAATTTTTAAACTAAAATTAAAATTGGTAGCTGTTTAATAATTGCATGCTCTATGTGAGTGATGTAAATAAAAATTGTAGCTTTTATCAAGACTAAATTACTCACAATGAGATGCAGTTAGTGGTGATAAAATGTCCTCGTGTGGTACACAAGACCCAGTTTAGCAGCTGATATACTATTGAGTAGAAAGAATTTTCGGTGGACGTAAAATGTGTAAAGAGCAGCTAGTCGGGTAACTCGATTTTTGTCGGCTAAATTACGCCGCGGATTATAATTCTGTCCGGTCCAACAGAGGTCAGAGTAGTGTAACCGTGTATAAGCTGTAAGCAGTGTTGGGGGTCACACCATTATCAAAGCGTAACCTCAGTGGTATGGGAGGCGCAACCATATCGACTATAGGTACACGCTAATACACTAACACACACACTTACATATACACGCAAGACCCACCATTAGGTAGAACGGTGAGGTTGGCCAATTACCCTAGTAGCAGAAAGGGCCGTAATCAACTAAAAAAAAAAAAAAAAGCTGTAAGCAGAATTTAAAAAAATAAAAAAAAAAAGCTGTAAGCATACTCGTGGCAATGTATAATATGAACGCCAATAAATATACTTTCAATTTCAATTTCAAGCTGTAAGCATTTATAGCGTGTACACATGCGCGTCAAATTCAGCACGAGTTTTGACAGTTCTGACTTCTGACCCAGCCAGTTGAACGTTTCCGTTGTATCAAAGTAGAATTTTATTGCATGAAAATGGAAAATATTAGAATTTTGTTTTGCAAAAACTCGAATTCACTTCTCAAGTGTTTAAGTTCTGAATTTTTGCGAAAAAAATTGTTGGAAGACGTGGAATTCGATTTCTGGCCCCATGGGGTTTAAAGATTATATCGCAAGTAGCTCGCTTTTCCCGATTGGTGCAATGTTGACCTTGGAAAAATTTATTTTGAGTATGGAAGAAAAAGACGCGTCGGAAATAATGCATATTCAGACGATAAAACAAGGGTAGATCATGTATCAGAAAAGCAGGTCAGATTTCGGTCGATACGAGTCACGATGGAGAAGTTCTCTACACGTTTTATTAAAATATATTCACACATTTCCTATATGTATAAGCTCTGGTCTGGTAAATTGCTGCAATTATGTATGGAGGCTTAATCGTTGCACGAAAATTGTTCGCAGCTAGCATATATGCGCAATTGCACAAGTTGAGCAAGCCCAGGGATAAGATCCGTAATACATGGGGCAACATTTTTGATTCATCGGTAAAAGGAGTCATGGAAATTTTTGATGGTCGTTACTTGAAAATGAACAAGTCGCTGCTGTCGATGTTCGGCTTGTGGCCCTATCAAGACGGGTCGAAAAAATTATACTTGCAGCTATTTTTCGTATCCTTCTCGGTCGTTTCATCCCTGCCCCAAGTAAATTAGCTCGTTACGTTGTTACATAAATTTTAGAGCGAAAAAATGGTAAATTAAAATATATAACACGCACCGCGTCTGGCTGCTGCAGCTCTACGGCTTGGCGAAGAATTTCGGCGTGCGAATGGACAAGGCGATCGAGCACGCGACCCTCATCATCTACATCTACGGCATAACTCTCAAGCTCGCCACCTCGATCCTGTCCGAGAGTAAGCTGGAAAAGGTGTACAGACGAGTGGCCGAGAACTGGCAGTCGATCAGGAATCGAGCTGAGATCGAAATACTGCGCGAGTACTCGGAGAGAGGCCGCCGCTTGACCATCGCTTACATAGGTATCGTTGCACCTGTAATACATTACATTTATATTTTCATAAAGAAAAAAAGAAAAAAATGGAGAAAAAAATGCTCTATCTGCGATGCAGCTTACATGGCCAATGCGCTGCTGTTCTTCATATGCTTGCCGATGGCGCCGGCGATCCTGAACTACGCGCTGCCCCTCGACGACGGCAACGCCTCGAGGCCCCTCGACTTTGTCATGCACGGCGAATTTCCCTGCGACGACATGTACGACTATTACCTCGAGATCTACGCCTTCGACTGTTGCACCTGCATCGCCACCGTCTTCATTTTTTGCACGATCGACTGCACGTACGTCGCCTGCGTCGAGCACTGCCTCGGCTTGTTCGCCATCGTCAAGTACCTTTGATTTATCCTTGACTCGCTCGTTGCGATGCCACTTATTCTCATACAAACTCTTCTTCGTATGTGTCAACGATGTAGGCATAGGTTGCAACGAGCCACTCTATTCAGCAAACATAGTGCGCACGACAACCGAATCATTTACGATTACGTTGTTGATACGGTCAAACTGCATAAGAAAATTATTGAGTTGGTAGATTATCCTAATTTTATCGCTATGACTAACTCCTATATACCGATGTTCATTTTCAAGATTCACGGATATCCTCGAGTCGTCCTACTCATTGTCCTTTCTCATTCTCATGGGTATGAACATGATTTACTGCAGTTTTGTTTGCGTACTGGTAAAGTGAATTTTATTCGAAACTTTTATCCAAATTACGATATGTCTTTATTTTGGTACAATTTTTTTCTCTTCAATTTTATGCAGCTTTTAATAAGAAATGACGATGTCATGGAAAGGATACGTTGGACCGGTATACTTTTTGGATTACTCATACACTTGTTCTACATAAGTTGGCCAGGCCAGAAGCTCATCGATCACAGCGAGGGTCTTTTTGATGATGCGTAGGCCTCGTCAAATTATTCTTTAAATGGTGTTGAGGAAGTATCTATTTGGCAGTCAGTAAAACCCATTCTTGTGCCGTATCTACGAATTTTTTTGTGTTTCCTTTTACACGCAAACAATATCATTATGGGTTATTTGGCCGCCAAATACGGCAATTTATTGTCATAGTAATGGCATGATAAATGATTTTTAATTGTAGTTACTGCAACGAATGGTACGAATGCTCGATCGAGACGAAAAATTTGCTCATAATCATGCGGCTGAGATGCTTGAAACCATGTCAACTGACCGCCGGAACTTTGTATGTTATGAATTTTGCCAATTTCGCCATGGTATACATTTTTGCCTTTTAATCATTTTAACATTCGTACTTGGGATGTTCAGAATCATGTTTTTGTTCCTAGATTACCAAAACGTCTATGTCTTATATTACAGTATTATCATCTTTCACCTAATTATCTCGTAGAGTCAATGTTTTTGTTCATTTTTAATTAATATTGTTTCGTATCCTTGGCTATATGTAAATTTCATACAATTAGAAAAATATTCGCATGGCATAAAATAACTTATCGCAATACTTTCTACGTTCATTAGCCATCCATGAAACTTGTATTGCGGTGCAAGTTGTGGCGACTCTTGGCAGAGACTTACTTAGCGATTAATACGTTGTACAAGCCACAAAAGTTTTACTTGCGAATGCATCGTTATTCCACGGGTATAGTTACGTAAAAGGAAATAAAGCAGGAGCAAAGCGAGAGGGAGACTCGGCGAATAAAAAGTAATTTTAAGGTTGCGAGTCCATCAGGGCAGTAGTCTCTGCGCTATGGAAGAAAAGTCGAGCTTTTACCGGGGAGTCCGTCGGGTGCAAAGTCGAGTCCTGCGGCTGGCCGGCCTCATACCCTTGGAGAATGGCAAGCTCGGCTTCGTAGGCACCGTTTGCCTGTCGGTCTACGTGAATCTGGCCTTCAGCGCCGTGAGCAGCGTTTACGTGTGGGCCTTCGTCGAGGACTGCCGCAATCGGCGCTTCAATCCCGACATCACGTCGGAGATGTTCTCGTTCGTGGGCTTTCACCTGCGCTTCTTGTACATCTTTGGGCGTCGGAGAAAGTTGGCCGCGATGCTGGACTACTGCGAGTCGTTGTGGACTCGCGTCGAGAGCCACGAGAAGGTGCACGTGCGAGGCTTTGTGCGAAAGGTAAGTAAGCTGAGCTGCTGCTACTCCGGCATCATTCTGACGACGATCACGCTCTACGTGCTGAGCAGCCAATTGCCTCAGTTGACGGCTACGTCGAGCAACGAGACCGTTCACCGAGTCTTGCCCTATCCCTTTTACTTCGACGTTCAGGTAAATGCCACCACCAATCTAGTTGCTACGTTCTCTCTCTCTCTCTCTCTCTCGCTCTCTTTTCGCCGAAGCTTATAAGGCTCGATTGCCCAGTCGTCGCCTAGGTACGAGATACTCTTAGCGACTCAGATCGCGTGTCTGCTGACGGTGACGCAGACGAGCGTGTGCGTCGACACCTCCATAGCTTTTCTCATTATGATCGCTTGTGGACATTTTCGGCTGATCCAAGTGAGACTCGAGCAGATTTCCAGTCACATCGATGCGAACGAGCGTGAGGCGCATCGTTCGCCGCTTCGAATCGAGAAAACAGGTCCGCTTAGCAAAATCCTCGATAATAAGGACGACGATCGCGTCGAACGCGAGACTCGAGTCGATGGAAAATGGACCGGCAGAGTCATTAGTCGAAAAATTCGTCAGTGCGTCAAGTACCACGGAGAAATACTGCAGTAAAATTAATGATTATATACTGAAATGGCGGCCACCCGCACTCCGATTAACGGCGTTACGTTGCAACTTTGCAGATTTTGCACAGAAATCGCTCGACTCTCCAGCGAGATATTCATGATCGAGCTTATAAGTACTACGTACAATTTGTCGCTCATCGGCATTCTCTTAGCCGGGGTGGGTATGAGTATTTATTTATACGGAAAATAGTTTTCGCGACAAATTTATAGTTCATCGAGTCCTCCCTCTGTAGAACATGCCATTGACGGAAAAATTCAAGTTTGCCCCAGTTTTGCTAATTCTGACTACTCAATTATTTGTCTGCCAGTATCCACCGGATCTTCTTCTACGCGAGGTTCGTAAAATGCAATTTACTCGGCCAATTGGCATTTATCGCCAGAAACATTTTTCTTTTTCTTTCATTTTTACAGAGTCTAGGTGTAAGCGATTCGGTTTATTTCGTGCCTCCTTTTCGCAACGATCGATGGAGAATCGATCGCATGCTTCTCATGATGCTCAGGCGGTCTCAAAGGCCTTATCAGTTACTGGCTGGAGGTCAGATTAAACTCAACATCGAGTCTTTTGGAAACGTAAGAAATTATTTTTATCGTCCAGACATTCCCATACAGTACTAATGACGAGCTCTTTGTACTTAAGATGATCAGAGGGGCTGTTTCATTTTTCACTGTTTTACGGAGTTTCAATTGAAGACATCAACACGAGATCTAATTCGTGTGTGCAAAAAGTTTTGGATTCATCTTAAATATTACGTATTCTTTCTCAATAAAGTTTAAATGAAAATTGCCTCGCAGTCTAAAATTTTTTACTTCTCTGATCTAAGTGCATTATTGATTGCGGTTAGTACTATTACCTTCTTTGTCTCTTTGTCTCTACTTTTACCCTCTTGATTTCACCCTGTACGAAATTATTTTAATCATCGACTGGAATTAAAAATAAAGGCATTTTAATCGCAATCCTCATCGACCCCTTTCGTAAAATCGATGGGCCTTAAAACACTATGATTACAAATTCAAACTTTTAGAACGTCAGAGATCTCACTGTGACTTGCTAAGAATGGAAATTTACAACAGTCGTTATTTCAGAATTAATAAATTTTTCCTAAAATTATGCGGCCTATGGCCTGAACAATCGGCGACAATGAAACTCGTTTTAAGAATTTTTTTCATTACTTCGTTTGGTATCGCTATGTTGCCGCAGGTCAGAATGACATTTGATTTGATAAAACAACCGCGTCGACCGATAATTGATTAATTTATTTTTTTTTTTTTTTGCAGATCAACAGTTTGATTATAAATTTCGGTAGTAGAATGGAAATCGCCATTGAAAACCTAACACATATTTTGTACTTCGTAGCTGTGCTATTGAAATTAATCGTTACAATGGTTGCCGAGAAAGAGGTTTACTTGCGTGTTCGTAAGTTTCAAAAATTATCGCACTACGTGTTTAATAAAAACGTTTTTCCAGCTCATGAATCTTTACGCGGCATTAGAAAAAAATTGGATCAAGATCAAAGATCCAAAAGAAAAGGAGATACTCTACGAGTATTCGGAAAACGGCCGACGTCTTACTCTTGGATACGTAGGCAAGAAAATATCGTATTTTGAAATCAAATAAACTTTAACGCATTGTGCATCATTGGTTCACAGCTGGTATGTTGTTAGCCGGAAATTTTTTTGTATCTCTGCCGTTATCTCCGATCCTCATGAATTTTGTGCTGCCGCAAAACGAGTCGAGGCAACCGGACTTTTTGCGACATGGCGAATTTCCCGTAGCCGATATGCGTGATCACTATCTTGAAATCTTTGCCTTTGACGCCTCCTCGTCATTTCTCACACTTATGGTTTTGGCCGGCGTCGACAGTATGTACGTCGTTTGCGTCGAGCATTGCATCGGATTGTTCGTCATTCTCAAATCGCGATTACGAGAGACCATTCCGTTTGCATTGTCAAAAGCTCAGAATAAAACAGACAAAGTTGCCTACAAGATGGTTTTCGACTCGATCAAGTTGCACAAAATTATCATCGAGTTCAGTTTATTCGCTCATTTGATTTGGTGAAATTTTACTCTATTTAACTTACTTGCTCTCATTTTAGTTTTGCGCAGACGCTCGAGTTCACATATTCAACTTCATTTTTACTTCTAATAGGAATGAAGGTTATTTTTTGCAGTATGGTTTGCGTCTTGGTTGTTATTAAAATTTTCAACTTTTCATTTTTATTAACAATTTGGTATTGCTGCTAAATTAAAAACTTTGTTTAGATATTATTACGAATTGATGAGCCACACTTGTTCATTCAATTTTCTGCGGTACTAGGTGCAATGTTGTTGAATTTATTTTACGTTAGCTGGCCTGGACAAAAAATGATCGACTACAGTACTGGATTATTTGACGACGCGTTGAGTATCCATATCAACAAGTTATTTTAATCATGTTTTTATTTTATATCAAATTTATGTATAGTTGGATGAACCATTGGTATGAATCATCTCGTGAGACTCAACAACTCTTACAAATTATGAGAATGAGATGTTTAAAACCTTGTTATCTGACTGCTGGTAATCTATATGTGATGAACTTTGAAAATTTTGCAAAGGTATACTACTTCCTCAAAGAAACATGGACTTTCAAGATGAGAATTTTTCATGAACGCTGTGTTTCAGATCATTAAAACTTCAATGTCATATATTACGGTTGTTGGGTCAATTACTTAAGAACTTCAATTAATTTAAATTTTTTCTTTAGTATATTTTACGAATGTTTATCATTGAAGTGCAATCCACTTTTTACTTTTAAAATGCAAAAAAGTACATGCCTCAAATAAATAAAAATGTTTTTTGCTGTGACCATCAATACTTTTTTTCATAAAAAGCTAAAGGTTTGTTACAGAAAAAACATTCAATCTTATAAGTTACAATGTGCAATTTTATGTAGTTAAGTTAGATTAGATGAATGTATAAAATAATGTCAGAAAATTCAAATACAACATTTTTCATACCAGCAATTTGAAAGTGATTATTTTTCTGACGCTGAGCTAATTGGGAAAAGTTATTTTCGGTCTACGAAAAAAAAAATATCAAATGCTCATTATTCATAGATGGCATCGGTCGATACAGCATCATTTCATACACCAATATTTTAATAACAAAAGAAAATATTATAACGCAATCGAAAATATAGAAGAGACTGATTTGCAAGACCTCGACAACACACATTCTTTGACCATGAAATTGTCAGAAACTCCTCTGACGAACAATCGATTCATTTAAGGGGACATTCCTATAGCAAATTGTAAAAAAAATCACTTTTTAAATATTTTTTTTTTTTTAAACTATAATTTTTATTCATTCCGGACCTTTTGGGTATTGTTTCTTACATATTAAACTACAAAAAAAAGACCCATTTTGTTGGCTGTAGACGGAATTTGCTGAAATCCGTGTTTCAGCTCTTGGCATTGAGAAAAAACTAATGGTCCGATCTTTACATTTGACGTCTCGTTTTAATCGTTACAACTTTCTCTAGAAGACAAACCTCTAAAAAATTGATATTTTCAATTTTTACGATTTTGGCACGAGTTTTTCTTAAAAAAATGCTCTTTCCGGTGGTTATGGGGGTGAATTCACATTAATTTTAAATTAATAAAACTAATGCGAATTTTCGCTAATTTTACATCGCTATACAGAGAGTCCAATTACGATTGGAATATTGATATTTTCCATTGCGTTCAATGTAAACATCACACATAAATTTGAAAGAATGTGTGCGGTGTGAATATGAGTAATACTTTTTAAAAAAACCATTTTAGGAAGTATAATCACGGCAAATTTTTTTTTTACCCCACGTGGATACGGACCCCCATGAAATGTTTGTAGGGTCCCAGGAACATTAAAGAACGTAGGAACAGTCGAAATTTTGATAGTGTATTTTTTATAGTTACTCTTTTGATTTAGAGAACGACCAATCATGTTTTCTCGTAAATATGGCTAATTACTTGATTTCTATGTTGCCTAAAAAGTATCAAAACTCATCTAAAAAAAGTAACTGACTTCTCTATTCGATAGGAAATTTCCTCCTCCCCTCTCCTATTAATTTTATGGTTTATTTTTGATTTTTCCTTGTGAAAATAAAAATTATCGAACAATCTGACTCGAAATCTCATATTTATTGAAATTTTCAGTGGGATTGAAATGTTATAAGCGCAAGTTTCGAGACGCCGAATGCTGGGAACCGTGCGATCGCGCTGAAAACGGCTGGAGAGCGAAAATTGGAGAACAACGTAATAGAAACTCGCTCGTAAAACCTATTGATTTGACTGAAAATATACATAAATATGTGGTGCCGATAGGAAATTTTCTCAGCTTTTTCATGGTGCAGTCAGATTTTTCGATAATTTCCATTTTCACAAGTAGAAAAAGTCACAAATAGTCAAAAATAAACCTCAAAGATCACTTTTTCCTTACCTAGTTTTTTGCTCATATATCAGACATTACATTAAAAATTTTCAAACTTAATAACTGCACGGGTTATTTATATGAGTAAATCTCGTGAAATTTTAATTAAAATTTTTTTTTCAGAGCACACTTGGGAAATTTTTTTTGAGGACTTGTAAGTTATTCAACAACCTAAAAAAAAAGTACCCATCAAATTCGGATGGGGGCCTTTGGAGATTTAAAAAAGTACATGTCAAAGCTGAAGTGATTGAACATATTTTTTAGAAAAAATGTGCTCCAAAATTTGGTTAAAATATTAATTTTTCGCCATTAAAAAAACACATGGCGTTATCTTTTTCAAAATGTCGAAAACTAAAATGGGCAATATAAATTTTGCCATTTAAAGTAAAACTATTAATGCGCAACGCAAAATTCGATTAAAATTTAAAATGCACTTAAAATCAATAATGGGAGTAGGCAAAGCCCATGTTTATATCGTATGTAACATTTTTTACAAAGCACGCACATCAAAAATAGACATACCACACGATTCTGCTACTCAAAAACTATTTTTCCCCATAATTTGGTGATGATAATCCTATTGGGATATTGGGATTTTCTAAAAAAAATCGTTAAAATACTAAAAATCGAGTTAAATTTTTCCTAAGAGTGTATAGAAGGCTCGGGTAATTACGCACACCATTTAGTGACATTTTTTTCGAAAGTACAGATTTTGAGGATTATTTGGTGATGATTTGGATAAAAAAGCTCGATGGGCCAATCGGGAATCAGAATTTGAAAATTAAAAATAAGATGAATTGAATTTCAAAACGCATAAAAAACTCCACAAAATGCATGATTTTTGTATGAATTCGAGTATGGATCCCACTAAAAGTCGTTCTCAAGAAAAGAAAAAGTTGTAAATTTCACATAAACAATGCCAGGAATGGTAATTTTCAAATGTTCACACGAATATTGTGGAGTTGACAAAAATATTAAAATTTCACGAGATTAACTCATATGCGTTATTACGAATTTATAAAAAATTCGTTGTCAGTATATAGATATTTATCATACTTTGAAAAAGTGCATAAAAACCGCATAAGGGTGCATCGGGCGCATACCAAGATCTAATCAGTAACGCGTCAAGTCCCTAAGAATATACCCATAAAATTTCAAAGCAATGGGGTAAAAAGGTTTCAAGTTATCGTATGACTGCGAACACATCAAAATTAGTCAAATTGGCCATGAAACGGCTTCCCAGCTTTAATTAATAATTTATTATTATACATAACTTTGAAGAACTAGTATCATGACGATCGATTAATTGAAAGAATACGAGTAGCGTACAGACTATGCAAAGTATAATTTACAACACTCCAAACATTTGACTCTATATACTTTGTTCTTCGCGACCACAATGAAAATGTTCTGTGTATTAAATCAATGACTGGAGTAGACCGTATTTATACATTTCAAATGATGAAGTCAACATATTAAATTTTCTATAACACAGTTTTATTTTTCTTAACTGCACTGGAAGGTTTTAAGAAATGAATTTTACTTATATAATTATGACAAAACATACGAAATTCATTATTTCATTATATATTTCATGAAATTTTTCTTATAACAATTTTAAACTTTTTTAAAATATTATACTTTTGTATATTATAAGTTACTAACGACCTCGTTGGGTCTTTGCCCACGATAAATTTATACGAATAATGCAAAATTATATCATAGACATTTTTGTTTGAAGTGTATAGTTGCATTTTTATTCAGATCAAAACTTGCGGGTACTCAATATTTTTAGTAGTAAACGAGCATTTTTCATGCTTGTTTACTCCTAAATGGTCATGGTTCTCACGACACTCTTGCTCTTAATATGTTCTCTCGGAGAATTCATCACGTCAACTTGTGTCGACATATCTCGTGAGATCACTTACAGCGATTACATCAATTATCAGGATGATCTTTTGATTCTAAAATCGATCAATTTGATTTTTTTACGCTTACGAAGTCCAATAAGCATCGAACAGTACAGTACGGGAAAAGTGGCCAATATGCGACTCTTTTCCGTCAATGTTAATCAAATTTATTCCATTTTTATAATTTTCAAAACTACTTTTAATTCATCATAAAATTATTATTGCATATTTCCCGAATTATAAATAATGCAGAAAAAGTACTTTTAAAAACCATTTTATTAGAGTTTATTGGCAGCATTATGCACAAAAAAGCCGAACTTTCAAAATTATTTTTTCATTTAAAAACCAAAGTTTTTATCTTACAACCGTTTTGATATTTCGAAATACGAGCATTTACGCTTTATGTAGATATTTTCATTTTTTTCCTTTTAATTAAACTAATTACAAGTACATTTAACAATCATATTTGACCCGTGAAGTATATACGAGCGGACGGATTGTTTTGCCGCCAGGAAAATCAGCTGGTCGATTTGTGACCGTCAGTGTTTTATACACTTTATAAGTGAGCGATAATTCTGTCCGGTCCAAGAGAGTGGTGGAACGTGTATAAGCATAGGAAAATCCGGCGTTTCATCGGACAGAATTACCACTCACTTAGTTGACTTAGTGTATGTACGAGCCGGCGTCCTATTAGCAGTCCGGTGGCGCCACATAGCGTCCACAAGGCTAAGCAAAAGAAGAAGAAGAAGAACGTGCCTCCGCGAAATCTTTCTCTGAGGCTCTCCTTTTACGACGATCATGGGTCGTATGCACGCGCCTGGGTTAGTTAAATTATTTTGTATAAATAATTTTTGTATTCAAATATCGCGATAGTTCCCATCGCTACTTTTTTTTATCTTAATCTTCATTATAGAATTATAAGACTTTTGCTTAACAATCAAATTGCCCTATGTGGAATAGTTTCCTTCACATGGTCTCAATGATCAGAGATATTTTTAATGAAAAAACATGAAAAGTTACAATTTCCAAAGTCATATTAATTTTTCGGTGTTTTGGAATTATTAGAGTCGACCAAATATACATTAACTATGTGATTACTTAAATTAAATTATTTTTCCTTTTTGGAGGTTAGTTTTGCACACGAAATTCTTTAAATGTTATATTTATTTAATCAAATTTACTAAGATGCGATACTTGAATGTTAATGTATTCTAGTCAGGTATTCAATGGTTGTTGTCATAATCATTATTTTTTTTACAGTAAGGGTATATCCCAGTCAGCTCTGCCTTACCGCAGATCTGTTCCAAATTGGTTGAAGCTCACTTCTGAAGACACAAAAGAGCTGATTTATAAATTAGCCAAGAAAGGTCATACCCCATCACAAATCGGTGAGTTATTTTTTAAAATTTTATTTATTCATTTATGCAACATCCAGCTGAAATCAGATTTATTATGTCTGATGTTCTTCCTAAATGTTTGCAAGAGTAAATTATTGATGTTTGAGGTGATTACAAAGCTGTCCCTTTGCAATCATCATAGGTATTCAATAAACATTCTTATAAATATAGATAACAAGTAATGAAAAAACTTGCATGACCTATTACCAAGTAAAAACTGAGGACTAAAAATAACGTTGTTTACATGAATTTCTTTGTTTACAGGTGTTATTTTGCGTGATTCTCATGGAGTCGCTCAAGTACGTTTCCGCACTGGAAACAAGATTTTAAGAATCGTGAAAAGTATGGGTCTAGCTCCAGATCTACCCGAAGATCTGTACTATTTGATCAAAAAAGCTGTAGCAATACGGAAACATCTGGAACGGAATCGCAAGGATAAGGATTCCAAGTTCAGATTAATTTTGGTAGAATCTAGAATTCACAGATTGGCCCGTTATTATAAGACAAAAGGATCTCTTCCTCCAAACTGGAAGTACGAGAGCTCTACTGCTAGTGCACTTGTTGCTTAATTTTTTTTTAATGAAAATAAAAATTATTTAAAAAAAGCACAAATTATTCATCTTTTAAAGTTCTAAACCCTACCTTAATCATTAATATTAATGCAAAACTAAACTCAACTATAAATTTTCTTGTCAACCTTGATATTTTCTTGAATAACTGTCTCTTACTTTGTGGACAATTCCATTATGGCAATAAAAAGCCAATTAAAATTTTCAACTGGCAATTCAAATACAACAGTACTTTGTTAAAAAAATTATTTTTATCGTTTATTTGCACTAAATACTTCAAAACTTACACTATACATAAGTTGTCGTGGTGCGAGTTTATTTTCGAATCGTTTAAAATTTGGAATTGGTCAAAATCGTTGTGATTTTTCTGAGCTTTTTACTAGCTAGGGAATTGCATTTTGAAGGAACTGTTGGGAAAAAAAACGGAATATCATGGAAACCTTCAAAATAGTTTATAAGCATTGACATGAATTTCGATGGGAAATTTTGTCGTGTAATTAAACAAACTGAAAACCCGTGATTTCAATCATTAAGGAAACTTGAGTATCCTAGAGCTTTTCAATGAATATTAATTTTCAATATTTCAATTTTAACACTAACATTGAATCAAAGAATGTAAAGAAAATGCTATATGAAAATATGGACGTTACTATTTATAACAATAACTTAAGACAGAAAATAATGGGTATAAAAATTTCTGAACTCTGAAATTAATGTATATTAAATTTTATTTAAATGCGAGTAGGATATGTATGTTTACAACAAAAATCCTAATGTGAAATCCATGAATTAATCTTAAAAGATCGTCACTGACATCTTATTACAGATAAAAATCAAACTATCATAAATAACAATAAACATTGTAGAATTAATATACAAATTTCACAGTGATTCAATTAAAATTGCTTAATCTTCTTCATAAATACTGGTCTGTTAAACTCGAATGGCTGCTTCGCATGTTCACTATTTTTTAATCTAGCTTTAATTATGGAGTTCCATTCGAAAATTCGCTGGTAACGCGAATTGTAAATTTCAGTGAGTGTATGTGTATGTGTGAATGTGTACCATTTGTAATTTTGTTAAAAGCTGCATAAGGTGAGCGTGAACCACTTATGACTAGTTTAACGGACTTATAGAGCAAGACCCGCCTCGGAATAAGTTGTAAAAATCTTTTCTATTGAATTGACATAAGCTGCTGTCCTCAGATCAAGACCCAGGTTGAATTTCATCGCAGTCTTCATAATTGCCTATTGATAATCAAAAGTGGCATTTAGTAAGTGTTATAATAGCTATGATTATATAATTTATGATAATATTGTAGATGAAACTTACTCTAGCTGATCGTTCCATGGTATAGTCTAATCCAGAGTGAACAATATCTTTTTCAGAAGCACCAGAAATGCGTTTTTGGAAAGATTCCGAAGGCGTTACTGGAATTCGGCCACCGACGCGTCCAAATCTACGCTCAAGTGATTCTTGAACGGATTCTATAAATAAAAAAAAAGTTATGATTTTCCTAACTGTAAGAAGAAAGTGTCAAATTTAATCAATAGGCTACCGAGTAAATGGTAGTTGGATTCCCGTTCGTATTTGAAAGTCAAACGTCCATAAGATACATGATTAAGATCTTTGAGCCATTCGAAGAATGAAACGGTCACACCACCGGCATTGATGTACAAATCAGGAATAACAAGGATATTTCTCTCAATGAGAATTTTGTCGGCTGCGGGCGTTGTTGGTCCATTAGCAGCCTCGGCAATGATTTTGGCCTGAATCCTTCCGGCGTTATCCTTGGTAATTACTTTTTCAACGGCTGCGGGAATGAATATGTCGCAAGGCTCGTACATGAGATTTTCACCTTCGTATGGTTTGGCGTGGGGAAAACCAACGATGCTACCATTATCCAAGCGGTACTCTTCCAAAGCCTACATGAAAGCATTTTCGTTAAAAAAAATTGATTTCAAATCGCGACGTGAATGAAATTTTTTAATACCTTAGGATCAATGCCATCAGGATTAATGATCGAACCGTCATGTTCGATGACACCAATGCACGTGGCACCAGCCCGATGAAGATAGCGCATTGTGTGCAGACCTACGTTGCCGAAGCCCTGCACGATGAAGGTTTTGCCACCCCAACCGGGCGTTGTACCTGTATACATAATCATGAAAATCATTTCGTAAGCTCGTTTACTTAAACGACTCTGATGATGTTATGTAAAAGTATTTGCTCAATGAGCTTTATGTTTGCCTTTCACGAAAAGGACATAGTATAAAGTAGCGATTTGAATAATCATAGTGAAAACTAACCAATCATGCTCATGTAATTGGCTTCGTTGACGAAGTTTTCTAAACCGTGAAATACACCCCGACCCGTGGCGGAGATACGTCCGTGGATACCACCTTGGTTGATGGGTTTACCCGTGACACAGGCGTGGGCATTGATGTCGAGATGGCCAATGGTCTTGGCATATGTATCGGCGATCCAGGACATCTCACGCTCACCAGTGCCCATATCCGGGGCTGGCACATCCACGCCAGGCCCTACATTCATGCGTGTTAAAACAACACATTTGGCGTTAGTAATACAACTACATGTATATGAATTTTAGTGAAGAGACCAACCGATGAAGCCCTTTTTCGCGAGCTCCAGTGTAAATCTACGGGTGATCTTTTCGAGTTCGTTGTCCGAGTACTCCTTAGGATTGATTTTGATGCCAGCCTTAGCCCCGCCAAATGGTACGTCAACGCAGGCACATTTGAACGTCATGAGAGCCGACAGTGCTTTGACCTCATCGCGGCACACATCCATTGAGAATCGAATACCTGCAAAACAAACGCATATAAAACGCATTTTCGAGTTTTTTTCCGTATTATATAGGGGGCAAAATTGCGTAACGCGCGTAAACGTACTAATACAATCAGATTAGAAGTTCGGGTCTTAAAATAATATCGAGAGAGTGGAAAAGCTTTTTGCGTGAATGTCAGCCAAAAACATTTTCTCGAAGCAAGCCTATGAATAGAATTTCCAAGTTTTCGTCTACGATGTTGTTCGGTACGCGTCTCGCGTTTTCTCCCTGACGGTTAATCACAACCGTTTTAATTTTTATCGAGTACATAATTTGTTCATCAAGTGATTCAATTTCTCGAGTATTTCTCGAGTATGTTATCGAGTTTGTCGCGTATGTATTAATACAGATTTAAATGCAGAGCACATATCGCATGATTCTCGCGGAAAACATTTTTAGTCATTTACAAAATATAGGTCGTCTCTCTCTCTCTCTCTCTCTCTCTCTCTCTCTCTCTCTCTCTCTCATTCTGCCTCGGCCGTTGGTGAGGTCATACTCTTAAAATCCGACATGTGTATTAGATTGGAAAAACACATGCTCGTCTTTTTGCGTCCTCCAGTCTCAAAGAAAAAAAAATTTTTTTGTCTCACATTTACTATTCATTTGCGTTTCACTAATGTGAGAGAGTTTAAGCTGCCGCGCGCATGCAAAAAACATTCAATGAACGGTCAGCGAATATACAATGCGCAGCCAAGCTGTCTGACAGCTTACATGCACCTTTACTGCATAGCCATCCTTCCACGCTTGACATTTACAGTCGTCGCCAAATTAATTGTGCATACCTCGAGCGACTTACGATTCTATTGACATTTTTCGAAAGTTTGGCACAACGAAAGTTTGTTAAAGCTTCGGTCTCCCTTTTTTTCCTTTTCAATAAAAGATTCAAGATTATACTCAGAAATCTATATTTGATAGAAAAAAATCGATTTTATCTAATCTCTTACAAGCACAATTTAATTACAATGTAAGAATGTTAAATTATCTATAATAATCAGCATGTATGCTTCCGATCAGACTACTATTTTCCACACACATAGTCTACAAACACGACGTGGCACAACTTATGTTCATCCAAGTATAAATGATAATTCGTCAAAACATGAGAAGTTTTTATAAATAGACTCGCGGAGGCTCGTCACGATCAAATAACACTTCGTCTCATATAAATAATCCTTTCTATTTATTTTTAAAAACAACGTGCCACACATCCCGAATCTTGATGTGATGTTAGTGTGACCGACATTATTATCATTATTTTTTTCGTAACTAAGATTGAAAATCGATGGTCTTTGGCTCAACCAATTGGAAAATATGATAATAGGATGCATTTACGGTCATGCATGTAACAATGAATAAATTGAGCCTCGACAGTGACAGCACATATAATCGCGTTAAATTGAGCATTAAGCAGAGAAAGGAAGCAGATACTTTCGTTGTAACTTTGCAAACAGTGCCAGCGAGTTTATCGCAAGGCGAGAGCGAACGAAAAAAAATATCCTTATCGCTCGAGTGGAACTATTCAATATAATTAAAACCACGGGTAGTCGTTAATCTGTAATACTCTGCTCTGGGCGCTGACAAGTTTTTGAGTTTTTCAACGTATGCGATTACTTAATAAAACGACTTCAATTATGTAAATAGTGACATGAGCCTCTATCAATGACGTTGATTGACGTCCAATATAATTGAAAACTTAATCGAAGTTCAAGTTTGGGCGAATAAATGAAAAAAATACAATTGATCAACAACAATGTGATCTATGCAGAGGGAAATATTTCGCATAAATGCATTCAGGACATGAAAAGTGAGACCATACAAAAATTAATCACTTTCGTACATGCATGCACGTATGTGTAACGCGCCGACGATAAAGTACATAAAATACACGAGGTTAATGAAAGACCTCCGCTATTGATATCGTACGCAGAATTTTGCCGGTTTAAATGAATGCATTGCACGCACCAATTTATATAAAAATAAACGTTTTTATTTCATCGCGTGGAACTCATTTTTTCTAGCATTTTTTAATGATTTTGCACAACTTTACAGCTTTGAATAAAAATAACTAACTGAAATTATCACAATTTATTATTTCTTTGTCTAGCTATATTTGATCATTTGACGGATGTATATATAATAATACATAGTTTTTATGTATTGTAGCTTGTTTGCTTTGTTGGGTATTATAAGTGTATAATAAATATTCATAGCTAAAAATAAGATTATCTGCAACCTTATTAATTAGATCAATATATTTTTATTCAAAAAAACTCACCTCCTTTGCAAGGTGTTCTGTGAGTGGAATGTTGAGCCCTGTAACCAGTGATCATTTCATAATCACCCGAATCACGTCTAAGTGGGAATGTTGTCTCCAAGATGTGATCACAAGGCTCCATCAGCATAAGAATACCCTTTACTTTCTTTCTACGCTCTTCAATACTCATTCTGCTTCTTTTACCAACATCTTCTACCAGCTTGTCTTCTACTATTTGACAAGCACGATGGAAGAAATATTCCACCATGTCAAAGAATTTTGGATTGGCTGCAGTAGGTATATCCTTAAGCCTGTCCGGGATTTGGTGGTCAGCATATCCACGTACATTTTGTAAGTGAACAAGGGCTGCAGCATGTGCCACTTCTTGAGTTTGCTTGAGTAATGCTGCTGCTTGTGCTGCACTTTTGGTATTGCGTGTTAAACTTCTGATTTGGAACATTTTTATTGCACTTGCAGCTGGCGCTGTGGAAAAAAATTTATGTAATATCACAAATTATAACAGAAAATAAATAGATATGACTCTTGAAAGAGGTCTGACAATAGATTTAAAGTGCCTATGGCAGAAAATAATATCTTGTTTATCAGACAAAATTATATAGATCGGTGTGCATAACTTTAGAACCATTTGTTCCAATCAAATAAATGCTACACTAGATTGTTCATGAAACACAGTATTAAGATTCGAGCGCAAGTATTCATGTAAGAGCGTTCTTCTTGGTATTTGTAAGCAGTTGGAGACAATTCATGCATAAAAATTAATCCTACTGCCAGCTTTATTATCAGCGAGTGTAATTCACTCGTATTTAAATGTGATTTAAGCGTTGTCACGAAAAATAAATTTTTTAAGACGAATTCACGCACGTGATACTTTGCGCCATTACGTAGAAAAAGCACTGCTTACTTGATCAATTATACCTTCATTTATACGTATGTCATTATAATAGTTGATTAACTTACTTACCTGGGCAAAAATTTCGGAATAAAACCTGAACTCGTGAGTCTTGATCAACACGAGTAGAGTGTATGGCACGACTTCACAGCAAAACGTCGAGCGTTACACAAAGGTAAATACACACCGCCCGAATCGTGGTTTCTCTTATTTTCGAAAAATAGAATAAAGAGATAAGTTGTGTGACGTATATCGTAGAAGGCTCAAATTTCTAAAACTAGCCAACCAGCCGCCGAGAAACGAACGACGTGGATGAGGTGGCGCGATTCAAGCGTGTGGGTTCACTGTGCGGCTGAAATGAAACTAGAGCCACAAAATACAGAGGGAGAGAGAAAGAGTAGGCAGAAACGACTCGTCGCCAGTTGCCGAGTGTGCTAAACTGCTTAGCGCCCGTGAGTGCCCGTTAGAAGATTATCGAAAGAGGGGGTGACAATTTTTCTCATGAGTTTTGATTAATTTTTTGTGCTCTCATGGGCCGAGGCCCGAGGGCTTCGATCAAATGGCTTAACGTAACTCTTACTCTTAGTACAATTCCTCGTCTAATCTATGAAAAGAACCAATGGATCGATTTACGAAACAAAAATTTGTCAGAATGATGAAATTGATCATGGTAATTACGTATGTGTGAGTCTAAGCACGCGTCACAAGGTAAACTTTTTATCGCGCGTTTGTGCTTTCGATTATTTATCATCCTCTTGAACGGATGCTAAATAGTCCTGCTCTATACGCGTTACGTAAGAATTTGAAGCAAATTGGCAACATTGTGCTTTGAGTTATTTTTCGCGCCTATTTTTTAAAGACACTTTGAAGCCCTGCCATAAGCGGTGGGCTGAAGATAGTCGCACAAAGCTGCATGAATATCCTAAAATGTTCGCAATTCATAATCTGCAGCTCTCTGTATAGTACGTCAAAACTAATTCGATATGCACTACATGCGATTCTCGGCTAACTTCGCTTCTGTATATTATGCTGTGCAGGCAGCTGTGCAGTGAGCAGTCTCTCCACTCATGTGAACCAGAAGTGAGAAGAGAACCCGCATACTGTAAAAGTTTTATACCAACATCGACACATGCTTGCTACACAACACACAGTATCATATCAGTAGCATCAAAATTAGGATTGGTTGCATGTGTCAGTTGTCAAAAGTAGATGGTATTAAAATTGTGATCTATCCCATTTGTTCTTCGACGTTAATTTTTAATGAATTTCAAGTGCAATGACAGAAGAAATAGTAAATACCTTTTCAATTTCACGAAAAAACTCGAACCGCAGCACGTCATCTAATGTCAGTCAAGGTACACGTTTATACAAATACTTTTTTCAATAAAAAAAATATGCACCGAGGATTACCGACCGACAATAATATTGTTTTTTAACTTGACTTTTTTAAGATAATATACGCACGCTGACGTGTCCCAAAAGAACAGAAGGCGATGGAATGGAATTCGTAAATCCAGATAAATTCACTGATTCCATAGATAAATCCATTAAAATAAGACTCGGTGAAGCTCTCATTTATCATCCAACAAATTTAAAGCAACAGGTTTCCACGCCACCGGTAACACCAACTGGTCAAATTGTCAATTTAGTGCCTAAAAATCACATAAGAAGAGATAAACAAATTTTACATCCTCTTAAAATCAAAGAACCCAAATTTGTACCATATGAGCCTTATAAAGCTGCTGTAAATCCTATTGTACCAATTAAAAAAATGACTAAGAAAGTAAAATCGAAAAAAAATAATTTAGATATAAATGTCATGGTATCACAGTTAGCTCAATTAAAGACTGAAGAAATTAAAAAAAATAGTATTGATTTAAAAGCAAATGCATCTATTGATACTGAGAGTAATGAATTCAATAAACAACTTGAAGATGAAGTGCAAAGATTAAAAGAAGAAAATACTCAATTAGAAAATCAACTAAAATTTCAGGCTCAGGTAAAGTTAAAATTATGATTATCCTGTTGATGAATTAAGATCAAGTTTGCTCTATTTCAAGATGCAAATTTTGACAAATCTTGATATTTAATCAAATAATTTGAATGATTAAATGGTAGTGACAAATTCCATGATTGATATTTTGCTTAGTTGATTATTTTCAAACATCAATGTTGTATCACAAACAAATATTTCAGGTGAATGGCGAACTAAAAAATTTACTTGTAGCTGCAGTTGGTGAAGATTTACAGACTAGAGTAAACTTACTCACAGAAGATAAATTGCAGTTAGCACAAGCTCTTTTGAATTCTGCAAAACACTTAAGCACTCATCAGGAACAAACAGAATGGTTGGCAGGCCAATGTGAGGTATGGAGAAGTAAATTTTTAGCTAGCAGGTAAATGTATTTAAATCAGTCATGTTTCAAAATTATTTAATGAAATAATAACTTTTCTTATAAAATAAAAATATTTCATAGTTTAATGGTAGAAGAACTTGCTAAGTGGAAAGCAGCATTGCATCAAAGAACGTCTGAATTGAATGGAATAATTGGAAAATTACTTGAAGAACATAGCTCTGTTAGAGACACTAGTCTGAAAACTTTTAGGTAAACATCCAATATTTTCTATTTAAATATATAGTTCTTTAACAAAGGCTTTTATTTTTTCACCATTTCTCAGAAATTTGAGTATTTTAAGAGAAAATTTTGATCCGATTGGAGCTGCTAGAGGTCCGGAACTTTCAAGTACAAATGTTATGGATTTAACAAACAAGTGTCAACAATTATCAGAATCACTGAAAACTCAATTATTAAGTGGTATGGAAAATATTATTCTTAAAAAAGAAGTAAATACAGATGGACTAGAAACTAAAACAATAAGTGAAAAAAAGGCAGAACAGCTATTGCAAACTCCTGCCTTGCTCATGTCTTGTTATCAAGATGTAGCATGTAGTGCAGTAATGGGTGCAGCAACTGCAGTTGGCAGTCGTAAGTTTTCAAATGCGTGTAACAATCCTGAAATGTGTTCAGTGCCTGGTTTTGCTTGCTGTGGTCAATGCACTGGGGAAATTAAGCAAATTTAATGAAATAAAAATTCCTGCAAGTCTTCCTTTGAAAGAAAAAATTTTTTTCAAGATTTGTGAATTTTCATCAGATAAAAAATTATTTTTATAATTTTATCAATTATTACTTAAAATAGTAATGATAAATTGCTATATACACAAGAAGAGCTTGCTGCAGTACCTCTTCTGATGAACTTTCCAGATGAAATGCAAAACGATGTGCTGCATAAATATATTCTAGGCATGGTTGATTTATTTAGTTATTTTATCTAATGTTTAAATATGTAAAAAAAAATTGTATAAAAACTTGACTTTATTTTTGATAAAATAAAATTCAATTGTGAATTTGATAAAAAATTGTTTCAAATTCGCCTCTGCAAACGAAATTTACAATGCAATCACATTCATACATTAAATGTGTACAGATAAAATTAATTCCTAGGTGTTATAATTTTTCAAGACTTCTTTTGAAAATTTTCTTTAAGGCACTTGAAAACAATTGTACGATTTGAGTAATCGTTAGTTGGCACATTTATAAAATTAAACATTTGGATCGTAGCTCGTTACTTATCATCTAGATACGATTTTTAATAAAATAATTTCATTTCTTATTCACAATTATTAAATTACCAAATTCCGTAGCATAGTATTTACATTCAATATAAATCTCAAATACACCATTGTAATGCGATTATATACAAACCCTAACAACTAATTTACAACATTTTTACATGAATCACACAAAATATCAATCTAGTAAAACATCATTTATTCAGAAGGTAGTCTTGTATTGGATGTCTCCTCGGATTTAATTGATGGTATAGTAGCGTAAATTGGATCTGTCATCTGGGACAAATCTGACGATGCCCGATCATAATTGTAATCGTCAATCTATAAATTGTTAAATTATAAGAATATCACATTTGTCAATGTTTGTTTTAAAAAAGTGGAACTTACCTCATCATCAAGTGGAATATATTTTGAACACCCTTTGACCTTGTGATTAGCTAGTCTAATAATAGTATATTCAGCGAACACATTTTTTAAAACTATCTCCAATATTTCACCTCTTTTATCAGTAACATCCATTTCAGGTTCTTCGAGTATAATAATTTTTACATGCTCACTGAGTAACGCTCGTGCCAAAAAAATGAGTATTTTTTCGTAAACGTTGAACAAATTCCTCGAATTGCTAACTAATTTTTCCGGAAGCCTTAGAATTTTCTCCCACAAATAAACTTTTTGTAATATCATCATCAACGTTTGATCAGTTAGCTTTTCGGATGGATCTAAATTATATCTAAAAAACAATTTAATAAATATAGAATTTTATTTTTCTAGTTTATTGATTTACGAATTTGTTAATATTTACCGAATAGTACCACTAAAAAGAGTAGGATTTCCTGGTATAAAACATATACATCTTCTTAGAGTATTTAATGGAAGTTGTGAAACAGATGCCCTATCAATAATAATTTCACCTCCTGGTAATTCGAAAAATCGAAACATTGCACTAACAAATGCCTTTCGAGTTTCCGGTCGATTTGATATCAGAGCTATAAAGAATAACAAAAAAATTATTGATTTTGTCTAGAAAATTTTCAAGTATTTTAATCCATACAAATAGTTTGGCTGTTGGCTATGTTGAATTTAAGTGGTCGATGATTTGATTCTTCTCTATCAAACAAAAAAACGTCCCTAAATTCGATGCTTCCCTCCGTTGGCCAGTTTATTCGGACTCTAGCAGACCCCTCTTTTTCTTTTGGTATAGTCTTTATATAATGATCAATGCTATTGATGGCCATAAGGCTAGTGTATATATTATTTACAGCTCCAATACCGTGTAATATACTAAAAGATAGTTGCATTGTGATAACATATGCAAGACAGAGCCATGAAGTACTATTTGAATTTTTGATAAACACTTCCGTCAAAAATATCACGGAACATAAGACTAGAACTGTAAAAAAATTAATAGTTACGATTTGATAAATGATTAAATAATATTTTGATTTAACTTACCTGAGAGCATCTTTAAACGAAACTCGAGCCATAGTTTGGTAGCGTAAAGCATTAAGTCGTAGGTTGAATTTTCATTAAAAAGTTTGTAATATCTAGAAACAATGCATAACGATTTTTTTTTCTGAAACTGAATGTAAAAAGTTCAATATATAATATAAATAGCCTTACTTTTTGGTAAAATCTTTCTCTCTGGCGAATGCCTGAATCGTTGCACGACCAAGAACTGTATTATTGATGTAATTCAGCACAAACGTCGCTGAGCTCACCTTTAGCTCATGCAAACATAAGACTGCTCTCCTGTTAAAAAAAAAATTTATATATATATTAGTTAAAAACTATACAACAACATTTTATTTGATTAAAAATTACTTCACCTTATGTAAATACTGCACAGTAAAGCGCAAATAGCATAAGCTAAAACTGGCAAAATCAGCCACGGTGAAATAATACCGAGTATTACAATACTAATTATACTAATTCCTACGTTTATCAATACGATTATAATGGATCGCGGCAATGCCGAATCAACTTCTTGCAAATTTAAACTGCAGATATTAAGAATAAATGATATCGTGGAGGTACTGAAAACAGGTATCTGCGCGCAACTTAAATTTTCGATCCAATTTTCATGAAGTTTTGCCGATGCCATGAATATAGTCTGTAAAACAATGTAAGTTTTTGACATAACTGGTAAAAATGTAACACTTCTGTTAAAAAAAAACTAAATAAATTACCTTACTATAAGCTACTAATAATATAATTCCACACCCGACGAGAAATCCAACTAGAGTAGCCAATACACCAAGGCTCGTTTTGATTTCTTCTGTATCTTTCTGTAAGAATGATGCCTAAGTTGCAACGTTTGCTTAGGTATTATTTAAATTCTCTCTTGTGAAAAATGAAAAATAAAAGTCTAAGTAAAAATAATCAAGCAATGTTTTTAACATACCTGTTGGATATGTATTATGCAATATGGTGCTATGGCAACTGAACATGCATAAAAAATAGATAATAGGCAAAGTAGAATACAAACGGACCATCCACCACTATAACTTTGATAAACAGTGGTCCCAGTCTTTGGTTTAGCTGTTTCATCGAAGCTACATTGTATTACAGGAAAATCTAAATGTTTTCCGTACAATAGTCGTGCACTGTCATCCTACAACCAAAAAATCAGTATCTTAGTTTTAAGCGAAAATTTATAGAAAAATATTTTCTTACTTTACGATCTATGCTGTTGAATGATGAGCCATTACTGGATATGAGTTCTTTTCCAGTTGATGCTGTCAATCTGGATGGCGACGAGCTCGAGTAATCGCCATTCTTCGGTTTTTTCTGCTGTTGCATTATGGTTTTCATTTGATGACTGGTTAATTTCGCGTACTGAGTATTACAGCGGACTAGTTCTTCGTGATTACCATTTGCGATTATTCGTCCATCTACCATAACGTATATCACATGGCATCGACTTAATAACTCAACTCTGTCACTTGCTACAATGACAGTTTTATATCCTAGTAGATGACTAATGCATCGGTCAAAAACTTCGATTCGCTCGTCGACTGAAAGATCGCTGAGGGGTTCGTCGATTAAATTGATATCCCGTTGAGCGTAGCAAATGCGAGCCATACTTAGTTTTTGCTTAAAAGCTAAAGTGAGATTTATACTATCTATTTCGGTGTCTTCAAGCTCGGGTAAGGTAGCTATGTCATTTGTCAACTTCGCAGCGCGAACCATTCTAGATAATTTGTTATTGTCGTGATGTTCACCGAATAAAATATTTTCTTTGACCGTACCGTCCATGAGCCATGGTTCGCGGGATACGTAAGCAAATGTGCCATCGACTGCTACATTACCGCCGGTACGGCGCAGTTGACCTAGTATGGAGAGCAAAAAAGACGATTTGCCAGAATCTTGATGACCATATATACCAACTAGCTTGCCCTGTCAAATATGATACATAGAGATGGTAGAAAGAAATTAGAAAGGTTGAAAAAGGATAAAAATATACCTTAGGAACGTAAAAATCAATTTCCGATAACGTAGTGACTAGAGGACTGGAAAAATTGAATTCGATGGCATTTAATTGTTCTCCATCTACGTAGAATCTGTGAAATAAAAAAAGTGTTATCATAGGATGGAAAAAAATTAACGGTATCAAAATTTTTAATAACAGCCAACCTCGATGATCTTTTGCCATTCTGCACCGTACGAAGCTTATTATTTAAATCATTGGAATTTTTCGACCAAGTAAAGTTTCCATTATGGATAATCACAGAATAATTTTTATCTATAGGTTTTTCGTAAAATTTATCGGGTTCTTGCAAGGTCAAAATTTCCTGAAATAAAACAGCGAGCATATTTGAACTAATACTCTAAAGACGCATAGGGCATCCTGTGTAAATAACTCACCTTAAGTTTGTTAAGAAAAGACAGACCACGAGATATACTGCTCAGCGCCATCCAGCTCGTACGTATGCAAAGCTTTAAATTCACTAAAAACAGTACCAGTACAGGGCCATACTGTAACAAATATTTGTTCTATAGTAAATAAAAATTATATTTTTTGCTTAAATAGGCTAATATCTTATAGAGAAAAACAGAAACTTACCTTAACGAACGAAATCTGCTTATCTAATATCAGACTAACAAGTGTAATGGTAACTAAAGAAAAAACCGGAAGCATGTGTATCATTGATAAGCCGCAACCTTCACTGAAACCACCATAGCGCATTTCGGCTAGCTCTTTCTTTCGAACATCTTTGATCTTGTCATGAAAATGTTGGTCCCACAGTGTGATCTTGGCCAATTGAATATTACTCACAAATTCTTCAACCAAAGAAATGCGCTTCAAAGAGTACTCGATAGCACGGCCCGCGTAGGATTTGGTAAAGTACGCTGAAACAACGAGACTCGAATACAGGATGAGTACCATGACTATACCACTGAGGGCCCAGGCACCGAGTGCATTGTACGTGTACACCGTGACAATGATCAATGCAGCGGGTCCAGAAAAAACGAGTGGACCCACGCCAACGAGCTCGTGAAGCGTCTCGCTATCGGGTACGAAATACGTGAGAGTCTGAAAGCCAAAAATGAAACAAAATGAGTTCAAATAGAGAAATTTTTTCAAGAAAAAAGAAATAGGAATGGAAATTACTTGTTGAGCACCAGTAGAGTTGATGAGCGACGAACGTAACAGTTTCTTGTAACAAACAGCTAAGCATGCTGAGCGCAATCGGCATGCCGTTCTGCAACGAGAAGAAAAAATCGAGTCATACATTAATAATTTAATATTTTAATTGAATGTTAAAAAAATCTACTATTGAGTTATTGATAATCTGTTCTCACCTAAGATTGAGCGCGGAGCTCCATGCCACGAGAAACTGTGATACGATCTCGACGACAACTAGAGCCGCCGTATAAGTGAATATGTTGAAGTCGTAGTAATTGATGACATCGTTGTACTGGATGCTGGTGTTGCTAATTGTTATAGTATCATTGTGGTCACTAATATTCGATACAGTCGTCGAGAAGTCAACAAATCTCAACGACACGTCGGTCGCGTTGGTGGCGTTGCTCGAAGCGGCATCGGTCATCAAACCTCGCCTATCCGAGGACTCGAGCACTGTACTGAGTATGAAGATCGGCCCCATTAGAGACAAAAGGGTGCCGAGAAAATGAAGGAAGCTGCCGATGAGTACGCGCGTACGCACAAAGCGCCACGCGACTCGTGGTATCGACGCACCTGCCTGGCCTTTTTCTACAAAGTGTGCTTGCAGCAGGCTCTCCAATCTGCAACGAACCATACGATCATTGTTATGCCGTGTGCGCAATGTCGCTATCGAACACGTATATATATTTAGACGATGATTGACGTATCCGATCGTCTCGTTGGAATAAACGGCTACACAGTCCAGCTTTGTTGTAAACAATTTTTTGTCCGTGAAGTAAAAGTTTGCCTTGTCAGAAGAAAAACATAGACTGTGCGTGCGCGAAAATAGATCAATGATATAAAAGTTTTTTCTACGATCGTCTCGTCCAACTTTATATGCCTGATTATGTGTGAACAGGTTTGAATATTTCCTCGTTACTATAACAGTGATTTTCATTGTGAACGACAAAAACGTTTACATACAACCGATGATTCACACTTGTTAACTTTTTCATACTCTCAGGCAGTTTAAGAACTAATTTCCACGGAGAGTAAAAAACATGAATATCTCGCATGCATGCGAAGAACGGGAGATGGGGATGAATAAAAAAATCGATTAACATCTAAACAATAAGTCGTAAAAGCAAAGCGTGTGAATCCCATTCACAGACATACATATATATACTCACACAAACTAGATTCAAGTTCATCAAATGGGTATAATGAAATGCGTTTACGCGCACAGTCGTAAAAAGTAGGTTAACCGGAAATAAAAAATTCCACCTAACTTGAATGTACAAGATTTTCTTTTTGTTGAACGCTATGAATTCACGTTATTATCGGTTTTATGTTTAAATACTTATGCGTACCTCGGTCCATTCACATCGCAGGTCTCTCGCTGCGACAAGCTTGGCATTATCTTGTCTCTCATGGAGTTCTTGAAGCCAGCGTTCAAATACTCGGTCAGCCATCCTAACGTTACACTCGTGATCAGTCCAATCTTGTCGAGAGGCAATTCCGAACCCGGTAACCTGTGTGTACAAAAGAAAAATAATTATTTTATTTGGTGCTTTTTTCAGTGTTTTTTCTTTGCTTCTCTTTACGTCGTTAATAAGACATTTTCAATCGTATGATTATTTCATTGCACCTAAACTACACAGTCGACAACTATTTATTCCATCGAACAGAAAATACAGGCCGCTTACAGAGGTGCGAAGGAGAAGCAGTCGACGAGAGCAACGCAGTCGATTAAAGGCAAAAATGAGTCACATTTGTCGAGAGAGAGAGAGAGAGAGAGAGAGAAAGGTCGTGATTCGATTGATTGTGGCCAAGTCACAACCGCCACATACCGATGACGAATTAAAGTCGTCAATTTTGACTTGTTTGACGATTGACTATTTTTCATTGACTGATTAAAAAAAGAGGGCAAACCTAAACAAGAGAAAAAGCTTACACAATTGGCTCGCCTGAGAAACAAAGTTCGCTCGAACGCCTACTGCTGACCCTTCACATCTTTACAAGGAGCCGAACATGCAAATATATTCTTATCTGTATGCATTGAGAAACAGATGAAAAAGTGAAAAGATAGAAGAAAAAAAAAACCTTTTGAACTTGATGAAGGCAAGACTCGAGAGAGCAGTTAAATATCTCGAGAATCTATCCTGCGGCACGTAGGCTGAGCTCGGCTGTTTCAGGCTCGTCACTGTTCGCTGGCTTATTATACTGTTGTTGGGGAAGCTTGCGAGGCTACTCCTGCTGCTGTTACTGTAAATCATAAATATGAAAAAAAAAAAAAATAATTATTCACTTTTTCAAAATTATAAATTTTGAGAAAAAAAAAATAATGAATACTTATAAGTCCAATTATAAATAGACGTGAATTACGAAAGAGAATTTGTATCAGAGAATTACTTGCGGCAATGTATAAGCAAAACTCGATTGATTTCCGCTCGAAAGCATCGATCCGCTTGATTTGCACAACGTAAGAAGCGTAAAAATATAAAAAGCACTTCTTTGCCATTGCCACCGTCTGACGATTCCGAAAGCCATTTACGTGCATGTATGTGTGTACTTAATAGGCATATACATAGCCACAGTCCCCCGAAAGAAAACATATCTTTCACTTTTATAGGAACACGGGCAGCAGCACATACATACACACATATCGACGAGCCTTTAATTACAAGGCCGTTGCCCTTGTGAGTTTATAATCGCGCGCGTGTGTGTATTGCGCATCTATAGAGGCCGAGTAAGAGCGAGAGAAGAAGAGAGAGAAGCGAGAGAAAAAAAGGCCACTTTTTTTCTTGAAAATTATACTTTATGTGTGCATTATTATCGCAAGTCGTGTGCGTCGAGGCGCCCGCGCTATAATATAATACACGAGCGTGCATGTCTCCGGCTGATGTCACGACGACGAAAATAAAAGTGTAAGTAATATCGTGATATATTTCGTGCAATAATGTACGTATTAGCTCGACAGTCGTGTCGCACCTCTTGGCTTTTTCATTTATTAACGAGAGACGATTGTGCCTTTATACATGCACATGCCTTCTTTTTCTTTCGTATAACGCGTATGATACGCGTACATCGTGTGCAGTCGTAAAACAGCTTGCTCCGTTTTCTATGGATAAGTATACATAAAAACGCTTTGCTCTGTGCGAAAAGGTGCGCGTGTAATATCGTGCGTTTTTAATAATTCAAGGTCAATGGAGTAGTAGGACGCACGCACGGTACACGCACGCGATGCGTATGCTATATATTGTATTTTTTAGAAAGAAAAAAATAGTCGCACTCAACGGTGTGAAATTGAGAAACGAGCGAATTATTAAGTATATACATAGCCAACTATAGTGAATGCATATTTTTCTTCGGTATATTCGATCTCGTCACTTATCAACTAGAGATCGCGTCGATCTCCTTTAAAGGCAATTAAACGCGTCTCTTGAACCAAGTTTATATATTGCAAGCGCAGAAAAGAGTATATATACATAACCAACTGCAAATCAACTTCATTGATACACAAATTCTATATCTTTAAACGTATAGATGCCATCGATGCTTCTAGTTTTTCTCAATATATGTGCTCGTATCGTATGTGCCCTCTCGATTAAGATAAATTTTTTCCGCGAAAAATGTCGTTACGTAATGCACGCGCGCTCACATCACAGACACGTCCTTCTCTAACTCGATTACTCTCCAAGTTGAAAATCTCCCGTTTCATTATTAATGCTTAACTTATTAACTGTGGCCGATATTTTTCTATCGATGAACTAGCAATAATGCAACGATCGTTACATGCATGCGGCTCGACTCGACGACGATAAATCAACGCTGAAATCAGATGGAAAAATGTCGCGCGCGCTCCAATCGTTATCTTGAGAATAATTGTCGGCGACACATACACACACACACACACGCACATCTACAAAAACAACACAAGCATAATGCAATGTATACCATGTAAGAACAACAAATCGAAGACGAATTAGCTGGAAAAGATTTTCCCGCTTCTCCTTTTTTTCTTAAATTTTTAATTAAGTACAAAAGTAAATTAATTTATATAAACAATAATAACAACTAAACTCACATGCGACTGGTAAACGATGCAGTATTGCTGGTAGCGGTGGTTGCAGCTGTTGCAATCGCTCCCGGATGATCGTAGACCGGCTGATCCAGGAAACTGTTTCGGCTGCTGCTTCTGTTCGACGAGGTCGACATGGCGATGACGATGATGATGTTGATGGTGGTATTGTTGGTGAGTTGCTGCACTGCGTCGACGATACATCAGTGGGCTTTATTTTTCTGGGTTGTTTTGATCGGCTTCCAATTTTGCGACTCGCCGAGACGCAAAAACAATAACGCGTGCAGCTGTCGTCCACTCGCACTGCCTGTGCCTTTTTTCTCTATTAATTTATTGCATTCATAAGTTGGTCCTATCGTATGTGTGTGTGCAAGGTGTGATCGAAAAGACATAGATTGAGCGCGATCGTAATCTTTTCAAGAGTACGTACGAAAATCGAACGAGATAAGCCTCAGTAGAGTGCGTTTAACTTGACTTTCAAATCTGACAACTTATTTCGTGTTCAAACTTTTTTTTTCTTTTGATAAACGCCATTTAACGTGTAAAAAAACACTAATACCTACGCGGGCGATTTGGCTTCTTCAATTCTATATAGATGTGCATACATCGCACGCGCGTGTGCCATTCAAAAAGCAACAAAAAAAAGCACGTAAAAAACTCGTTATAACTTATACATGGTGGTATACATAAGCGCGCGAGCGCAACATATACACAGTACACACGAGCGCACACATTTTACATAGGTGTCTATGTAGCAGAACCAACTAAAAGTTTCATTTTCTCTTACCTTTTCAAATATACGTGGGTAAACTTTTATAGCGTAAAGTAGAAAGGACCATGAGCGCTTCAGTAACAACTTCGCGGACAGCATATACAAAGGATCAAATTTGTTTTTTTGGCCTAAACGAGATTTCGAACAAGACTTGCGTCGACGAGGAAACACTGCACAATAACAACAAATCACATATAAAGACACACAACGCACTATCGACCGATGATGATGAACTACTATAAAACTACAATTCCTTTGGGGTAGGTAGCAAACGGTTCGCGCTGCTTTCGCAACACGTGCTTCTGGCGGTCTGCATGTTCTGCAAAATTTTCATTGCGCGCTCGTACGTGTGCATGCAGGAACAAAGGTTTTCAACGTGCTATAACCGCTCACACTCACTCTTTACACTCGAGGTTAATGCGGATACCTGCTACTGCTCTACGTATATGTACGTATTTGTAAAATTCAGCGTGTGCGCGGGAGCGTGGCGCGCGGCAAACTGAGGAGAGCTGCTTATCGGCGCTAGCGAATAGCAATGAGTAAAGCAACAGTTGGGTTGGGAGTTTCGGACAGACACGCTTGTACACGTACATATATATAGCATTACTACTGCGAGAACGCAAGTGGGAGAAAGAAGGACGATGCGTGTTGGATATTACAGTTGCATACTTGCTTTGCTACACTGTGTATCGAGCTCGATGTAACTATAAAAACAAATTTTTTATACGTGTGTTGCACAGGACTCCTTCTGTGACAGCGTATAAATACATGCCTGAATGAATAACTAAAAAAGTATACTCGCCAACGTGAATTATTTTTTCAATAAACCGTTATTTATCGTTTATTCGAACGATCTGTTTCTGACATGCAAATTATTAAAATTCTTTTTCAACGGAATCGTCATGAACGAAAGTGTAAGATTTTGTCTTGCGATCGTTAAGGACCAGCTAGGTCTTGCACAAAACATTACTCTCAATATTTTGTCGATCCCAATGATAATAGCGCGGTGTCGCTTTTTTTCATCCCATCTTACAGCACGAGTTTTGCTCAATATGTCTATCACGATTGATAAGAAACGCGGCTCACAAGTTCGCGCGAGCTCTGATAAGCCTCAAAAATTCTTACCATCATGCGCTTTATATTATTTGTACCGACTTTGAGTCAAATTATTAGAATCAGATATATATACGTTCATTTAATTTTCGAGAATCTGATCTCGGTCTTTTGAACGTATGTAATGTTTATCATAGGTAAGTCTTGCCAGATAACGATTTCGAAATTTCAATTTTTTTTGGCCGTTGCTCTTTTTCCTGATAAATTCAAAATATTTGCCCAAACCATTGTGGTGTTTTATCTGTTGTAGTATTAATACAAGCGTTTAAACTTTCTTGGCGCACAAATATATAATCAAAGAACGTAAAGTCAGTCAAATTTGGTTTTACTTGTAACATTTTCATGTATTTTATTAATTCTCTTGACAAATATTACTAAAAATGGATGAATACGATTGCAACATGTATACATAATAATATAATTCGTTATGATAAATCATGAATTAATAGAAAATATGTATGATATCCAACAAAATTATCATTTTATAAACTGATCTTAATTCCACATGATTACTTTTAAATACTTGAAGAAAAGTCTTATTAGATTGAAACAATTATTGATGCATTATCATGTGTTCTCATTTTACTAAATCTATTGTAAAAAATAAAAATTCAAAGTTCATTACAATACTTTTCAAAATTATATATATTTTACTTACTTTATGTATAATATAACTTAAAACAGTTTACAACCAAAATAATTTTGTTACTATGTATTTGTAAAAACCCTGATTTTTAATATTCCAAGAATCTGGAAGCTTCATGCGATAAAATATTTTACGTATTGTCATAATTGAAATTGTTAATTAAAAACATAACTCTTTGCCACTATACTTTGGTTAGTCTTCTCTAGAAATAATTGGCAGTATTCAAAATCTTTTATATTTTCTTACACAATACCGATCCACTTTTCTTCCTCCTCCTGGATAATACTTTTTTTTAAACTCAAGAGTGGAAAGCGATTATTTGTCAGTACATCACTCAACCTTGTTATTTAATTTGAGACTGAACGTTTGGGCGTAACTTCGTGTATACGTCGTAGCCTTTTCTTGAATTCAACAGGAAACTTGTCGTAGCATTTTTTACAAGCTGGTCTACGATCAACTTCGAAAAATTTAGTTTTCTGATTCATCTTCTGGTCACAAAAGGCACAGGCAAAGTGTTGCACACACCAAGCTTTATTGAACGCAGTAAAAACTATAATTTTATTGAAAAATAATTAAATGAATAAATTTGATTATGTTTTATGTTTATATAATTAATAAAAGATAATAGAGATACTGCACCATCACCAGAGATGACTTGATTGCACACGAAGCAAAGATTCCCAAAAAGTTGATGATAATGAGTTTCACAATAAGCCAGACCTTTTTTTTCGTAATGTCTATGACCAAGGAATGGCTTTTCACACTTGGCACATACAAAATGTTCCACGTGCCAATGTTTTCCAAGAGCTGTTACAACACGTTCCTCTATTGGTCGTCGACAAGCACCACAAATAGGTATTCCCATTTTATCATGGCACCTCAAGCAGTACAACTCATTCTAAATTTCAATCAAAAGTTTTCAAATTTTTAATTAGGAAAAAAAAATTTTGTTAATGCTGTACCATTTCATTAGCAGCATAACCAGCTCTTGAACGAACTTCTCTTGCATCAGAGTTGAGTTCTACTCCACAAGCGGTACAATTGAAATGATAAGGGTGATACACTTCTCCTCGAAAACGAAGTGGCTTGTCATCGATAACACCACTGAAAAAAAACTTTATTTAAAAAATTGATGAACACAACTTCAAATGAAATCAAAATAATTATGCATACTGGCACTGATAGCAAATGTGCTTGCCTAGAGCTCCTGCTTTATATCTGGCATTGCATTCATGACACAAGGCTCTACCTTGACATTTGATGAAACCAGCATCTGCAAGCTCTCCATTGCATTCTTCACACCGGAAACAAGATGGATGCCAATTAGCATTCATAGCTTTAATGACTCTGCCAATAATAAATTCCCCTAAAATTGGTAAATCGACTAATGTAAAAAATAATGTAATGTAATAAAATAATGTAATGTAAAAGAAATTAAGCACAAACCACATTGAGCACAACATGGAGCAAATAAAACTTGAAAATCATGTTCACAGTATTTACGCCCTTCAAATTCATAAAATATTCCTTCTGGAAATGGTCTGAAGCACTGGGCACAACTATAAAAATGTAATTAAAACTTGTGAGCTATGCTATTTATGAAGACATGTTTAGATACTTACACAAAACATTGTGGATGCCACAACTCTCCATTAGAGTTGACAATTTTTTCATTTGGTTCAAAACCTTCTCTACACCTTGAACAGAACATGTGATCTAGTGACATATTGACTTTATCGTTGTTGATACCCCTTGAAATAAATAAATAATTTTCATTTTACACTTTTAATAATAATTATTGAAAGTATTGGTTATTAAATATTAAATAATAGCATTATATTAAATTTATAAACTTTAAGCCCTTGAAAAAGAAACCATTGAAAAATTATACCGATGAATGTTTGTATTGCTTTTATAACTCCTTTTTTCATTGCAATAATAGTTATCAAAGCTTCCAGGGATAGGGATTGTACCATCAATAGCTATTTTTTCAAGACTCCATGCTAACTCATCGTAATCGAGTGCTTTTTTTTCAAAATTATCTTTATAGCTACCCATTCTTCTATTATACAAATCACTTTTGTTCAATGACAATAGGGATATAGACATAGGAAAAGGCGGAGCAGGAGCTCTTTTTTCACTCATAATGATGGTAGAAATTAACTAAATTTCATATCTTTCAAAGGTTTTAGATTGATAAGAAAAGTTGTCTATCAACAAGCTAGTCTTTCAGATAAGAAAAACACATATGTAGGTTGAGTAATGAGTCATTTTTGCACACCTGGAGCTGCGAGTGTACAGCATTGTTATTAAAGGTGGGGAAGACAAAAAGTTTATGCAAGCATTTATAAAAATTTTAAGTGCGTTATTTAAGGTTGAACGACGCAGACTTAGGTACGAAGTCGTTATTAATAAGTACGCAAATGCCAAAAATAGAGTAAATCTAAAGACTCAAAAAAAGAAAATAATAAGAACTGAATATTTATTAGATTTGTTCAATTATTTTAGCAGTTATTTCATAGTTTCTCAGAATAAAATTATTGTTGAATTTACAATTTATATATGTCTGCGAAAAAATGATTCTATATATACATAATAATATTTAGAGTAGTCTAAAAACAAAAATGTGGTTATGAAAATAATAAAACTTTTGTGTGAACTTACTTATTTAAAAAATTTGAGATTAGATTTGGAAAAGATCTAATATCAATTTTATAGTTTAAATAAAAAATTACACGATACGTAAACTATTTACGCATTAAACGATAGTGACGGGTCGGATGTAGGCATAATACAGCATATTGGGTACACGCCCCCGTGCTATGAAAATACAACTGATCTCATGTACATACAGAAGAGAGGGAGAGAGAGAAAGCTCATAGAGTTAAAGTCATGACTTATTTTAGAGCTCGTACTTTTTCGGTTGTGACACCTTGTTTTAATTGCAAAATCTCCAATGAGAGAATATTTTAATGCTAAACAAATATTTTTGACTGCTTATAAAGGGAATACAGCCAAAAAGGATGTTGGATATTGAGAAAGGAAAAAAATGTACAAGACCAAATATTTAACACTCAAGCTATAATGTGGATGATTTCACACTTTTTTCATACATAATAAATTTACATTTTTTTAATTTAAATAATTATACTTATAAAGCTAAAACAAAAGTCTTTGCCACATGCAAAGTCTTTTAAGTTAGAATTGAACAGAAATTATTATTTCAACTGAGTTTTACCTGAGTATATGTATAATATATTGTTCTGTGCGTGAACCTGTGTTGATATAATATTGAATTTGATATACTCAGACCAAGACTCGCATGTCTATTTTCAAGTACTCTTTTAACACTTTCCACACATTCATTCTCAGAATATATTCATATTTTTGCTTATGTATAAATGTTCTTTGCTGTGAGAGTATGTACATTAAGTATTTCTCTTAGCAACTTCTGAATAGATTGATATGGAGAATTTTTATGTAATTTCAAAATGCCTCTGTTGAAGCCGTTTAAATAACAATAATGTTTGCTGATTTTTATTATTATTAGTTCAACCAAAATTCCTTTACAATGTTTAGTTGTCTTTTTTCATTCTATTCGAAGTCATTCTGTAAATAATAGAATCACGTCCTGGATCCATATCAGCAATTGAAACTGTGAAAAAAAACGATATTTTTTGATTAGTTAAAATGCTCGATTTCAATTCAATTTTAAAAACTAAATACATACTGCATATGGCCAGAAGAGCAAAAAAAATAGCAACTCCAAACCACAAGCAAATATTAAAAATAACTGGATAATCTTCATTAGTTTGAGCTATATTTATATCTTCAGGCTGTAAAAAAGAAAAAAAAAGATTAATTAATATTATTAAAGTGTACATGATGCAATCTGTAAAAATTAATTGAAAAAATAAACAAATCCAATATAATTTATAAGGTAAAATATAACATAAAGTAACATAAAATAATTCTTGAATATAGGTTCGGAATGAAAAAATAGTATTTTAATATTTTTTAACTAAACAAGAGTGTGCAGAAATTTTTTTTCCAATACCAAACTATAAAGTTAAATGCATCATGATCTAACTTAATTAATTTATTCTTATATCTTAGATATATCTTATGGTTTTTAGTGTTTAAATGTAATTTAAAGAAGCACAGAAAAAAGTATAAAGACATTTTTAAGAAGTAAAATTATAACAGGAAAAATAACTTAGTTAATGATTGATTGTCAAACATCTACTATGACCATGTACCTTAAGTGGTTCTTTATTTTCTTTATCTTCATCTTCTGAATTTTCTCCTTTTGGAGATTCCTGGTAAATGAGTAGTTTAATTACTTTTGTTTTTGTAATGTATGAATAATTGTATTAGTTATGAATTATTTGTTTTTAACGCTACAGAGATAATGATGACCTATGTCTTATAATTTTTTAATACAATGTAAAAATTATGAAATGTAATGTTATTGAATACATTTTTACTGCACTTTTATAAAAATCTACTATTGTTAATATTACTTACAGTAAAATTACTCTTGCCAGGGGAGACCTGTCTCTTTGGTCTAGCTGAATGAACTTGACTAGGATCATTGGTAAAAGCAGTTATAAGAACCTATGAAAATATAAATAGATATTATTAATATTTATTATTCTTCTATACTTAGTTAAGTATTAATGAAACAAACCTGATTTTTGTAAACATCCATGAAAGCTTTACTGACTTCATGCAATGCTTCATTCAAAAGAGCTAGAGCTTCCTTGGCAGCAACAGAGTTCTTACCATAAGCTTCAAAAATAGGTTTTAATCCCGAAACAACCAACCAATAAACGTCTGGCTTATTATCAGCAGTCACTGCAGTTGGTACTTTTTTGGCAATAGCACGCAACAATTGTACTTCTTCCAAAAATGTGTGATCTTGTTCATTTTTAGAGCTCAGAGCTTTTAATTGAGATTCGTCAATTGGAGTTGGTTTCAATTCTCCCAAAGCAGATTGTCCCAACTTTTTTAAAAAATAATAATGTATATTGTGGTATAGAAGCCAAAAAATGTTTAAAGTAATACTTACGGCATCGAGTCCATCACCAAGGTAAATCCTAACAAGTAAATTATCGTTATCCCTTTGTTCTAATCTTCCTCTCAAGTTCTGCCATGTAGCTTCTTCAACCTCATCAGCCAATAGTGGGTACTTTTTGCCTTTAATAGCTCCTAAAGAATCAACACCTTCTACAGCTATTGCAACAACAGCCTCAGGGAGGTCAAATGGGCTAGTGATAGACAATCCACTCCAAGATTGTTTCTAAATTAAAAACATTTCATTTTAAAATAGCACTGTGTTCATGTGAAATTAGTAAAGTAGACATTACTAGGTGAACACTTCAATACCTGATGCTTCACTGTGTAACCAAGAGCAGCTGAAAATACTTCCTTAAGATTACTTTGATCAATTTCCTTACTTCCCTTGAATATAACATTGTCTGGAGTGTGTAATACTACAAAATCACCATTGCCTTGCACTGTAAAATATTAATATCAACAACTTAGTGAAATGATCATGCTCCTTTTTCCGATTTCGAATGAAAATCTTTCCCGCAAGCCAAATCAATAAATCTTACCCAAAACAACAAAAGCAGCCAAGGCCGCAAAAATTGTTGCGATCATCCTGATTAATACTGCAGAAAACTTGCTTTGGAAGTGTCCTAAGCTAGCTACACAGTCCAACGACAGTACAGAACCGATGGGCGAAGCAGACACCGATCATATGACCACTTAACGTCGCTGTGTGCTTGTAAATTGTGCCTGTGCGTGCTCACTGTGCGGTCTCATATGTGTATGTGTATATTAAGATAAGTATATAGAATGTAGTTTGCAATCAAATGATGAGGTCGCCTCAATCTTTATATCAATGCATACTTGGATCGATTACAGTTCGAAATTGTTATTAAATACGTCTCATCTGTACTTAATCGAATTCGAATAACTTGGAGTCGTGAGAACTAAAAGTTCAGATGTTATTTATTGATTCTTCCTCAATCCCCATCGTCGCAGTCGTCACCAGTAGGATAGAAAAAAATGTTTGCAATTTTATCGGCGGAGTAGCAGAAGCTTTCTGCACGTCACTCGTCTGCTTTGTATTTATTAATTTAAGCATTTATAAATGTTGTCTGATTCATCATTCCAATTGAACAAATCGATTACCGCCTCTAGACAAACATGAAAAATGTAAGACAAGCTAGACTCAAGCAAACACATGTATAAATGCGTTTAAACGTGAATTATAAAATTTGATATTCGATCGAAGCTCGGTTCAAGCTTGTTTTATTATTGACGGAGCAAGAAGAGTTTTCTGTGGCTGACAGAACACAGATTCGTGCGCCGCGCAGCTGCTGAGCACTTTTCATAAGGATGTCTGACTTGACAATTACTACGTCTATGGTCAGGAGGGAGCTGACTCCGAACTCGTGACTGCGTTTCGTACGTACGGATCGATCAGTCATCCAGTGAGTTTTGTAAGCAAAGCTGCGGAGAAGCAAAAAGGAGCAGACACAAATTTCTTATCTCTACGTAGCTCGTTAATTATTGGTGTACAGAGTAGTGCGAGGTTTGTTACTTTCCAAGTTCTCATTATCAGCGCTACATGATCAATTCTATGTCTTAGACAAACGCTGGCAGTACGCACGTTCGAGTAATTGGTGCTCGCAAAAATGGGTGGATTATTCCGCAGCGAGGAGATGAGCTTGTGCCAGCTCTTTCTCCAGAGCGAAGCTGCCTACGCCTGTGTGTCAGAGCTTGGCGAGCTTGGATTGGTACAATTTCGAGATGTGAGTGTTTCTCGTGCCATAAACACGATCACTTCCTTATCAATGTCAATGTTTAGGATCATTTTGCTCGTCATATATGATTCCAGATCTTGATATATGCGTTTTTATTGCTCTCTTAAGCATTTCTGTCCATGAGGCACAACTAACAGTAGATCTTATCTATTTGGAAGTTCGATTATACATTTGAGTTTTGATTAATTAAGTAGTTTATCTTTGTGTGTACTGATATTGTCTCTACACGTATATTTGTTTCCTGCTCAAATAGCGTGCACATATCTATGAGTCTTTAATAACTCAAACCCCTATAATACTACTTCAAAGCATATGACCGATGAGTAATTAAACTTGACTTTGCACTTTTTTCCGGATTGTTTAGTTGAATCCAGATGTCAATGCGTTCCAACGTAAATTCGTCAACGAGGTACGGCGTTGCGATGAAATGGAACGCAAGCTGCGTTATCTGGAAAGGGAGATTAAAAAGGATGGTATACCCATGCTGGATACAGGTGAAAATCCAGAGGCTCCCCAGCCCCGTGAGATGATAGATTTGGAAGCTACTTTTGAAAAATTGGAGAATGAATTGAGAGAAGTCAATCAAAATGCTGAGGCTCTCAAACGTAACTTCTTGGAGCTAACTGAGCTCAAGCATATTCTAAGAAAGACTCAGGTCTTTTTTGATGAGGTAAGACATTTATCATATAGCTCTTTAATTTCATACATTCATGCGAGGGATAAATTAATTACTGTCAATAAAGCTACTATAAATTAAAATTTTTAAATTTTGACAAAGGAATTTCAGTTTAAAATTAAAATTCCAAGTTTTTGCAGATGAACCAAGTTTTCATTAAAAAAAAGTGAGATTGATTGAATACATTAAATAATTTTTTGAGTTGATAAAAAGCCATTTATTTACATGAAGCTGGTTAAATATATGAAAACCATAATGAAAAATTGAACTTTATGAGTATGCAGCCAATTGTTCAATCGTGTTAAAAAAAAGAAAACATGCATCAAATTAAATTCTCCATGCGCTTGTTATAAAATATACAAAAAAAATTGCAATTTTTTCATCTTACTTGAATTTGAATTTAAAAAAAATGCCATGCATGACCATTAATGTCAAAAGATGAAAATGAATAATTATAGCTTGAACAAATTTAACTATGTGCGCTGTCTTTCGCTATTCTCCATTAACTTCAACGTTTGGGTGGAAACGTAATGAAACACTTAATATAGTCAAAGTCCATGATTAATCTCAGAAGGATACAAATCGGTTAAAATCAATTGCACTTAATGATGTACTTATTCATAGCTGCTTTGATCAAATCAAAAATTATTGCACCCTCTTGTTTGTACTGCGAGTTTGTAACTGTGTTTAAAAAAAACGTAAATCTGTAACTTTAGGAGTTTTTTAACTCATGGAATGAAGATTTTTAGGCACTGACATAACTGCATCTATTTTTTTTTAAATTTATTAATTAATAATAATAACTTGAATTGATAGTTATGATAATTTTAGTGTTGTTAACTAACCGAAAGTTGAGAGATTATTTGTAAAAGAGCAAAATAGTGTCGCAGTATTATTATGTCTCTGCAATCGACACAATTCACACGGATTCTGCCCTGTCTCCTACATGGTATCGATTTAATCATGTGCTATTTTCTTGTTATTGCCGTATGTTAAGAAATTCAAATTTAAACTTCGTCTTCAATTTCTTGTTTTGGAAATTCTACAATAACGGAGGTAAAACGTAAAAATCAAAAAATTCATGATTTATAAACATTTTAGGAAAGTTTAGTTATGTCTCATTTCTGCTTTTTTCCTGACACTTACATTCTTGTGTTTTTCCACAAAAAATTGTATTATTTTAAAACTTTACTGTAACGCATGCCTTTTTGTATTCACATACAGACAAATGTTGAAGTGTTGAACAAATCACTTTGACAATCGCTTTTTATTAGTCAAGTGTTCTATTAGTTGCAACTTTATTAAAATTTTCATGACATTTTTTCTTGCTATCTTATATCATCGCTTCTTAAAAATTCATTTAAGGGACATCACATATTGCATACTTGCTGCACACAATAAGATACATGTGATGCGGGATATTGTGCTTTCTGTTTTTTTCATGATCATAGTCTTTAGCAAAAAGATGTCAAGTTCATATGTATTCAGGACTTTTTTCAAACTTTGTGTGTTGTGTAGTTCTGATGGTTATAACTAATTTGGCAAAAAAGGGTAGCATTTTTAGTTCTTTAGTAAATTTCTAAAACACCAGCTTATGTACTTAACAAATGGCAAGTTGAACTTTATTCACAGGATTATGGTTTTGAGTATTTTTTATATTTCAAAAAAATATGAACACAGTATTTAGTAGAGTTTGTATGTCTTGTAGTTAACAACAAAAAACAAAAACCACTTATTTTAATGAAACAACCACTTATCAATCACACTATTTGTACGAATGCATGCTTACATAATATACAATTTATAGATTTAAGGATAATTTCAAAAATTACTTCAGTTTATAACATATCATTTGTTTTATTTACTATTTGCAACAATTCTTCATTCTCCTCCTGATATTATTTATTAATTATAAACCGCGCTTAGTGTTTTTCCTTGTGAAATTATTATTTTTATATTGCTCACGATATACCATATCCAATCTCATATGTCGTAAAATCGAAAAGAAAAAAAAGCAACAATGAAAAAAATCGGTTTCGAGTAAAAACTCCGCAAGACGAGACAGGGCAGAGCAAGCTGGGTGACATGTGTCTGTTGGCAGGCTGAGCATGGAAGTGTCGTGTCGCAGATGGCCGATCCGAGCCGTGAAGAGGAACAGGTGACACTACTCGGGGAGGAGGGCCTCCGCGCTGGCGGCCAGGCTCTCAAGCTCGGGTAATTTTTTTCTCTCACTTACTAACTATGTAAACCTTTTTTATCTATCTTCCACTACCTTACTATTATCAATTATAAATTTCACATTCTCCTTCATCCTAGTTTTTATATTCCTATATGTACTTTGTTAATCTTGATACTTCTTGAACCAAATCCTCAATTTTATATATTTATATTCATAGTAAAAAAATTAATTTTAATTCCTGCAATTATTTAAATTATTGATATATGACTAAATTTCTTATATACCTTCCGTGAAATAACGTAGAGTAGACTAGAGCACTTCTATGTCGTTCACTTAATACATGTATACAGTTGCATTTATATAAAAGCTATATTAATGTTACTACAGCCTTATTTTCGTTGAATTTTAACTAAAAAATAATCGTATGTTTGCTGTTTGCTTGAATAAAAAAACATATGGTAATCAGAAAAAAAATGTTATGTATTATCAAAAAACTGTCGATAGCACGATAAACAGCTAGATGAGAGCAAAATATATTTTCTTTGTTTATTACATTGCAGCATCTGTATACCATCACAGAATCCCTCGGTGCGTCGCACTATAGGAATCCCCTCGGGCAAGTTTTTATGTTATAAAAAAAACGTTTGTGCTGCATTTGAAAAAGCAAAATAAATAACATGCAATATCTCCTTTTTTCTATTTTTTTCTTTTTTGATAAAAGAAAAATCTCAACCCCAGCATATTAACTGAATTTTATGTGTTGCCTTATTAGAAAATTTAGTTGCGTGCAATATCCCTCAAATACTCTTTGCGAGAAAAATGACCTCTTGAATATAATTTTTTGTAAAAGACCCGAGTCAAATAACCCGAGTTAATTAGCTTTATATTATAAATCAATCAATAGCAAATATTATAATATGTAAAAGCAAAATTATTATCAATATTATTTATATCGCGTGAATAACCAAATTATGATAATGTGGCCATGGGTATATGTGTATGTAACACCAAATCATCACATCAAATTTTACATTGTAATATTTTTTGACACAAGCTTATTCTATTTTAAGTATCTGTTTAGTGCTTTTTCGGGTTCCATTGGAGCTTGGTTTGTTTTCACCATATTGAACCATTTGCCCTCAAAAATAATGATTTTACATTTAAGTTATGCTTCTAAAATTAGACAGAATGTAACAAAATATTTATCTCAATTTCAGATTTAACAAAAAAAATATTCCTTTGACGATTTTTATGATTCATTTGAAAAAATATATTTTGAAATAAAATCCTAAAAAGTCAGGAGCATCAATCCTTTAATTGAACTGTACGATCGTGCGACGTGTGTAGCATGTTTGAAATTAATTCATTTTATTTCTTTTTTTCGTACTTCGTTTTTTCTTTTTTTTTTGATGTTGTCTATGTTGTTGTTGTTATTGTTGTTGTTGTCGCCGACCATGATAGCAAGAGCACGCTGGCTTGAACTCTTCTGAATCCATGACGCGTGCATTGATTAGTGACGATAATATCGCCCGCCAGTCTGCCCTTGGTCCTGTCCAACTCGGGTACGTAACACATATCCTCTTTTCTCGATCCTTGATAAGAAAAAATCAAAATGAAATGACATATTACAAAACGACACAATACCTCAACCGAGTTTTTTTCATCGTCTAATTCTAGCCAATGGTCATTTTAATTTTAACTAAATTACAATAAGACTATGGCATTTATATACATTAATTATATTGGTTGAAAGGGAAATCATTTCATTAATTAACAACGGGTAGATTTTGCACTTTTTCTTCCAACCTTAGTTATAATTATAATTCAATAAAATAATAAAACTAGTATACAAAAAAAAGTATTTTTGATACATTTCTAAGAATGGGCTTAACATCAAAAGATGGCTTTGTCCGTGTTTATTCTTATTAACATTAATCAGTGCATGAGTATTTTACTGTTAAAATAGCGTCTGAGCTTTTTTCTGACTCGATAATAATTTTGAGTCATAATTGAATGCCGAGTGTCAATGCCGCTTGTTATTTCAAGCAATTTTTTGTAGTGTAGATTTGTATTTTTTATGCTCTCCTTTAACTCTTATAAACTCTTTATTTTTTTAACACTTACTCTTTTCCATTTTTATCAGCAGTTTTTGAAGTAATATAATAAATTATTCAATGCATCATTAAACATAACAATACAAAACAAAACACAATGCCATTGAAACTGATTTTCCTTATAAAATTATGATCGACTTACTTATGGTATATTTAACAATCACAGTTTTCTTTTCTGAGTTAGAATACTATATTTTTTTAATTTTGCTCGCTGTATTGTCTTGCGCTTAAAAATAAAATGTCCATATTTGGCACAACAACTTTGAAAAACAAGTCAAAAAATAATCAGTATCACAAACCATATAGAATTAAATCATCTGTAAAAAAAGTATTGTCATGTCAGTTGGTTTGTTTTAATTTTTTGTTTTTCTAAATTTCTTCTATAAAGGTATAAACCATGGCTACAAAATCATTCGAACGTTCCACGTATCCAGTATAAAATAATTAGGAGATAACAAAATTATTTGAATAGGCACAATAGTTGGCCCTTGATCGACGAGAGAGAAAGGCAATGTTTAACATACCCTTTTTGCTATATCGAAAAAATTTTTTAGTTTATCCTCTTTTCTTTTTTCTAATTCTCTTGTAGTAAATTAGGTTCAGATTAACTTTTATGTTTTTCCTAATAAAATCATTGATCGATTAAAATAGATCCAAAAAAACTAATTGATGATTTTTTCGAAATGCGTAATGGAAAAACAGCTTCGTCGCTGGTGTCATTCTACGTGAGCGGATTCCAGCCTTCGAGAGGATGTTGTGGCGCGCCTGTCGTGGAAATGTCTTCCTTCGTCAAGCCGAGATCGAGACGCCACTTGAAGATCCATCAACGGTAGCACGATTCGTCCTTGTTTTTTTTTTTCTCAACTTTTTCATTCCTTTTCCAACGAACAATTACAATTTTCAGGGCGATAATGTTTACAAATCTGTATTCATCATCTTCTTCCAAGGTGACCAGTTGAAGACAAGAGTAAAGAAGATTTGCGAGGGTTTCCGCGCTACTCTCTACCCCTGTCCGGAAGCTCCAGCTGATAGACGCGAAATGGCTATGGGGGTCATGACTCGTATCGAAGATCTCAATACTGTAAGTCCGAAAATCTTAGCTCGAATATAGCAAATAGTCAAAGTCTATTGATTGCCGATTGAAATTGTAGGTATTGGGTCAAACTCAAGATCACAGACACCGTGTACTCGTCGCTGCTGCCAAAAACATAAAAAATTGGTTCATCAAAGTACGAAAGATCAAGGCCATCTATCACACGCTCAATCTGTTTAATCTCGACGTAACTCAGAAATGTTTAATTGCCGAGTGCTGGGTACCGCTGCTCGACATGGAAACTATTCAGCTGGCCTTGCGTCGAGGAACAGTAAGAATAGATATTTTCTATCGACACACCTAAACACGATACAATAAATATACTGATTAATTGATTTTTTATTTCTCTACAGGAGAGAAGCGGTAGTTCTGTGCCACCGATTCTCAATCGCATGGAGACATTCGAAGATCCACCGACCTACAACCGAACAAACAAATTCACCAAAGGCTTCCAGGTGTTGATAGACGCTTACGGCGTTGCCTCGTATCGAGAAATGAATCCAGCCCCCTATACCATTATCACCTTTCCGTTCTTGTTCGCTGTAATGTTCGGCGATTTCGGCCACGGTCTCATCCTGTTCCTGTTTGGTGGCTGGATGGTCCTGAAAGAGAAACCATTGATTGCTCAAAAAACCGATAACGAGATCTGGAATATATTTTTCGGTGGTCGTTATATCATATTACTAATGGGATGCTTTTCTATGTATACGGGTCTCATATACAACGACATATTTTCAAAGTCGCTCAATGTATTTGGCACGTACTGGTCGGTATCGCACCTCAACGCGACGGTGTTGCGCGGCAGTAGAAACTTGCAGCTCGATCCGACCTACTCGTACGTGCAGCACCCCTATCCATTCGGTATGGATCCTATTTGGCAATTGGCCGAGAACAAGATCATTTTCTTAAACTCGTACAAAATGAAGATATCCATCATCTTCGGTATAATTCACATGCTGTTCGGCGTGGTGGTCGGATTCTTCAACCACACCTACTTCAAGCGTCGGATCAACATTATCTGCGAGTTCGTCCCACAGGTCATCTTCCTCACGTTTTTGTTCATGTACATGACTCTGCTCATGTTCATCAAATGGATAAAATACGGAGCTTTTCATCCCGAGTACAATCCAAGTAAGCCACGATTATGCTGACATTATGCTCATTTTTATACTGACTAAATCAATGCTGTTTTCCTTGTAATATAGATCCGGAGACGAGCTCGTTCTGCGCGCCGTCTGTTCTCATCACCTTCATCAACATGGTATTGTTCAAAACATCGGCTGAAATAAAACCATGCAGTCCTTACATGTATGCAGGTCAAGGTGGTTTTGAAAATCTACTTGTAATATGCGCGGTACTATGTATACCGTGGATGTTGCTTGCTAAACCAATCCTGCTCATGCAAGAGAGGAAGAGAAAACATATTCAAGTATGTATCATTCATTTTTATAAGCTCATTTTAATACATACCACGTATTGGTATTTTTTTTCTGTACACTGACAATATTGTATTTTCGTATAAATTACATAATATATGTCTGGGTTTCTGGTGATTTTTTTCTGCAAAAGTGGTGTAATAGTTGTATTGGTCGTAATACTAATAATACTAGCTTACAATCCAGAGTCTCCAGAGATCCATTTGTTTTACGAAAAAGCATAACTTTTTTTAAGTATCTCGATGTTCAATGGTTTTTAATGTTCTTACCTAATCTTTTTTTGCTTGACTGTACTCAACTATAAATCTCTGTCTCTCTGGCGTCGAATATTTACGCTAATTTGGGATACAAATCAGAATGTATGTATAAACGTCGTCTTATCAGCTCTAAGCGTAGTGAATTTATGTAGTTTGCAAAAAAATGTCGCCAATTATCGCATATATTATAAGAAATTATGTTATACTTGTTTTACCATGTAGTTACAACATGGAACGGAAAATGGTGATATCGATGGTGCGGTACAACCTGCAATGGGCGCTCATAAAGAAGAGGAAATGTCCGAGATCTTTATTCATCAGAGTATTCACACAATTGAATACGTTTTGGGTAGCATATCGCATACAGCCTCTTATCTTCGTCTCTGGGCCTTGTCTCTCGCTCATGCTCGTAAGTACAAAATAATTATTTTCCTTTAATCTTTCCTATAAACAGACTCGAATTTATATTAATTCAAATTTTATATTATCAGAATTGTCCGAAGTTTTATGGAATATGGTCATGAGAAATGGTTTAACTTCGGAAGGATGGTTCGGCGGAATTATTCTTTGGGGTATTTTCGCTTTCTGGGCTGTGCTCACAGTCGCAATTCTCGTACTTATGGAAGGATTATCTGCTTTCCTTCATACTCTCAGGCTTCATTGGTAAGCTGCAAACAACCCCTATGTTTTCAGAACGAAATGCTCTAACTATGTTTTTACTTTTAGGGTGGAGTTCCAGAGCAAATTCTATGCTGGTCAAGGCTACGGCTTTACTCCTTTCTCCTTTGAGATAATCCTCGAGGCAGCCCAATCTACATCTGAGATAGTAGATTAAAATTAGAAATTTAACAAAATCTACGAGCTTTTGTTTGATCAAATTATTTGCCTCACAATGCAATCTTTGCAAAGATTATTTTAAAGCTAACTTAATAAAGTACTTCTCTCTGTCTCTCTCTCTATTAAAATTAGTATTGAATCTCTGAATGTTGTATTTAAAATACGCACAGTGCAATCTTGTTTGAATTAACTATTCTTTTTCAATTTTGTTTATTATTGTTTCATTGAAGTTATAAGAATAAAACGTTGCGTATAGATAAATATTAAATAGCCAATTTTTATTATTAATAATATCCATCCCTCAGAGTCAGGAATAAAAGCGTATGAGTATCTCTTCAAATAATAATTTTCATCGACGGCATTCATCTCTATATATAAGCGCATACAAGATCATATCAATTCATGCACCACCGGTTGCATTTTCCGCGGGCAAAAACGTTTACAGCGCAAGAAGCATTGCAGACAAACCTTCGTTTGAACCCGGCAATCGAAATTACCCATTTATCCATAGTGCGTGCGCTGGAGTTTGGACCTTACACCCTTTCTTGCCGCTCGCGCGTGCGGCAATAAATAGTAATCTTACCTATATGCCGTTGTATTGTGTGGATATATATATGTATGTACATACTGTGTGCACGTTCCAAGTGAGCCGCGAAATTTTTGTGAGGCGTAACAATAACCTCGAGACTTTGCGCGATACACAAATGGCATGCAGATACTGCTGATATTGTATTCATCTACCAGCGCGGTTTGTGTGTGTGACTCGAATTTTTGTTTTCAATCCAAAGCCAGTGTTGATGTATAGGTTGTAACTACTATTTATCAGTGCTTCATGGGTAAAGAAAATTACGAGAGATTTATAGTTAAAGAAGGCATTGATGAGTGAATTTTCCCAACTTTCTGAAAGTCATTACAACAGTGATGCCGTAATTAATAGGTCGAGCAGATGAATTTAATTCGCGCACGCCTTGGTATATATAGAAAATTTCCGTTCAGATGAAGATGAAGCGAAGTAATAAACTCGACGTTATTAATTCAACCGTCGAGTCATATCTCAAAAGACGCCGATATCAGGTAATAAACGTTTTTTTGCATTTCCCACAGTTTTTTATGCTTTGCCGAATCGACATTGTTTACACAAATTTCGTAAATATAACCTTTGTCGTAATGTTTATATTTTATATTATTGCTTACTATTTAAGTTAAGTTTTTTTATCTGCCTTTCATTGATGCATTTATTTCAAAAACTCTTTTCAGGATCCAGAAGTATTGAAAAAAACCGACAAAGACAACTGCTGTAGCAGTGAAGAAATGATATTGAATGTCACTGCTGAGTGCAGTGCTTCTCGAGATAATTCGTTTGTCTTCAGTGCTATAAATAATGACGTTCTAGCTGCCGAACAAGCTTATCAAAAGTATGGCTTTTGCAAATAATATTTGTCTACCTTACTCTTTGTGAATATAATATTATTATCTCATCAATGGATCTGCCACTATAGGTTAAAACAATGTATACTTGGACTGAACAAACCTAGAATCAAGCATGAGTTACAAAATATTCTGTATCCCATTTTTTGCCATTTGTACTTGGAAATGCTTAATACTGGAAATCGGCAAGCAGCTGTGCAATTTATGAAAACAAATCAAACAGATTTCTTGTCAGATAAAGAAAGGGATTTCTTGGAAGAATTGTCAAGTGTCTTTTCTACCCAAGACATCGAATTAAGACCTTTTGTAAATGCATTTAGAACTAAAAAATATAAAGTTGAGCTGTCTGATGCAGCTCATACTTTATTACAAAAATTCCTTATTAAAGAAGGTCATATTATTATTATGCAGGTAATAATACCTTGTAATTTCGAATGAATTTATTTGTAAACACAGAATACTTTTGTTATTTAAAATTAGGTAATTAATAAACACATCACAGTTAAAAAAAACTTATCTGGAATACAACCAAAAATGGATGAAACAGAAGAAGTTTGTGACAAAAAATCACAAATTACAATAAATGGTCATGTTGACCAGTCATGCAATACAGATGTAGATAACTATACAAGGGAACTCCAAGAAGCAATTCGATTGATGCAAAACAGTGCTCATCAATCGTTACGAATATTTGGAATAAGCAATGCTGTTGATCAGTAAGTATACAAAAAATTAAAAATTGTATCATGCTTACAAACTTTTAAATTTCTCACAATCATTTTTTAGTGCAAGTTGTGGTATACTTTCCCCAAGTATGAGTAAATTATTTGCTGGATTTGATACTGCTGAAATCAGACTCTGGGGTATTGGCGATACAGTACTTACAAGACCCACATTAGTAAAACCCAGTATTACACTTGCCTGTGATCCAGAACCTACTTTAATGGAAATAGATGAACATGAGTAAGCATAACTATTTTGTCAATTGAAATCAAATTTAAATTAATAAGATTCAACTTTGATTAAATTCATAATTTTAGAGATGAAACTGGAGCAATAATAATGAGAGGACATTCTGATGTAATTCATGACATGAGGTACATTCAGGAGCCAGAAGTGTTACTCACTGTTTCCAGTGATAAAGATATGAGAGCTTGGAGACTTAATGATTATACTTGTGCAGCTACTTACAGGTAAAGATTGCAATCATTTTTTCATAACAAATAAGCAATTTATTGCCTAAAATTATTTATAACAGAGGTCACAATTATCCGGTGTGGTGTATGGATACTAGTGCTTTTGATATGTATATAGCTACGGGTTCACATGATAGAACAGCAAAGTTGTGGACACTAGATAGAACATTTCCTCTTAGGATATATGCTGGTCATGAAATGGATGTAAATGTAAGCATTTTCTTAGCAAGTTTCGCAATTTCAGTTATTTTGGATAACCAATAATTTATTATGGAATTTTCAGTGCATTCGATTTCATGCAAATTCTAAGTATTTAGCTACGGCGTCTTCGGATTCATCCGTCAAGTTATGGCAAATAGATAACGGTAATTTGTTGAGATCCTTCTCAAGTACCAAGTCAATGGTTTTTAGTCTCGCTTTCAGTCCTGATGGACATTATTTGGCTAGTGCAGGTACATCTTTAGAATTCAAATACTTTATATTATACAATTTTCAAAAATATTCAAATAATTAAAGGCAAATTATGTTATAGGTGATAGTAAATCAATAATGATATGGGATTTGAATAAAAATACTATGCTTACAGAATTGAAAGGACATGAAAATTCTATTATGAAATTAGATTGGAGTTCGGATGGTGAATTTATCGCTAGTTCTAGTGTAGATGGCAACGTATTAATTTGGCCAACGCAAGAATATATAAAATTAGGAATTTCGTAAGTCAATTGAAATATTTTTACTATTTAACGAAGCTTATTAAATTTGATTCTCAAATTATTTTAGGGATTCAACTAATAATGCACCAATGTCAAATCCACAAAACTTCGTGACAAGATGTAAAAGTATACTTTCGTTACGTTATTTCAAAAATAATTCTCTTGTATGTATTGGTACTACATAAATTTTGTTTCAAAATGTTTTTCTTGAAAATTGTATTAGCTAATAGCCATGTATCCTTTTGAATGGGTACTTCATAATCTGAGTGGCTGTGAAAGAAGTTCTCATCTATTTGATTCTCCTTGTAAATATAACCAGTATATTGCCCAACTCAATAAGATGCATTTTATACAAAAATTTGAGTGAAGAGTTGGCATTATGATGCTAAGAATTCGAAGTAGTTTCAACATTTAAAAGTAGATTATTAATATTTTGCAAATAATAAATAAGTCTTGATACTGGCGAAATAATTCAAGTGAATTTTGAATGTTTTACTGTGCATAGTTATTATTTTTTTTTAATGGTATAATACTCTATCCCGAATTATCATCGGAAAAAGTTGAAAATAAACTGATGTATATATACCACTTTTTGGTGGTTTAACTTTTTGTATTTTACTTTACTACGTTCGTCCTGGAGACGAAATGAACTTAATTAAGAGAGCTCCAAGACTCAATATTTTTCTGTATTCCTAAAGATTTTTTAGATAGCGTAAGTAATTTTCGTTATGATAAAAATTTACATGAAAATAAACTGTAAAAAGTTCTTTAAATTATCTTCTATCCTTTGTATAGTAAAATAGGATTCCCAATGTGTAAATTATGTGGCATGATTTATTTAGGAGTTATAATTCAATACATTTGATCAAAATAAATGATATAAGCTAACATGTTTGTAGAGAAAATAATAAATTAATTGATTTTTAATATTATGTGCATTCTTATTAATTTCATGAAGATATCTGCGTAACTCATAATAAAAAACTTGGAAAGAACTTGGCATTTTGAGGAAAATTTTTATGGTGAAACAAATTTTAAAGAAATTTACTAATATAAAAGCATAAAATATTACAGTTGAAATTATCTACAAAAATTGCTTTCAATGTCTCAAATTATAGAAATGCGTTATATTATTTCTAGATTTGATTTTATTATTCACTTACTTTTCAACACTAATGTTAAGAGAGCATGTTGAAAACAAAATTTGAAAATAGCATTTTCATTTCTAAATATTTCTAATTTATTCTTTTTAAAATTAACTTGATCGTCTAATAAAAAAAAACTATTGAGTATCTAATATAAATGAAACTCTTATTTAATGCAACAGTATATTTTCGACAATCGATATGCATCATACCATCCAAAAATTGAACAAATTAAATTTTAACAAGTGATATTAAATTTTCAATAATTTTAAACATTCTGTAAATATTTATTTTGAATGAGAGTTTAACCTATGTTAGAACGTCACACTTAAAAAAAAATATTTTTGTACTTGTACTGTACAATTGCCATAACGTAAGTTAGTAATGATATTTAAGTATCAAATAGTAAATTATTGTGAAAAATAGTGCCAAATAAACAGTCAAATTATTTGGATAACTCTCACTTGTACTTCTACTGTTGATGGATTTAATTTTTTAAGTTCATCTGAAATTCTCTTAATAAAAAAAAGAATGAGGATAATAGAAATAACAATAAACAATTTTGTATTAAATTAAAACCTTTTTATTTGATGTAAACTTTATTGTAATCGTTGAATTGATTATAAATAATTTCATGGTGTTAAAGTTAATATGAGTTTTTTAACTCCAAATGCAATCCGTACATTTTTTAATAAATAAACAAGTCGAATTCCTACTTATGTTAACGAACATATTGATCAAAATTGAAGTCAACAACAATTGAGAAAATCATTATTTTTCCTATAGATAAAAAATCATTTCATAAAACAAATGATTATGCGCAAATAATGGATTTATGTTGGGTTCGAGTCAAATCCAAAGCTTGTTAAAAACTTTACAGTTGCTACATTTTTGAACCCATCATCAAACATACCTAGGTAGCGTAAGAACGAGTTCACTGTTAATTATTGAAAAATTGATTGATAAAATTATCTAAATAATCGAGGTATAGATATAATGTCAACTTGAATATATCATTTATGTCGTTAAGTCATTGAATTAATCGCAAGTACTAAAATTGATGGCATAGCTACACAGTTTTAGTTACTAAGCAAAGCACACTTTGTAATTGTAGAAAATTTTTCATTCTTTTCATTTTTATTATTTGACTATATATGATTGTATTTTTGAAAATATTAATAACATATTTTACATGGAATTAGTTAACTATCGTTTGGATCGTTTTATAGATTGAAGCATTTTTGCCATTAAAGGAGCTTTAATTTTTTTCATGCTACTTGAATTGGTTATTCCTCCTCTTCTACCAGAGGGTGGAGGTGGAACAACTATCCTTTCTGGAGGTCTTGTTGATGAACTTTTTGAATCACTTGAATTATTGCTACTAGTACTTGCTGTACCTGACATTAGTTTATATTTTAAATCAGCCTTTGCTGAAACATTACCTGTACCAAATTTGCTTTGGGCACGAATTACGTTACGAGGAGGCTTCACAATATGATCAACATAAGCTAATTTAGTTGTTCTCACAGGCTGCGAGGCATCTGCTGCTCGTTTGATGCTGTTGGTAAGAGATTTGAGTTTATTTTCTCTTTCTTCAAAGCAACGCTGAAAATTAATAAATGAACATTAGAGATTAATGATTTTATTTGAACGACGGTTTCAATGAGCTTGAAAAAAAAGTAACTCACCATGTACATATCTCGTGATGATTCCATTTCTTGTTTTTTTTTAGTTTTAAAATCCTTATTACAGTGGAATGCCCACAATTCATCTGTATCCTGAATTAAATAAGGATTATGGTGTTCGATTGTAAATAGTTGTTCAGGAGTGACTCTTTGTAAAATAGGTTTCATGATGTCAAATGGTACTCCACCAGTATATCCTAATGCATCAATGTTTTCTACGATTGTACGGATGCATATTTCACACAAAGTAGAAACATTAGTATAACCAGATTTGTTCCCTGAAAAGACTTTAGTTCTTTGGTTCCTTGAATACATAACTTTTGCGAGTAATTCATCCTCATCTTGACGACGCTGCGCTACAGATACTGTAGGTAGAGGTCTATAATTTTTACTAATTTCAGGTAATGGTAATGCAGCATTTGTTATTTCTTCATTATTGAGAGCGTCTAAAACAGCACGTGGTTCTATTGCAGCTAAAGGCTAAAGTAAAATTAAAGAATTTAATTTATATAAAATATTGTTGTTTATAAGAAATTAGGTAATTAATTTTTACATACTTCAGACTGTTCAGGAATCTCTTTTTGATCAGACGTACTCAATCCTTTAGATATGACAGATTTATTTAAATTGGAAGAGGAAATTGAACTATACTTAGAGTCGGTTTTGATCGTTTTAGATAAAGTTTCTTTTTTCTTTTTTGAAGAGGGAGCCATGCACATAATACCCAGGGCATCAGCAAAGCTAGTGCCTGAAGTGCTGTCAACTCCATCTTCATCATTACCAACCATTATCTTTTCTTTATCAAATTCTTTATTTTTATGTTCTTTATTCTCATGTTCTTTACTTTTATATTCTTTATTCTCATGTTCTTTACTTTTGTGTTCTTTCCCATGCAAATGTTCTCTAGATTTTTTTCCTTCTTTGTGTTTTTTATTTCCTTTATCTTCTTTGTGTTTATCTTTATCACTTTTCAAAGATTCACTACTTTTGTCTTTACTTTTGCTTGATGAGCTATGTGAACTTTTAGACGACTTTTTATCATGATCCTTAGATTTTTTATGTTTTGATGAGGAAGATGATGAATGTTCAGATTTGCTAGATTTATGTGATTTTTTACTTGGAACATTATTAATACTTTCTGAAGATTCTTCATATTTATTTGTTATGATTTTTATTTTTTTCTTGTCTGGTTCATCTTTACTTTTATTGGAATTTAATTCATCAACCTTATTTGAATTTGAAGGCTCTGATTTTTTATGTGAATCATGGGTTTCAGAATATTTTCTTTTCAATTCTTTGTGATCAGTCATAGAATCTTCCTTTAAGGATGGATTAGTATCTGGGGAAGCTGGAGATGTTTCATCAGATTCAGAAGATGATGACTGAGTATTTGCCACCATACTTTTCCATTTACCAACTAAATCTTTAACAGCATCACCTACACCATCATCCAATTTACGAAGAGAACATACAGTTCGCCCAATTCCTGTTTCACGAAGGTGAGTAACTGTAATTGATAACCTGTCCAAGGCACGAAGACAGTGAAGTAACTAAAAATAGAATTTTTATGTTCAAGTTATTTTGTAAAATTGAAACCATTATATGCTAAATTGGAAAAAATAGAGGAAAAAGAAATGCATATGATTATATATTGAACACAGTTAAAATAATTGTAACTCACATAACCTACGATTTAAAAATATTATTTACCTAAATTCTTCATATAAATCAATTTGTTTGTAAAAAGAAACAAATTGTTAATGGTTAACCAAATTAACTACTGTTATTATATTGTGAAAAATTAAGACATTTGCTGATTCTGACAACAATTGTATTAGATTCAAATCAAACGCATAAAATATATGATAAACAAAAGGATACCAATGTTACAAAATGATAAATTTAAAAAAAAAGACGCGATGTAAAAAGCTGAACAAAATGCCAACCAGATTATACTCATTCAAGCAATTTCATTATGCAGAAAAAAAAAGAATTAGGCTACTTTATTTCTTACCCTTCTGCTGTTGTTCAAAGACTCTCCAATACTCTTTTGATAGTGCAGAATTCTCTCTTCCACCGACATGATTTCTAACGTAACTTATAAAATTATCAACGAATCACAAAAAAATCAAAGAATCCCGCAGGATCTGTAGTCCTATCTAACAATATCACGAGCTAAGTAAGTAAAGTTGGCTCAAATAGTAACAGACGTTAAATGGCCATTGACATGGGACATTTAAACAAGCCGTTTTAAACAGACTCGAGAAGCCACAACACCTGCACTGAACTGACTATCTATGACTTTCGGAGACTGTTCAATTATAACTTCCTCCTGCACACTGCACAGCCACGAGCTTGATCACGTTGCGCGAGTGACATCGAAAAGACAAGGTCTTTGAGTTCGGGGTCGTCATACAGTCATTAGACGTCGCTTAAAAATTGACTGTGTAAGATGCTCAACTAAAGGAGTGCGACTCCACATAAAAATTGCGCAAAATTTGAATGTTGGTTTAAATAAAAAAAAATAAATGAAAAATTAATTTGACGAAAAATATAAATGTATCAGTTTTATTCCTTACAAAAGATGCAAGAATAAAATGTCTTAATTTTATAATTATTAATTATATAAAACAAAAACAGCTTGTTATTATAAGTTATTATATAATGTTATTATGTATTCTCTTAACAATCCAGATTACATGTATTAGATAGCTATAAGAAAACTGCATTTGCAATTAAAAATCCACGGCTTTCCGATATTTGAAGTAATGCAAAGTTATAGATCGCTTGTATTAAAGCTTTGAAAGAAACTTCTAAAAGAAATTCGACGTTGATAAACATATATTTGCTAAACAACAATATCAAAAATTCAGTATTTCGTATGATTACAAACCACATTTATTGTTTTTTAATAATGCTATTTCGAAATAAGTATGTAAGCATATGCTTTCAAATTTTAAAAATAATAAGATAGTACGTTTTCAAGCGATGTAATCTTTCTATAAACTGCAACTCTAATGATTTAAAAAAATTATTTAGACCCTAAAATGAAACAATCTGAAAAAGGTAATTTCTCATTTTTATTGTAAAAAATACGTACACAAATAGCCATTTTGTTGAATGAATATTAACGAATCAGCGAATTTTGATATCTAGTCATTTTATGAATAATTTGTTAAATAATCAAATTAACAAAATATTTCACTTATAACATACAATGAAGCTTTACGAAAATGAAGACAAATTACTAAAAAAAGTCATTAATAACTTGTAAGTACAATAATATTATAAACAATTTACTTATGAGAATAATAAGATTATTTTTAAAGTTATAATTATTTTTGTGATTTTATTTATATCTAATCTGTGACTGATACATTTAAAAACTGCGCTCTTAATTTATGCTATATTTGGCAACTTGTTTTCGACCTATAGTAGCGCCATCTTCTTATGCGCTTTTTATACCGACCGTAAGGCGTAAAGTAATTCAACGCTGCAACTCATGACTCAGACGCTTTCACTAGGGTCAGCATGTAACATGTAAAAAGATGGACTTCAGTTTGTTGAGTGGCAACGACTTTTTTTATTGAAAGAACGTCATCATTTGAAGTTATAACAAGAAAAACCATAATAGACTATCGCTCTCCAGTGTAGTTTCAGCTGTTGTGCGTTCAGGCACGCAGCTATCGTTGGCGACGTGTTCTAAGTATAGTTAAGATTTTTAACAGTGTCAGGTGAAAAAGCTGAAATACTTTCAAATACACAGTTCAGTGTACATTAAAACGTGCTTGATGCATTATACAGATATAGAAGATTGACAATATTTTATTGACTCTTTGAAAAAAATCGACGATACAAGAATTTTAAGAATTGCACGGGAGAACTGACTTTTTGTTACGCTGTTGCTTGTAAGTAAATGATTGATATACGAATTTCTAGTAGAATAGTCAATTTTGTTGAAATAGTTTTTCAGTAAATTATTCTTTTTCATCCCATCTAAGCAAATGGTTTGGTTTATTTTTTCAAATTAATATCATTTTGTATAATATTCGTTTTAAAATAATTTGAGGTTAGATTTCACCTAAAAGTACTGTCTCAATTTATCTTATTCAAAATTCAAAATAGTATTTAAAAAATGGTATCAATTAAAGCAATAACTAACATTTTCAATTTTTTTTCTATTACTCAAGAGATATTGGATTCCAGAGTATCATCATCATGTCAGTGCATTACAAGTTCAAATCCACTTTAGACTATTATACCGTCTCTTTTGATGGATTGTACATATCTGTAGCTGATCTTAAAAAAAACATTCTTCAGCAGCAGAAAATTGGCAAGAAAGCGGATTTCGAACTGCTTATAACAGATGCCCAAACAAAAGAAGGATATCATGATGATTCAACTTTGATTCCAAAAAATAGTAGTCTCGTTGTATCCAGAGTACCGCTCACTGTTGCTCAAAAAAGAATTAGAGATCGCACAGAATTATCTGTTACACATAATATAAATGATCAAACTGAAGTTGGAAAATCAGTTGACCTAACAAAGTTAGAAGGCTCAGAGTTAGACAAAATAAACTTAATGATGAGTCAGAGTACGCAAGAATACCAAACTTCTAAGTAAGTAAATAATATCACTTTATAAAACTTAAATATTTTCATGTTATACTTTATAACTAAATAAATATGTATATTTTATATTTTTGTTAAAGTTGGGTAAAAATTCGAGGTTCAAGTCAAACTGGAGAAGTGCCACCGAATTATCGTTGTCATAAGTGTCACCGACATGGGCATTGGATCAAAGACTGTCCAATTTCAAATGAAGTCACGGAAATTAAAAAAAGCACTGGAATACCCAGAAGTTTTATGGTACCAGTAGAAGGCCCTTCTGTACCAGGTGCAATGATGACTCCTGGTGGAACATATGCTGTACCTGCAATAGATCAGTAAGTATTTCAAACTATCTTTATGTAATTGTGATTTAATTGAATTGGTTGAAAATTAGAAAAATTAAAAACCTAATTTTGTCCATTTTCACTTTTCTTTAAGTATCAATTTATAAAACATTTTTATAAAATTGTTATTCAAAATTTATAAGATCCATTTGAAAATGCTCCTGCTTCTTATTCTCTTGAATAATTTTTACAATATTATATTTTCAAAATATATGTGATTTCAATTAAAATATTTATAATTAAATTCATACATTTTTTGCTTCATTTCAGTCAAGCATATAAGGAAGGTAAAAAAGAAAGACCACCATTCACTGGAGATCCACAAACAGATGTGGAGCAAACGGAAATCCCTAAAGACATGATTTGTCCTATTTGTAAAGATATTCTTACTGATGCTGTTATGATTCCTTGTTGTGGAAAGCCATTCTGTGATGAGTGTATTCGCACTTATTTATTGGAATCTGAAGACCACCAATGCCCTGACTGTGAGGAAAAAGATGTTTCCCCAGAAAACATGATACCTAGCCGATATCTAAGAAATGCTGTTTCTCGTTTTAAAAATGAGACCGGTTATAAAAGGTTGCTAAAAAGATCGATTGAAGAAGCTGCTCAACGAACAGTTCCAGAAATCGTTACTGAAAAAATCTCTGAATCATCACCACCAGCCAATGCTGAACCTAATTCAATTGAAGAATCTCCAGTTCATGACAAAAAACCATCATTAGAAGAAAATGATGTTTCAGATGAAAAATCAGCAAGTGAAGAAGTAACCAATGAAGTTGTCAAACTCCAATCTGAAGGCGATGGATTGGATGAAATTCCACCACCCCCTGGTACAGAACCTGCGTTGTTACCTAAAAGAAATTCTGATCAGAGCTGGAGAGACTCTGGTAGTGATACAGTCTATGATGATGAGCAAACTAATCAGTATGAAAGCGAAAAAAAACGAAGTTATGCTAGTAACAATGCAGTTAGTAGCCGTAACTCTACGCAAGCGATGAATGCACGACATGTTACATCACCAGTGCACAATCATACTCATTCTACGGATTATAGTGCACAAGACAAAAGTTATTTACCCCCAATGAATGCGGATAATCGTTATCATGCTCCACCACCAATGCCTTACGATGGACGTCGCTCAACTGAGGACCGTGCCGGTACGCCAACTGTTGATGAACCTCATCTTCATCCACAACAGCAACCAATGTATCCACCTGGAGACGAACGTGTAACTTTGTCACATCCTTACCCAGCAACAGTACCTACTGGTCCACCGATGATGCCGGATCCGTACATGGTGCCACCAGCCGCCCGAATGATGTATCCACCACAACCAGGATATGGTCCACCACCGCCACCACCACCTCAACGCTATGATAATCGTGCACCGATGTATCCACAAGGACCGCCACCTGTCGGTTATAGACATCCACCACCTCCAAGACATTATGCTCCACGACCCATGAGAGGTGAGTTTATTGATTATTTCAATTTTTCAGCTTCTAGTATCCACGGTGATGCCACTTGAACTAATCTTAATAGAAACACTAATTATATAATTGAAATGAATATTCACATTTTTTTCCTCTCAGGCTTTGTGACTAAATACGCCAGATAAAATTATCAAATTTTATATTTTTATACTTTTATTTTTATTATCATTTTGTCTGTAAAAATTTTAATCCTTAAAATGTGTAATATTTTATTAAAATATTTTATTTTCAGGAAGTTATAGAGCTATGAGTCACATGCCTCCAGGTATGGGTCGCCCAATACACAACGGCACAACATCGAGTGACCCCTTGTTCGAAGCTTTTATGCGTAATATAAGGGAGAAAGATGAGCGAGACCGACGTTTGGGTAAGCACCGAGTAGCTCGACGAAGCAGATCTCCATCTCGAAGTTATTCAAGATCCAGATCACGTTCTCGCACTCCTCGACGTAGACTTTCTTCACCACTTGGTAGAGCCGCTTCCAGATCGCGCTCACCACCACCTAAAAGAAGAATTGCATCAAGATCGCCTCCACCAAGCAAACGTGTCAGGAGCCGTACTCCCAAAAAACGGCGATCTCGCAGTGGTTCTTTCCGTATAAGTCGGTAAGTTAATAAATCAATTTTTTTTCAACCTTTGCTTTGTCATCATCGTTCTATTTTGTATTTATTCATTAATTCATTAATATTTAATTAAGAAATGAGGTTGTGGGTTTGACTTTTTCAAGTTTCTCAAAATGATAATCTACCTGCAAAAATTTTTGTTACTTTCTTTATCATTAAATAGAACTGCCTTAAAGTTGAATTAAAATGAACGCATTTTTGAAAAAAAAACATAAGTAAGAGTTTATTTTTGGTTTTTCTGTAAGGAGATATCAAAGCCAAAGTTAAAAAAAAGATTTTCAAAAACACTTTCTGACATTTCTACCGACTTTTTTTTAAAACTTTATATGGATCTTATTATATAGTTGTTCTTTTGATATCAACTCAACTATCTCTCTATTTATTGGTATTTTTTTGATTCTTATATTTTATTCTCAATTTTTTTTCTCTTATTTTTTATTTTACGCTTGTAAAAGTGATGCTCGACTATGTCATCGAAAAAAACTTGTGATTGATCTTTGGATTTGGGTAGGTGCCATGGAAAGCATTACGCGCGCGTTTTTAAATTCTTGATAACGTGATCGAGTACGGGATGGTTTGTGCACGCGCACCACGCCAAAATGTGCTATTTGAGAAGAATGTTTAAGAGAATTCTTGGAGAACATTTTTGAAATTGTTCATTTTTAGCCTGATTTTGGCGTCATACAGTGTAGTAAAAATAGGACTTGAATTGTTAACTGACATTTTAACTCAAACCAGATGATAGGAGCATCAATTTTAAAAACTTTTTCTTTTTTTATTTAACAGTAAAACTAATCGCTTCATGTATTTTTCTGTAGTATTTGTAGTATAATGTAGAAATTACTTACCAGTAAAATAATTTAAAAAAATAAAGACTTGAAAATATAAAAAAATTGAATGTTTTTAGATCACGCTCGTACTCTCGCAGTTTATCACCTAGAGGCTCTCTCTCACGTGAGAGAGATCGTAAAGGCAAACGACCGCGCGACACGGTGGCTCCGTACAGATCGCCCATTCGATCACCACCGAGGTACGTAAATCACTTGCGAGATTATAATATTTTCTTTCACTTCAAGTCCTATAGTTTGATTTAGCCTATTTGATTTTTGTGACATTTATCCATCGTGAAATTACGGAATATATTTGTTTTTTTTTAATTGTGCTAAATTGCTTAGTTTAAATATCCGAATAAGAAAAAAATATAAATTTGTGAAAATATTTAACTTATTCACAATGTTAAATAGTGCTTATAAATGAACAATTTCACGCGTTTATAAAAATTTTTGTCATTGGTAATTTTACCGCTTTTCTCTCTTTATTCATTATAATTATCAACATTCGAGTTTAAAAAATTAATGGTTTCTTAAAAATTTTCTCGCCTTAGATATCATAAAGAGAGAGATCGCACTCGTCAACGTTCGCCTTTTGGAACAGGCTCTACCAATGCAAATATCACTGCAAGTGGCAGCACATATTATGATCCGAACACTGTCGTACCAAGCGCTCTCGATCATTTCGTCGCACGAAACGACGTTCGAACAGCACCACAAACTGGTTCTCATCGATACATCGCAACTCCTGCTATTCGAACAACTCCGGCTGCAGCCGTTGTCCCGATTGCACCAGCTCCGATGCCAACTCAACTTTTACCTCCGCCTCCGAATTTAATAGTGGCCGCCGCCGGACCTCAAGTTCCTGTACAACAGATTGCTGTAACGACCCCGGTTCTACCGGGAGTAATAGTTCCTCCGACGGCCGCTGCAACCACGACGGACAAGAGTATATACGATTCTTATAACAGGTATTTTCGATGCACTAGTACTATCTCGATAGGCTCGATCATGAGTATCGCGGCTGCCTAAAAAGCACAATAAATAAAGTATTATAAGAGACTGAAAGACGGTGAGATTGCAAAAGGCAGTCGATGCAATGTCCTTATTTGGGCTTGTAATCATCTATAGAAACTTTTGAATTATTTTTAACGCATTTATTTTCTTGACGAATGAAAGATATAAAAACTTTTGAAGTAGTTAGACCTTGAATCTTCTTTTGTACCTTTAGCGGGTATACCTGGGATATTGAAAAATAAATTTCAATCTAGTCAATATGTATAAGTTGAAAAACTTTTAAAAATAATGCCGATTAGCGAATTTTACGTACATGTATAGTATTCGAGATCTATTTTATTGTTACTTGTGTATATAATTTTTAATATATACCGAATTATTTATTTGTACTTGACTATGTCTGTGATATAAGAAAGTTATAGTGTGACTCCTATTGTGATAAAAAATCCCATCTTTTTATGATGCAACACAAAAAAGTCGAATGTATAATAATAATGCGATAATAATTAGTATGTTTTTTACTTTATATTCATACATAAATATTGACGGGATATTATGTAGAAGCTGCTGCAATCATGAAGATTGAAAAAAAATTTATCAGTAATAGTTCTACAATTGTAAATAATGTACATTTATTTATGTAATTTATAAACCGTTGAGAGACGATTTTACAAGTTAATAATTATTATTAACAAGATATCATTGCTTTTTCCACGGAACTGATTATGCATCATTTCCAACTTAAAGTTTTATTAGTACCTTAGTAAATATCTCACTGGGGTTTAGAAGATAATTAGTTTTGCGAAGAACCAATAAATCAGGTAAGAAAAAACCAATGATGGCCTTAATGTTTCATAAAATAAACTCTTCTGTCAAATAAACTTTATTTTTTGAAACGTTAAAGCACATGCGATTTTTATAATTTGTTTGAAGAGAATTTTCAAAATACATAACATCATTTTAAAATGTTAACAAATCAATTTGATAAGTTGGTGCTATTAATAAGCCTAAGAAATCAAGTCATTCGAACATCAAATACTGAGAAAAAATTGTATGAAGTAAAAAACTCTGCCCAGATTTAATTTAATGATAATTTTTTTAGTTTCCTTTCTGAATTTTGGTTCTTGACATTGACATGTAGCCGATTCATAAAAACGTGAATTTAACTTTTGTATTTTAAATATTGTCAAATCACTTATCAAAAGTCTATACTCATTTAAACATATTTAAGGTATTATTTAGAAATTTATCGGTAAATTGAAAGGGTCAATGAATATTTTAGTAACATTTAATGCCAACTAACTGTTTTTAACCTATTCGTTATTTAAATTTCATCATTTGAAAACTTTATATTCATTATTTTCGTTTAAATATTTTGATAAATAACTGATTCATATATTTGACTTTCATGCATTTAATTTGTTATACCACTGAAATGTTTTATGTGTTATTATCTCGATAAAAAAAATAATTATTTCGTGCTGTGTGACAAGATCAAAATATTCACAGCGTGACACTCCGTAACATATCAGATGCCTATCGAAATCTTATTTTCAAAGTTTTGTCTACTTATGTTACGGTTATCATATCTTTAAAAAATAATTTTCATCCAAAAGGTAAGCTCTTAGTTATAATGTGTAAATATGAAAAATACAATTGAAATTTACAATTCTGCTTAATGTCGGTAGTATAGTTTTTAACTATTTACGATGTAGCAAGTGAATACAATAAATTACAAATAAACATTTTTTTTTATCAAGACAAATACTTTATCAATCGTAACACGTACATTAAGTAGCATGAATGAAAAATTTAAATAAGCCAAGGAAAAAATTGCTACTTCCACTGACCGAGGCAACAATATGATTTGAAGATACTATTAGTATGCAGCGCATGCAGTTTATATGGTTAAATAACAAAATTAAATGTGTCGTTAGCTGAAAACTACAGCCGCAGCTTATTTTATTTGTTTATTCATTTACTATTATTATTTTTTTTTTTGCAAAACTTTTTTTAAGTTTGCATTTGTTGTTGTAATTTAAAACGAAATCGTCCTAGAAATAATCCGTTTTACTTTTATTCTTATGCGTTGTTGAGCTTGACCAAAGATAAGAGTCAAATTTTTATATTTTTTTCACAATAAGTGAAGTAAAGATAGTAGGTACTTACTAGAAAAAAAAATTATTTCTTGTCCCCGAAATCAAAGAAAAATCTGAAAAATTGTTCGCGAAATTCATAAAATAATATTTATAAGTTACCATGTACTAGTTCATGGCTCAGTATTAATACGTAGACATTATGCGTTAGACTTACCAACTACTACTATCAATGCCAACTACTGATTCGTACTGATTATTCCTCTTATAATAGTTACCTAGCAGTACATAGTATTGTTTCCCCTAAATGCATATTTATGAAAGATAAAATGAATTGAATCTTATTTTAATTATTAAAAAATTAAAACATTACCGCATTATTTCAAAGTACTAAATCTCATGTTGTGTTGCATCATATTTGTATAATTCAAGGTCAATAAAGTATAGTCATTCTTTAATTTTTATTCTTTATTGCATTAATCTATTTTGTATGTACGAAAAAGAATGTTAGAATGATTAAATGTTGTGTTCTTTTTAATTACTGAATGTAAATATGCTCATAGTGTGCTATTTCTTGAAATTATAAATTCAAACGATCGTGTACTTTTTTTCAATTTGGGAATTGTGTAAACAATAGAGTAAATCAATTGTGATATCCAAAAAAATATAGAATTTTTTCAAATCTCAGCGTTTGTCAATATTATTATAAGTATTTCCATCTATCATAAAACATAATTCAGCCAGATGGTCTATGTAAGTAGAAGAGGATAAGATACTCTGCGGTCAGTAATAAAAGAAGAATAAAAATGAGAAAAGAAGATTAACATCATGAAGCAGTGAAATATACAGATCCATATTTAGATTTAAAATTTATCAAATATACTTTGCGATGTATTAAAAGTCTCCATTTGATAGGCAAAGTGAATGATTTTTCAGTATCACAACTTCTCTTGTCTATTTTTCCCCTAAAATGATCACATATTTAGCTAGTCCACAACCACACATACGCTGGCCTTTAAAAGGTGCCTTGTCACCTTAATTCATCATCTAAAGACCACGAAGAAATACGTGAAAGATTGAAACTTTGATAATCGAAATTTATTTAAAAATATTTTTTCATGTTCCCAGGTATCCTCGCTCAAACCATTACGCCAAACGTTTCGACGATGTTGCGCCACCAGGAACCGAGGGATATTACGACTTGCCACCACCCGGCATCGAGCAAAGCACCGCTTCGAAGAGGTCCAGCCCCAAGGAGCGCGAAGTTGATAGATTCCGAGATGATCGTAGCCGTGATCGTGAGCGAGATCGAGAACGCGATCGCCGACGCAGCGATGAAAAATATAAAGTTCGCGAGCGAGAGCACGATCGTGATCATCACCACAGGCGGCGTTCGCCCGAACGGAAACGGAAACGAAGCTCCAGCCCTCGCTACGACGAAAAACCCGAGAAAAAGGAGAAGAAAGATAAGAAGGACAGAAAGGACAAAAAGAAAAGCGAAGATAAGGATAAGAAAAAGAAAAAGAAGAAGGAGAAGAAAGCGGCTGCTGCCGCGGCTGCTCAGAAGGAGGCTACACAGGCCGTAGCCGCTATAACTGCCGCTGCTCTCTTGAATACAAAACCTATCAGAGTAAAGAAGGAGCCAATCGAGCCAACCGTGGTCATCAAGCTCTCGGACCCGAATAAACCCTCGGGCCCAGCGACTCATGTTCAGCGTCTGCCCAAACAGCCGGTTGTCGTAAAGCAGGAACCGATCGACGAGCCATTAAAAAAATCGGTCAAGGACGCTCCGAAGTCTTTGGCTGAAACCTTGCCAGAGTCTTTGCTACCGATGCAAATCCCAGTTGCGACCAAAGCGCTGTCGTTGGCGGAAACATTGCCAGAGTCACTGCTGCCCATGCAAATTCCTCCAGCAACCAAGCCGCTATCGTTGGCGGAAACTCTACCGGAGTCACTTTTGCCGATGCAGATTCCTGCGGATAAACCCGCGATGTTCGATGAGCCATCCCGTCAAACATCTCCCACGCCACCGAGAACTGCTAAATCACCGACGCCTGTGAAAGAAGCTCAAATCGAGCTGGTTGAACCAGTTACCAAGATCGAGCCTTTATCTCCGAAACAAAACGAAGCCGCGCCGAATCCAGATTCTTCGTCGTGTAATCAAAACTACGACGAAGATGATAAGTATTGCCTGCAGCTCAACGCTTCGACCGAGAATCTTTACGATGGTCTTGTGACCGATTCCGAAATCAGTACGACGAGCGATATGAAGAAAAAAGATGATGACGCAAACGAAGAGGGTGAAATTGTTGAGAGCGAGCGGGACGAGACTGAGAAAAGAGACGAATTCCTTGCACCATTGCCGGAATTATCAAAGTGGGAAAGGGACGAGACCGAGAAACCTGACGAAGTTGTTGAGACTACCGAAATCGGAGAAATGACAACCGAAGAAAACGGCAAGGACAAAGTTACCACGGAGGTACTCAAACGAGCAGAGAACGCCATATTCCAGAAAGCCATCAACTCCATCAGGCCTATTGAAATTAAAAAAATTAGCGATAGCCGGAAAGTTCTTTACCAGAATCCCGAGCCAAAGGTAAATATTTGATTAAATACTTTTCAAACTAACTACTCAACATTTTTATGTTCGATCACTCATAACATTTTTCTCTACAATAGGTTTTGGATTCCGAAAATGAACGCAAAAGCGTTAACGTAACGATTACAGTTGCTAAAAATGAACGCAATGTGGAATTATCAACTCCAGATCCGTTGCTCAAAAAGATTTCCAAAACTGAAAGAGTTAAAAGTTCCAAAGCCACGTCGCAGCTGTCACCGTCGCGTGTTTCTATCAAAGAACGTCTTGGTGAAAAAGTCGAGGAAGAATCCAAGCAGGCAGCGGTGAAACATGTCGTCCTAGAAAGGACCAGAGAATCCATTAAATCTGAGAGGTCCAAATCGCCAAGGATGCGCAGCAAAGAAGGTCGCGTCTCTGATACGACAGTCATGAGTAATCCCGAAAGGAAAGTTTTTGTCGAAGATAGAAAACGGAAAACTGAACGCCCCAACAGAAACCGCGTCGTCTTGAAGCCAGACTCAGGCAAAGTCGTAAAATCCGACAGAATTGGACGCACGCCTCCTCTTCTTATTAAAGTGACTAAAAACGACGAAGACTCAAGTAAAGAGTCTAAAAAAGACAAAAAAGTCCGAGATGACAAAAAGCGTAGTAGAAAGGAATCCCGTCGTAGTCGCAGTAGGTCCCGAGATAGAAAAAAGCGCAAAGAAAAGAAAAGTAAAAAAGACCGGTCATCGTCAAAACGGTCGGGTAAGGATAAGGAATCGATTAAGGACAGCGACGATGAAAAAGACGGCGCATCTAGCTCTGTCAACAAGCGAGATAGTAGCCAAAAAAAGCTTACTTCCAGAACAGTCAGCGTTCGAAGAAGAAGTTTTATCGAAGAAGCGCACTTCGAGCCCAACTACTCCGTAAGTTTTTTTTACGTTTTTTCTTGCCATAAATACATAATTTTCATATATTTGAACAACTTATTCATATTTCGTTCAATTCACAGGCTAGTAGTTCTGAAGACGAAACAAGCTCGAGTGAATCAGTTTACTCTGATTCGGAAAGTTCAGTCGAGTCTCACAAAAAGAGAAAAAGGAAGCATAAGAAGCGGAAAAAGGTAAAAGCTAGACACTCTTCAGAAAGTGATGAATACAGTGATTCTTCTGAATCGAGTTCCGAAGAAGAAAAGCATAAAAAGAAAAAGAAAAGTAAAAGTTCGAAGAGCAGGAAATCGAATAAGAAGAAGAGATCGAAGCATAAGTGATTTTTAAATGTTTAATTGATAACATTTTTGTTTTTGAAAAGAAAAAAGGGAAGTTAAATTAATTAATGATAAATTACGTGAGAATGTTTACTTTAAAAACGTTAAAATTCACAACTACAAAGGAGTATCGAATTAGATTTTTCAATTGTAAATTATGATAATTTAATGATCCGCTAAGTTCTCTGCGATAATTTTCTTATAGACTTCCGAGTAATCAAATATCAATAAGATAAATGTTTGAATGTGATCATGTACAAACTTGAATTTCAAAACGGTGAAATGAATGAACTATAATATTACATATGATTAAATGAATTATATCATAATTATAATAATTATAAATATTAATTTAGAGGTAAAGTTCAATCAGTCATAATTGTAACGAAGTATCTATTGAGGGAAAAATTTTCGTTTAAATTTTTCGTAAAAAAAATACGAATATTCTGAATTTTATTAACAAATATAAGAATTGTTTGATAGAATACATTATTTAAGTACTCGAAGATTTTGATACTTTGTAGATTAAAATGGGAAATTTCGTATAAAATTTTTCTCTGAATAAATAAGCCGTAAATAATAAGAATGAAGCTTTTTTCATTGTACAAAAATAAAAATATTTTATTGTTAAACCAAATATACGAATCTTACAATTAATACGATTTTGCATGATCTCAAAATTTGCCAAACCATAATTATTTATTTTAAAAATTTCACTTTTTAACTCATGCACTTTTAATTTCTTTAAAAGTCTCTAAAATACAAAATAAGAGTGGAAGTTCCTTAGATTTTTCAGTTTCTATAATACCTAGATCTTTAGTAATAAGATTCCTGTCCAGTGGTTGCTTGGATAGTTCACACTCTGTAAAAAATGTAATTTATTATTAACAAGTAAGTTTAAAATATGAGAGTGCAGTTTTGAGCCTAAGCTACAACCACGAAATAGTCCTTTTAAATATATCACAAATTTAAAAAGACTAAACTTGTATCAAAGAAAAAAAAATATAATAAAAAGAACAATTAAAAATTAAAATTGCTTTAATTCGATTTACCCGTAATTAAAACGTTGGAAGCGTATTTATAGCCCATCCACTCCAAGTATTCCCTGATGAGCTCGTTTAATATCAATACCTCTTGCGGCGACTTGGGATGCTTAGATCTACTAGATTTGTTTGATCCCTCCAACAGTTGCATCACTTTGGTTCTCATTTCGGCTTTGATCTGGCTCAGTGCTCCATCCGACTCCAATGACGTTCTTACAGCTGTAGAAAAGTTTATTTGAACAATTTCGACGAGAAAATTCAGAGAAACAGTTAGATTCAAAAATTCGCGGTGCACAGACGAAATTCTTAACGAAGGTCTGTGAATGTGTATGTAGTACACAAACATACACACTTGGAGCATTTATAGAAAAATATATTACGAAGTTTGGCTAAAGAAAATATGTCAGTGTCGTCGATCTCATACCATCGATCAGATCTTTTCCCGTTGCCATTTTCTCTTTCTAAGTTGTCGAAATTCCAGTGAAACGGTAAATATTTTTCGGTGCGGAGAGCTTACAATGCAAAAGCAGAGGCAGTAGGAACGGTAGCAGCGGAGCTGCAGCAGTAGTAGTGATTTGAGGCAAACGCAGGAGTCGTTAGCAACAGTGCAGCAAGACACAAACAAATAACATAACCTCAATCGTTGTGCTGAGTGACAAACAATAACACCTACTTATCGCTTTCGTGTGAAGCTCGATTGTCCTGAAAACACGCAGTGCACCATTTGCGTTGCAGGTGCATAACATAGCCAAAGATCAGTATATACTAAAGTATCATATTTGCTAGAGGGGGCCAACGAGACATCGCGATGTTTTTATTTTCGTAGTTGAAGGCCAGTGGCAGTGATTTTATATAGGCTGCCAATGTCTGAAATCTTATCTGCATAGCATCATGAGAATTGGATCTATATAGGCATGAAACAACGTAGCAGCAGCAACTTTGGTGCGTGTGTCTACAGGTGTCTCGTGTATCATTCGAAATGCATCCGCTAAACGTCGAGTTTAATTGAAACAACGGCGTAAGCTGCAGTGCAGTTGACTCACCGTCGCGATATAAACACACGCAGGAGCTTCAGCTCATCCATACACAGACGTAGGCCACGTACTAGACATGTATATTCGGTTTGAATTCAAACGTATACTGCAGCCCAAACGAGCGCCTCGATGTTGACCCGCCTCGTCGTCGCACATCGCAATATAATCGCGTCCGCGTGTCGAGAAAGTGAAAGATTATCGTCTAGCATGATCGAATCGTCGTTATCAGCCTTCTGTTGCTGCCTGGACACTTTGAACGTTCTATATTTATAATTGTAATCACTATCGACATTGCTATTACTCATCAGTCATCATGGTATAGTCGGGGTCCCCACAGCACGCGTATACGTGTATCGTGAGTGTACTCTCGTATATAGCAGAGTGTGTATAATAAACGAGGTATAGAGAGCAGAAGTACTTATCCGCCTGTACGTATAAGAGTTACAAATAAACGCAATTGTCGTCGCTTGGCCGTAGTTTACACTCGTCATCAATTGATAAAGAGCAGAAAAAAAAGACGAAGGAAGAGCGATGAGATAATCGCGAACAATGATTTCGATCAACTCATTGTTCTGGCTCGAGTCTTCGTTGAGCTTCTGTCGTTGCTAGAAGCTCGCCACGAAGCCTATGCGGATCTGGCCCTCCTGTTCTCTTTATCCGCGGCCGCGCCACGGTTTCCCGAGATTTGTCCTCATGCAAATGACGACGGCTTTGACGCTGCGACGTTTTGTGTTCTCCTGCTCTTCTTGTGCAGTGCTCAACAATACACGTGCCAGAAAAAAATCGCCTAGTCAGTTCTTGGGTTTCAAAGTGGTATATAAAATGCGGCCGGCGTCCTACCGGTGCTGTAAAATTGAAATTACAACGAATTCCACTTGATGAAAGAGATGTCAAAAAATGGATACGAGCAAGAACAAGTGCAACAATCCGAATCCCAAGCTCTACGCCAACTTTTTGAGTCGATTAACTTTTGGGTTGGTAATAAATATTAAAAATTCAACGCGCAATACGAATGAAAAATAATTTCTGTTTTTTCTTTTTTAGTTGGCTACTCCAATTGTTTAAGTATGGAAAATATTACGAATTGGAAATAAAAGACGTCTACAATGCCCTACCGGACGATGAGAGTGACAAGCTCGCAACCGAATTGGAGAGGTATGCTCTGATAATTTTCGATTCTACGCGATTCGCAATTTTTATCATTTATCCATTATCAATGTTATTCGTCTTTTTAATCCACAGTTGTTGGAAAAAGGAGCGAAAAAGAAAAGAGCCAAGACTACTTCGTACCGTCCTGACGGCCTTTGGCATGTCGTGTCACAAATATGCCTTTTACTCGATAGTGTTGAACCTGTTCGTCAGGTAAATTATAAACATCATCGGTATCATAATCGCACGTTGTAGCGCAAGGATGACTCACTTAGTAAATATTCATTGAACTTTTTATAATTTTTTCCCCGTTTGCTTAACAACAGGGTAGCACTGCCACTAGAATTAAACCATTTTTTAACTTGCTTTCGAGAAGATGAGACGCCATGTGTGCACGTGCGGGCCTCGACTTTTCTCGGCTTGCTCATAGTACAAACGATTTTGACGCATCATGCAAATTTCGGACTCAAGGTAGTCGGTATGAGATTGAAGGCGGCTCTCTCCTCCATAATATATAAGAAAGTAAGTTTACGGAGTCGGATTAGTTGTGTAATTGTAGTGAATAGCTCTGAAAGTATCTCGTAACACATTTACTGTACCTGATTATAATACAAATTTCTTTTATTTCTAGATGACGAAACTACACAGCTCGTCGATTAAAGAATTTTCATCAAGTAGCCGTGTAATCAAACTATTCACCGTTGACGTATCGCAATTAGAGAATCTTTTCTGTTCGATCATCAATTTACTGGTTGTACCGATTCTTCTCGCAAGAATTGTTGTCGTGTTATGTCAAAAAATTGGATATGCATCGATAGTCGGAATCTTCGCAATCGCTATGATAACGCTTTTCGTTGAATGTATGATACCTCACTGAACTCATTTCTTGCTTACTTGATACAATGCTCGTTTTTTTTATTTTTAATTTTTTCTTTTTAAAGATTCAAGTTGTATAGTTATGTCAAGATTAAGCAAGAAAATCGGCAGACTCACGGAAAAAAGAATATTCATAATGAATGAACTCATTAATGGTATGAAATTCATCAAGATGCATGTATGGGAAAAGCCTTGGCTTAGGCTTTTAAATAACAGTCGAGAGAGAGAATTGAAATTTATCAAAATTAGCTCCTACCTAAGAGGCTTATCTCTCACTACGTCCATGTTCACCAATCTAGTCACACTGTTCATTTCGTTGCTGGTATTGAACGCTGTACAGGGCCATACCATCACAACCGATTATGTATACCTATTGATTTATTATCATTATATTGTCCAGTATGCCTTGTGCTATCAATTTCCTCAAGCAATCAAAAATCTATCAAGTGCAAAAGAATCTTTGAATCGTATAAGGGTGCGTTTAACAAGTTTTATTTTCCATGATAATCAATATAGATTAAGAAGTTGTAAATAATAATATTTTTTACAGTCATTTTTACTTCTGGAAGAAGTACAAATATTGCCCAGACCAGGCCATGACAAATCAATTATTTTAAGAAATGTCAATGCTAAATGGACTGCAGATGCCATTGTTAATACTCTAAGAGATGTGAACCTATGCCTTGGACCAAATAAATTTTATGCTATTACAGGTTCTGAAGGAGCTGGAAAGGTTGTTTATTTTATTAATTTATATTATCGTCAAACACCCACATAATAAAACTTCTATACTATAGTCAACACTCCTGAAACTATTAACCGGTGAGCTTAGTCCAGTCACTGGTGAGATCCTAGTTCCTGAAGAAAAATCGTATGCCCAACAGAAGCCTTGGTTGATACTAGGTACCATAAGAGCCAATATTTTATTTGGAGAACCTTATGAAGTAGAACACTATAAAGAGATTTTAAAAATTAGTCAACTAGATGATGCTTTGAGAAGCTTACCTTTTGAAGATGATACTATAGTTGGAGGTGACAATAAAGTCATCGATGATTTTTTATGCGCAAAAATTAATCTAGCAAGGTTTGTGTAGGGTACTTTTTACAAAATGATAAGTTTTCAAAAACGATAATTAAATTAATCTTTCCAGAATGATGTACAGAAATGCTGATTTTTATATATTAGATGATATGGAATTCGAAGCAGAAACAGAAATAATCGAAAAGTTACTTCAAGACTGTTTAATTACCTACTTGAAAGATAAAACACGCATTGTAGCAACACAATGTATCGACCGATTGAAACTGTCGGATGAAATTATATATTTAAGCGAAGTACGATTTTAATTTACCAAAAGAAGAAAAATTTAATCTACTTAATGATATAATTTCAACTTTTTAGGGTCAAGTAATATTTCGAGGAAATTTTACCGATTTTCAAAATGATAATAGAAACCTCGTGAACTCGTTAGTTTCAAATGACCATCCAAAAAAAGATTATGTTACAGAAAAAGCTTTTATACATCGCAGTATGAAAGTTGATCGAATGAACTCTGTTGAAGAATTTGTAGAAAAAATGGACAAAATTTACAGCGAACCTAAAGAGACTGATGGACTTTTAAGAAAAATTGATAAAATACAGAATACTATGTTGTTGAAGTATTTTTGGGCTAGTCGATCGTATGTTTTTATATGCATATTAATTATTGGCTTAGTGGTTGGGTTTGTGCTCATGACTATTGCAACTCACTGGATTGGAAACTGGTAAGGACAAAAAATTTATGACAAGAAATGAATTGTCAGTCATTTCAAATGTAATATATAAAAAATTTTTTTTTCATTTATTAACAGGACTTATTCTGGAGAAAGATTACTAAATTCCACCTTCGATTACAAAAATAATTCCGAAAGTGCAAACTTCATGAATTATAATTACACAAATAATAACTTGACGAATTTCAATTTTACAAAAAATAACTTCTCAGATATCAACTTCTCAGATACTAATTTCACAGATACCAACTTCTTTGTTGCAAATTTCTTAGATAGTAACTTTATAGAAAATTTCGCAAACAATAACTTTACAGATGATAATTTTACAACAACTGATGAGTTTTTATTAAGTGAAGATGAAATAAATGATTATCAATCATATGAAGAAAATCTGTGGACTTTAGGAATTTTTATATGCTCAACTTTTTTTTTTTACATTTTTAGCTGTTTGTTTTTTATAAAAATTTGTTTAAAATCAAACTACTTCATACATAAAAAAATGGTCAATCGAACTTTTCACGCACCAATGAAAATTTTAGATGACAATTACACAGGTAAATTTCGATTGAAACTAACATTTTTCAGTTGATATGATATCATTACAAGAGATGTTTTTATTTGTTTTATAGGAATCCTGAAATTATTTTCCAAAGATATTGGTATGCTTGACAATACATTACCATTAAGAATGTTCGAAACGGTCCTATGGTTTAATTTTGTTATTGTAATTCTGGTACAAATCGTCTACGTCAATTGGTACTTGATTTTCCCTTTAGTCGTTTTACTTCTGGTTTATTGGAAAATTGCAGTTTTTTACGTACCGAGTATTCAAAGCGTTAAAAATTTAGAAGGTTGGACGCTTTTTGATCATGCAGTTTTTTCATACTCGTAATCGTTTATTTATCTAAGATTATCTTTGTATTTTCTTCAGGAAAAATCCCGATCACAAATTTCGTCATATCAACTCTACGTAATCTTGATAGCTCACTTACTGATTACATTGAATGGACCATGCATCGAGAATTTGATTCTCGTTTGGACGATCGCACGGCTACACGATTTCTGGTTTTAGCTACGTCAGCCTCTCTTGGATTATGGTTAGATATGATTACGCTCGTTTTCATTACCGTCATTGTAGTGACATTCACCATGCAAAAGGCTGCCATGCAAGTGATGGGCGTTTCCTTTGTCGGTCTGGCACTGACACTGGCAGTGAATTTGTTGGGTTCCGTGCGCACTTGTCTCAAAGCTTACGCAGATTCACACGATAAGTTAAAAGACGTAAAAAAGATGATGACTATTGATAATATGGAACAAGAGATGGATGATCAAGTTTTAGTGAGGGTACCTCTGGGCTGGCCTAAAAAAGCAGAAATGAGATTCGATAGGCTGAAGATTTTAGACAGAGAAATTAGTTTCACTGTTGCTCCTGGTACTAAAGTAGGTATCGTTGGCTGTACGAGTGCAGAGAGGAAAGCGCTCATTGGAGCTATCTTCAGGCTGTTCAGGGCCGAAGGTCAATTGTACATTGACAATATAGATATTCAAAAGATTTATCTCCATCACTTGCGGGTAAAGATGTCTATAATTCCTAAGGTAAGAAATAAATATCAAATTTATCAACAAAAAATGAATGGTATTATTTAAAAATGTTATCTTTATAATAGGAACCAGTGGTATTTCCCACCACTTTACGTAACAATCTCGACCCTACAGATAAGCATAACGATGAAAAACTGTGGACGGCGCTCGAAACCGTCGGCTCAGAGTCATATTACAATTTATTGGATGAACAACTCAGAAACGAAGATTTAGATAAACATCAGCGTCGTTTGATAGCCTTGGCACGCGCTGTGCTAGAAAACAATAAAGTACTTGTACTTGAAGATGGAGATGATGAGCAGCTTTGCAATCTGGCCAAATTGATATTCAGTGAACAGACTGTTATTGGATTTTTACGGGGAATCGATGAAATCAAAGGTGATTGGGACAGAGTAGTTGTACTCGAGGGTGATAGTGATATAGACTGCTGTGACAGCGTGAAATGTGATAGTGAAAAAAATTGTTGATATATTATTAGATTTATAGATATTGTATGCTTGGGGTTCGAAGGAAACGAAAAAAATTATAATTATATGTAAATTTTTATAATAAATTGTATAGATTTATTGCTATTGTATAAATTTTTAAGAAGAATTTGTAAAAGATTTTTACTAAGCATAAAAAAAGAGAAACACTTTTAAAGTTTAAGAACTTTATTTTTACAGACTTTCAGATGTGCACTTTTGAATGTACATCATTGTTGAGTACACTACTAGAGATGGATGAATTTGTAACACTTTAATTTTTTTTTCTAAAACATGACAATATTGATAATGAGCAATTACTCTTTATCAACTATTCCATAACTGTTTTCAAAATAGCCTGAAACAAAATGAAATGGTTGGATAAAATTTGATTGTGTCATTCGCAAAATAATTTTAAAAAATAAAAAAAGGCTAAATCGAAACAGATGGAGTTTTAAAAATTAATTTTCTATCATCTCCCTCCGGATTTATCCTTATCCGTGCAATTATTTACACACAGCTTGTAAAATGTTTTTTTACGACTCTAGATCGTCGCATATCAACTTATTATTGACCAAAATATCACTCGCATTTTTCAAATGGTCCAGCTCTCAGTATTTTTTTACGTTTAATAATGTTGCTATTGAACAGAGCAAAACTGCGTGTAAACAAAGAAGCTTTCTAGAAACTGTTTGTCAGCGAGATTTATCGGCGACGAGCGTATAGCGAGTAAAAATATCAGCGTCAACTTTAAATTCTTCTTTCTTTCGAGTACACTTTTGCTCTGAATCAGTTAACTATCATTTTACTATGCAGGTAATTCTTCAAGGAAGAAAATATTAAGTGAGTAGTGAGTGCAACAATCTATCAGCATTAGTGCGCAGTAGGCACATAAGGTATGCATAAGGTGAATAAATTGGCTTGGCATGAGTGGGATGAAAAATAGTGTTATTTTTTACAGCTTTCAAATATTTAAAGGTCAAAGTTTAAAATGAAAAAGAACGGATGAATGAAGAAATTGTATAATTTTTTGCTCAAAGTCAGTAATAAAAACCCGTAATTTATTTTCAAGGTGACAACAATATACGTGAATGTACATACACATGAATTACACGAGAGGATCAAGTTTGCTCTAGGTGCCGCCGTTGAACGCCGTGTTCCAATTACACGAGAGGATCAAGTTTGCTCTAGGTGCCGCCGTTGAACGCCGTGTTCCAATGAAATTTGCCAGGGGTTTCGACGAAGGTTCGTGGCTCAGCTTGGGCAGTTTTTATTTCCCGATCGAGTCCAACGATCTTGATCGGTAAGCTGCTTCGAGAAAAATTCGTCCATTGAAGTAAAAGGTAAAAGTTGTATTGGTAGAGTCGTTGGCAATGGATACCGACGTGGCGGCCAGCAGTACATTGCCCCTCGATCTGTGCTCGTGCTTGTCTTGCGCGGGTTGTTTGTTGAGCGGCTGGGCCCTGCTGATGCCGAATCGGCGCTGTATTCCGCGCAGCCTCTGGCGACTGGCCCAAGCCCGTTCGCAGAAGAACAAAGCCAGGGCCGCGAGTGCACCCGCCGCCAGGATGCAGAAGGCCCCGTACACGTCTGCCAGGCGGGCCTGCTTGTACTTGAGCACCCCCATGCAGTCCAGTAGGGGTGGCTTTATCTTCAGAGTGAGTTTGCGCAGCATTCCGTACTGCCACATGCGTAAGATGCTGCTTAAACAGATCGCAATTTTTGCCATTTAAAAGTTCAAATGACTAGTATCAAGCAGAACTACATTTTTCTCAAGCTTTCAGCAAATCTTTTCATATTCGTCGAGTTTATCTTTTTTTCTCAGAATCTGACTGATGGATATATTTACATTTAAAGCAATGGTTGATGCAACATATTCAAGATCATAAGCGCCAATAAACAAGACCAATGTATTACCATAGATATTAAAGTTTTGTTTGATGTTTGACTTGCCACGATCTCACTCACCTGATATTGATGATTTTTTTGTATGGACTATTATTTGATATGGGTAAAGCCAAAGTACCAGGCGTATTTGTTTGCAATTCACTGATTTGACAGCGTTTGAACATGAGGGCATTGCGAAAAATCCGCTTGGCTACGGTCTCGGCGATGAAAAATGCATAACTTCCATTGATGGTCTTCTCGAGGCCTGTTTTTTCTGGAACCTTCATCTGATTGCCCTCCAGGGCTTTGACGTAAAAATTGCGCAGCTCCTCTTTCAGCTGGAAATGTAGCCGAAAAATGAGCAGGTCGCGTCGAGCGAGGTCGATCTGTCAAGTTTTAGGTTTTAGGTTTAGGAAAAAAAAAGATACCGACGATGATGTAATTTTCGTCGCTCTTGCTGCAACCAAAGGCGTAGTCGTAATGAAAAAAGTCACTGACGTTGTTGATCATGGTAGTTTTGACGGACAGAATGGAAGTTATGAAGCCCGAATACGAGTTGTAGGTGATGAGGGAGAATATCAAGCTGACGAGCAGAACGGTCTTGCCGGCTCGGGTGCGCGGCGTCCAAGGCGAGCCCTGAATACACATGATGCTGAGGCACCAGAGGGTTGCCTCGCCGAGTCCAAAGTGCTCCTGATCCTCGTTCCAGTGGATGAACAGGGTCACGTAATTGATGACTTCCATGACGGCGACGATGAGGACCAGAGTTCCGAGCACGCACAGAAGCAGCTTTGGACTGAACGGCTGCAGGAATATGTTGCTCGACGTTTCCGGTGGCCTGAAGTAGATGCTACGCCTGCCATAACAAGGAAACGAATGTAGCTATAGCGAGCATCCCTTGGGCAAAGGCCACTAACTTGAAGTGCACGATCGGATAGCTGAAAGAGAGCAGCTTGTTGCGATCGAGATCGGCCTCGAAGTAGGCAGCTCCGATGTCGATTTCTCCACTTGTCAAGCCTCGCACCAAATCGTTGTTTTCCTTGGTAATTTGGGCCGTTTCGCGAAACACGTAGTTGGTGATATTTGCGCTGAAGTATCGATCTGATAGAGCATGCTTTGGACCGATCAAAAACAAGCGAGAAGAAACGACACGAACCTAACGTTGAGGCAACGCTCGAACAAGTTGATAAGCTCCGTAAGGGTTTCGACGCTGCTCGTGTGGACTTGGTCGCTGCTGCTACTTCCCGCTGCCTCGACGTCGCTCTCGTAAAACCGACTGCTGTTTTGCAGACCGAAATTCATGGTGTACTGTCTGCTTTCAGACAGACTAGTCAGATATAGTCGATAAGGCTTTGATTATACTAGTCAATTTGTCACCTCAAGTCCTTTCTCTGATTGGGTCGGTCGCGCTCCTTTACGGTGAATCGTCTGCCGGGGCTCCAACTGTTCCAATCCTCCTTCTCCAAGCTGGAATTGCCGTCGACGCGAATCTTGAAGACCGAAGCCGTGTAAAAGACCATGACGGTGCGCGAGGCGCTCAGCGTGTCTTGGACAAAGGTCGACTCGGGCGAGGCGATGCTCTGACTTCGGCGCAGTCGATCGTAATCGTAATTACGCTCGTAACGCGCCAAGTCTTTGCAAGTGCTGCGTTCGGATTATCGTAAAACGTACGTACTTGGGCAATGTCTACTTTGTTGTTTGCCACTTATGCTCAGCTTATCGTATATTATATATTGACGTGCCAGTGCTAAAAGATGCCGCTTCGCAGAACACAGCAGAAAGATGCCATTTCGGCGCTCGATTCTGAAGGATCATGGTTTTTTCTGCGTTTCAAGTGACACCATGTTAATGTTTCGTGTTTGAGAAGTAAAATTGGATGCTTTTCCAAAATCTGGCGTTGGAATGAAGATGATAGTTAAACTTGAAGCTATTGAAGTAAGAAATACCGAGCACGGAAGTGGCATCTTTCAGCACTGGCGCGTCGATACATATGTACGAACTTGTTGGAAAATTGTCGTAAAACTTGAAGGATTACGTCGGCCGAGAGGAAAGACATGGCGACGGACACGTCGCTGTCGATGCCAATAGGCCAGTCCTTGACCGCGTCGAATATCTGAGTGTTGTTCCACTTGGTGCTTAGAATGAGCCAAGAGGCGTACTCGCCCAATACCTGAGACCTGATGTTTTTGTGCCGGACCATAATCTGCAACGGACACAAGCAACTGAACATTGGGCTGTTTAGGCGCGAGACGCGCGTCTCACCCTGCGCAAAAGGTTGTCCTCGAGATTCAAGTCGATGTCGTCTATGAGCAGGATCACGCCGATGCGATGCTGCTCGATCCTCAAAACCTTGGACAGGTCCGTGGCGTCGGTCAGCGACTTGATGCTCGCTACTATGCCCTTTTTGAAGAGGCAGTTGAGCAGGGGTCGCGCGTACGGCCGCGTGCATTCTTCGCTCATTCGGTGGATTCGTTTTATTTCGTGGCGCCTCGGTCTTATCGTTAATGGACACTTACCATCGTTGCCGATGCAGTCGAAAAAGACGAGCTGCTTCCACTTTTCCTCGACGGCGTAGTCGATCATCATCTGCAGAGTGAGAATGGTCGGCGGCATCGAGGCTATTCCGAAGCCGCTGCTCGGAGCTTCCGTTCCGCGGATCAGCGCAAGCAGCAAAACGACGCCCGCGCGAATCATCGCAGCGACGGCCATTTACTGCCGCGAGCTTTCGTGACCCAGCGAAGCGCGAAAAGCTACACGAAGCGTGTCTTTTCAACGCCGCCTTCGGAAACGTCGATAGACACTCGAGCCTCGACAGACCGAGACGTGGTAAACGAGTAAGTGGACTAGCCACTTTATGATAATCATTACTTATTCAACTCGTAGCCTAACAGCCCTATATCCATTGGGCAAAATGATACGACGATACAATCGATACTTTTTCTAATATAATTACGACGAAGCTGCAAGCTAGTTTCAACTTTTCAAATATCCAGTAAATATTCCATCTAATTTCGAGATTCCGTACGAACGACTGTTCTACGATGCTTTTTTGTCATATACTCGCTTAATCTAGAGACTCGTTGAGTTTTTAACATCAATAAATAAATAAATATCAATTTTGACAATTATCAGATTTTAATCGTGTTTCTAATTTCAACCAAAGTTAAAAGCGTAGAAAAATCGCAAGAATTTTTATTACGATGTTTGGGCAAAAAAATTGTCTGCAACTAGTCGCATAGAAAGGCAATAGAATCGATCTTAACCACAAAGCCAAAATAAACAAACAAACAAAGTTGCATAATTCAGTGCCGATCGACACGCCCCAGGGCATCAGTCGGTTGCCGATAAGCAATAGGATCGTATTGGGCTTTTTCACAGCGATGAGCATCCATGTCGAAAAAAAATGTCGCACATCCTCGAGGTGCTTGACGCGCTCGGAAACGAGCAACGGTCAACATTGGCTAAATTTCGAAAGTCTGCCGCCCGAGGTGCTGGAGCTGGTGATGCGCTTCTTACCCTACAGCGAAATAGCCAATCAGATGCGATTGGTTTCCAGGTGAGAGAGAGTGAGAGAAAGAGAGAAAATTTTGCGATCGATCCATCAGCGATATTAACCGGACCGAGTGAAAATCAGAAAATGCTGCTCCGTGTCGACGACGATCCTGAACAGCGCCTTCTTGTCGTCGGTACAAAGGACCCGCCGAGTTATGGAACATTTAGAGCGGGCCTCGAAGGACGCCACCGACGGTGAGCTGCGGCTGGGCGCGCGCAACGGCCTCGAGCTCGTTCTCCACCAGTGCAGCCTGCTGAGGGCCGTCGTCTGGCGCTACACCCATCCGCCGAGCAGCAGCGGTCAATTCGAGCGGCACTGCTTTTACGCCGGCAGCATACTCGACGATCTCGACGCCATCCTGAGGCAGGCCCTCTCGAGCCCGGCCGATCTCTGCGTCAAGGACGACTCGGGCCAACCGATCGGCAAATTCACCGCCGCTTGCAAAAAGTTCATGAATTACTTTGAAAAAGTCACCGAGCGCAAAATCAACAAGTTCGCTTGGGCAGCTTATTGCACAGACACAGAGGGAGACAGTTGAACTGTCACTTTTAGAGCTCTTCCGTGTCCCAACAGATCCAGCCTGATATCCGGTTGCAAGAGCGTCGACATACTCGACTGCCTGCTGGAGGGTCGGGAAGTGCGACAGGTGAGGATTTCGCGTCGCAGCGGAGCAGTCACGATGAGGATACGCTACGTGATGTCGCGAGCCTGGTTCACCTGCCTCGAGGTGCCGCTCGGTGGCAACGTCGACGAAAACTCCTGGCGGGATCGGCAGAGATTCATGTACCTGAGGCTGCGCCGCCTCATCGGCAGCTTCAACGAGCACTACCTCGAGAAGGTGCACTACGAGCGAGAGTGCCAGCTGCTCAAGGACGCCAACGCGCAGCTGCCCATGCCCAAGCCCCCGCCCTGCTCCACCTATTCCGGTTGACTCACCTATTCCCACAATGACTCTGCCGAGCTCTCGTCTCACTCGCCCATAAAAACTCACTCGAGGCACTGTCTCTCCACCGCAGGCTACGGCGAGTACGGCGGCTCCTTCTTCTACTACGGCAACATGAACGAGTTCGCCTACGAGTCCAAGGTCGTCGACGCCTGGCGACGCACCACTGCCCTGCGCGATCGCAACAACAAACGCTTGGCCATCAAGAAGCCCAACTACGACCTGGTGATCGACGTCGAGCTCAGATGCTCGCCGGATCTGGCGCCGCTCGCCATCAGGTCGACCTTGAAGTGCGACGACATCGAGTACCTGGACGAGAGCGAGGCCGAGTCCTCCAATCCCGAGATGTATCTGCGTATGAGCGTCAATTGTCCCGCCTCCAAACTCAACAGGCTGCCCAGTCACTTCGAGTGGGAGCTGAGGAGCCCGTCCGAGCCAAAAACTACTCGTCGCACTCGCAGTCGATCCTAATACTAGCTCAAGACTTTTTTCTAGCTGCAAACTTTTACTATTTATTTGTATCCAAGCCTTCATGGAACAATTTTAATTTTTCTCATCCATTTTTTTATACATTTTTTTAAACGATACAGCGTATGTTATTACCGGTCAATAATCGTGCGCGCCCTGTCAACTTGAACATTTAGAGATTTTTCTCTGTACTATTTTTAACGATAATGCTTTTTTTACAACGTCCTAGCGACTCGCGTCAACGGGTTTTATCACACGATTATTATATTTATACATATCGATATAAGGTGTGTTAATTATTCGTTTTTAGTCATTTGCTACACTAAGTAATATTAAGATTCGTGTCTTTTTTTTATCTGTGAAACTCATCACAGCATTTTTATATGGTCAAAGCAATTGTCATTTATTTGATACAGTTTTGTCGGAGCATAAATACATTTTAATAAAGTTTCCAAAATTTCGTCATTTTTATTTTCGCTCAACGTACTCGATTTGAAAAAATATCCATAATTGGTGAATACCTATCAAACTTGACAATTATCAATTCTCTTTTTCACGGGTAATAATTTTGAGACAGTAAAATATTATGTTTTCTAAATAATATCGAAAAAGCTTTATTTACAAGTCATACAAATTCGATTTTTTCGTAATAATAATCTTTGTAAAAATTAACATCTATGTTTTAATTAGCTGCGCTGCTTCTTTCTTTTTCCTCGTCGCTAACCACTTCAGTAGGTGCTGCTGTTACGGATTCTCGCACAGGTGTTACAGATGCAAGATCATTAAATTTCCTTGCATCTTTTTCTAAAACGCTCCATGCAAAATGATTTAATCTAGTACCTCTGGGTAAAGCGACACCTTGGAATCGATATAATCTGTCTGTCTCATTTGATTCAACTTTATGAACTGATGCTATTGTGGCTTTACCGATAATACCTGTTGAACCAACCATTGGTCCTTGACTTATATCAATAAAATCTCCTATTCTGTATAATACAATTTTTCCATTATGATTTTGAGCTATGCTTGGAATTTGCTTGTTTTTGAATGGATTATCTTGGAACATATCAAGAGCAAGTTCTTCAGAAACCTCAAGACGTTCCATAATACTTTCTTGATTAGATAGTTTGACAAAAGCCGCTGACATGGCACGTAATTCAGCTTGAGTTGGCTTCCAATCTGGCAAATCTATCACTGCATCGTATGTGAAACTACCTGATTTGAGATCTGGTTTGGGAAAGCTAAAAGTAAAAATTAAGGATATGATTTAGTAATCAAGGTTGAAATTGACTTTTTATAGATGTGTACTGGATATTATTACTGTACCTGTGAAGATAAACTTGAATTTCATCTTTAAAAGATGCCTCAACCATGCAACCCATTAAAAGCGAACAACTACGCCAGAAAGCAGTATTGACTACTGGGCTTTTATTCGAATGAGCCATTGTTATAAGCTCGAGTTCACAATCTTGTTCAAAAGGTTTCTGCAAATCCCAAGGACGTCTATCAACCAATGCCAAGCACACCGTTTTTGTGTAATCTTCAGTCAAATGCTTGGTACAATCATAGGGTGTTGATAGATGCTTGTTCATACGCATTTCAATTGGTGCCTCATCTTTGTCCCAAGGTAAGTATTTGACGGCCACTTTTTCTATCCTGCCAATCTCACTTTGTTGACGTTGTTTTTCATTGTCAAAAATCACGTTTCTCCGTCTTCGCCATTCACTTTTGATCGCTGCAGTTTGTGCGGCTGCCTTCTGGCTGTCAGTGCTGGAAAAACGACATTGAAAACGCAGAGTGGCACAGCAGGCATTTCTGAACCTGAGAATGGAAATAAAAAAACAGCGTAAAACAGTTGTCATTTGTCATCATTGGTTAAATTTGACATTTTGCCGATTAAGTAATCAATTGCAATTTACCCTTGAATCATGGCTAAAGCTAGTTTGTGTCAGGAGGTTATATTTACGAAAAGCGGCTGCTCGGTTGCCTTGCCGCAGACTTGGCGTGTTGCGAGTTGCGACTTGGGACGCATGTGCTGCGATAGAGATCTCGCGTCTTTACCGATCAACGATAACGTAGATAAATACGGTTTACATAAAAAAGCGCCAAAATACAAAAATAGTAAAAATCTAAATCATTCAATAGAAAATTACGTAAAATCATTATCATCGTATCTACCAGACTAATTAATTCTCTTCCGATGCTCTTTTACGAAAAGGCATGTCCGAAGCTTATAGGCTTTTTACCTGCCTTTCCTTTAAGCGACCATGGGAATTTCACAGTCTGTGATGTTGAAAACAATTACGCTTTAACGGTATCATTGAACAATTCGCGAGCAATAATGATATAAAAGCAAAAGACAGGCAAAAAATCAAGACTTTGCAAAGTTGTGGGCCATTAGGAAAGAAGGACTCGAAGCCAGCGTCGGCCAAATTTCTGAGCGCAATGGCCCGGCGACTCTTAAAAATACATCTCGAGGGAGTAATTTTAAACGCGCGCGCACACGCGTTTGGTTGCCTCGCAGCTGTCCGTTTTTCCAGCCAACTGACCGTCCGTAAGACGACGGTGGCACGTGTCTCACGGGACAAACCGTCGACTCCAAACTGCTGCTGTTGCCGCGTCGTTTTTCATTTTTACACACGCACATAGGTATACTCACTTACACAGACACAAAGACGCGTTTGGAAGTTTATACAGTGGCGTACAGATGAAAGGAGAAGTACCGCGACTTTTCTTGCGAATGGCCCCGGCTCTCTTTCAGCATATAATAATGGCGCCTTTTTGTTAGCGCACGCGAATAGCAGGGCGACTACTTTTCTCTTTGCTCTATTCGAAACGTTTTTTAGACCCGTGATTCCTTTATTATTGACGCGTCGATCTTTTCTTTGATCCTTGGCGTCGCGGACGCTTTGCCTCGCGGACTACGCCTTGGATTTTTCGCATTCGTGTGGCGTCTGCTCTAAGCGCAGAAACGAGCGGAGGAGTAGTGAAAAAATAGCTCAATTTCGTGAAAATACACGTAGGGCTTTATTGGACTCGAATAGCGTGACAGTATATAAATTTCAAATGAACGATGGCCTTAATTTATTTTCGTCGAGGGGGGACAGAGGCACGCCCGCAGGTTGGTGTCGCCTGCGGACGCTCCGCGTCGTACGTCATAGACGAAAAGTGTCACGGGCAGACTAGAGCTCCAAGCCTGCGGTCATTACGTTAAACGTCGAAGTAAAGATGAAAAAAAAAGATCGAGTCTCTGCATGCCATATTATGTAGGTTGCGCGCGACGCGGACGCGGGGGAGAGTCAATCGGGCGAGAGTAACGCGGTTAGGCTCTATCAGCGAGCTCTGCGCGATACGTATCACGTACGATACATAACGTTATAGATAGATACGTATATAGGCCTCGAATGAAGCATATACAAACACATATAGAGATATTACTCGCTCTGGCTGGAGCGGGCGATGACGATCGGCCTCGGCTTTTGATCTTGGCCGCAGTTTACGGTGGGGCTTTGGAACTCGGAGCAGCGCGCTTAACAATCCGATACGCGCCGCGGATCATACGCTTATTAAACATCTTTGGTAAATTAAAATTCAAAGCTCGGTGCCGCGCTCGCTGGCTCTGCACGTAATATTCATTTGATGATGTATACGTGTTTTTCTTTCGGAGCCTCGCGCTCGAAACGAATCGCAGCTATACATGTCTGCGCTATCTGCGACTCGTATAAATTTTATGTGGAGCATATAGAAATTAATCCAATATATCAAGCGCAGCTGTGTGTGTGGTTTACCGGCATCGCATGAAAATGTATCCGGGGGCAATAATAAGACGTATCGCGCCGGGCCATTTCTGCCGCACATGTGTGCGTCGTACTGCGTACACGCGAACGGGGAAACTTGGACGAGGGGCTTAAAATCTAGCACACGTGACGTTTAAAGCGGCTCCCGCACCCTTGGCACGACGACGCAGTTGCTGCTCGATCAACGCTACGTAAAACGAACTGCATAAGAGAGGGCATACTTGTATAGAGCTTGTCTAGGAGCTATCTCCGAGAATGAAAGAAAAAGCTGCTGCTTATACGTGTAGGTGCATGCATGTGTGCAGGCGTGGATAAAAGTGTAAAAAGCCGCCCTAGAAGAAGGGCCAGTTGACTTTTGAGCCCTCGCTCGTTCTCTATAGTGCCTAGTCTGAGCTCCGTCGAGTCAAAGCCGACGGGGGTATACATCAGAGGCAATAGTCGAGGCGCGAAGTAGCGCAAGGCTACCTTCATGCCGAGCAGCAGCAGCAGCAGCAACACAAGTGAGAAAAGAAGCTAGGAAGAACAAAGGGAACGACGTCGGGCAGAGATTTTCGAGACGTATCTCGCTTAGCTCGACAAAACAGGGGTAGCATCTCGCGCGAGGCGCACGCGATTTTCAGTAGCTCGCTTCTTCTCTCTTACAGCTACCCGCGCGCGCGCGTGTGTATTGCATGGATGACTGCGATGATACAGCTCGTGCGGCGAAACATCAAAGCTGATTTCAAGTCGGCAAGGATCAAAGGCACTTACACACACACACACACATTTACAGCAAAGCACAGTGCGAGTGTACATGAGCAGAGAGCACCGAGACTAAAGAACGCTCTCTATATGTATATAGACTGCAGAGCTGGACGAATGCGAGACAAGCGATTATTATACACTTAGAGGGAGGCCTTCGCTTATGTACATCACACCGACGGAGAGAAAGTCGACTTGTTTTTTAATTATGACACGAGCTGCCTACATAATAGGGCCAAAAGGTGCTTTAAGGTGCTTTTATCCGCAGCGAGTCGCACTCGAGCGCGTCGTACATCGTGGCTTTGTCTCTGCACGTCGAGCTGCCTTCTCGCTTCTTACGAGTGCGAGCATTTCTAATTGATGGGCCTCGCGTGCGACTTGCTGCCTGCGCGCGCTAAATAATAATGATAGAGTTGTTTTTTTGACGCGCCACGGCCTCGTGCACCCATTACATATCGCATCTATGTGCGAGGAGACGGCGCTCCGTGCGAGCTCCACCCCTTTCACGCACCCAACCGATTCCCTCCGAAGATCGGACGACGTGATCTCTCGTGTATGCGGCCCGCTTACTGCTCTCTGGCTTGCTTCATAGCCTCACCTACGGCATTTATTTTAAATCTGTGTATTTCCGCGTGCGGCGTGCTGAGGCTAGGACGAACGATAATTGCCACCAGTAAGACTGCAGCCTAACGAGTGAAAAAATAGCGTCTCTCTCAGCTCTCTCGCTCTCGCGTAAAAATCCACTAGATGGCTTATATTTTGTAGGAAGCAGCTAGACAGCTGCCGATGTTTTTAACGCTCTGTCCTCGCGGCCCTGTCCGAACGTTATTTACTGGCTAGATTAGTGTTCCTTCATTTATACGAGGGTCCTCTGTGATAGGCTCCAAAACAAGCATTTAGAAATGAATATTATTTTTCGATTTTCTGCTTTTATTATTTCGCTTTTTTTCAAGGTTGAAGTATTTTTTTGCAATATTTAAACAGTTATTATGAAAAGTACCCAAGGTTTCGTTTAATATTTCAAACGTTGCACCCTGAAAATAAAATATGATTTAGTAATTTTCGACTTTATCAGTTTTTTTATAATTTTAAGTTCAATTTGATTTCAGAATATTTTAGCAGTTATTGCGACAAAAGAAAATTTCAGCATCAATTGATGACTATAAACACTAGCCCAGTGCAATTAACGAAAGGGCATAAAGGCTTATAACGGGAAGTCAGAGCGTGTATGCAGGCAATTTTGAGACAAAAAATATTGGAATTCATTGCATATTTGAAGAATTACATTGAAAAAATTGAAATTTTGGAAAATTGTTCAAGTCTTTTCTAGACGTTTTAAATCTATTAAAGGCTGACGTAATTTTATTTCGTCAATTTCTAACTCAAAAAGAAATTAAAATGGCAATCTGTAATTTTTACACAGTACATTAGAAGGTCTAGAAAATTGAAAGAGAAAATAACAAAAAAATTAAAAATTTGGTCGGAAAATACCATATCGCCCCGCCTTAAAAATAAGTTCGAGAAAGAATTTTCCTAGCGATATTCCATAACATATCGAAGTAATTTTGGGGGGCAGGAGTAGAAAAAATGTATTTATAAAATATTTGGGTTTTAGCTTGGCTTAATTCTCGGTGTAGCCATAGTTGGAGCGCGTCGAGTTGTAAAAAAATGATCGAAGACGAGTTCATATGGCTTTGGAGGAGCGGCGGTGGCAAGGACGATGCTCGTTGCAAGGGCTGTTTCGACTCAGCGACTTGTGTCTTATATGCGCGATCTTTAGGACAATAGGAGCTCTCGAAACTGCAAGAGCGGCACTGAAGGGCTGATAGACGTTCGGTAGGTTGTAATGCGCGACGACGCAGCGACGAAGGGTCGGAACTGGCAGCAGCGACGCATGGCTTGGAAACGTTCGAGGAAGCAAGGATTATCCTGAGCGCTTACTGACTCTCTCTCTCTCTCTCTTTGAATTTCAAGTCCCACGCTGGTTACAGCCACCCACGGCAACTCTGTATACAGAGAGAGGTGCGCGTTGTCGCGTGTGATATTATATATTCTTTAAACGCCCGAGGGTGTGCTTAGCTCTCGTCGTAGTCGACGTCATCGAGTCTTTAACGGCTACTCTGCGTAATACAAGGGCCAACCATCGAGATTCAAAAATATTCCATAGCACTCGCTATCGAGTCTCGGGACGATAAGCTTGAATGTTAAGGATAACTACAGACAGCCTCAGAGAAATGATCGCTCGAGACGTAGTCTTAATTCGAATGGAGGCTGTCGCGGGGGCGCTAATGACTGCACGAACGCGGGTGTAACAATCAACAGAACGACTCAGCACCGGACACTCTCGGCAGTAGCCGATACACGAGCAACGAGTCGCGCACGGGCAGCGAATCGTCAATTCGCCTTGAAAGCCACACCGCTCAACGCGTCAAATTGCTAATGCTCCGAGAAACGAAGGAGTAATTCG